GTTATTGTAAGATGACGTCACATATGTTTTCAGAAGACTGTTACCAATACATATCTCCTCGCTGTAAAACCAAACACTTTGATCTGTTTTTTATGGTTTTACTTTGAATATAAAACGTTAAGTAGTTCTAAATTACTTCAAAGACAGATTAAAAAACATGCTTACCTTTGTTGTTTTGAAGTCAGTTTGTTATCGCGAGTTTACTTAATTGGTCCTGTATGAAGTTTGATGATGTCTTTTTTTCCAGCGAGAGCCTACATTACATACAGACAGACGTCCACTGCCATGAAACTCTAAGTAGGTGTCTCTTTAATGTCCAACACGCTTACACACGTATCCATCAAACACGAACAACTTCAGATACTGCCGACGTCTTGCACAGTGCATTTTCACGGTTCAAACCAACCTTAAATCCGATTTATTGAATATTTTCTTCAAGGTGTCACATTAACAAGTAGATGTGACTTCAAGAGGTATCATTCTGTCCCCCACATTCCCCTGACTCTTCAGTTTATCTCGCGGATTATGACACTGGGGTTAGCTTTATTGCATTAATGCACCTCAAGTTGATGACGTCACACAACCCCCGTGTCATCTGAAAGTGACATAAGCTGTCTCCCTCACCCCGGGAGGAGGGTATTTGAATCAATACTTTATGTGGAGTGTATGGGTGGATTATAGAGTAATTACGCATGCCTGGTGGGACGTTTGTTGCTCTGGTTATTGCAAGGGAGCTGCCTCAATGGACTGTTTTGACACTAACGTCTTCACACTGATGTGACATGGTGGTGGTAATGGGTGGGCTGGAGTGTGTGCAACAACACACTGGGGCAATGGAACCCTTCGGTGGACTATGTGCAAAAACATGCTGGGCCTTTCAGATTCTATTGCCACAGTGTATTAATGCACATATTCCCCTGACACGTTCCATTGTCCCAGTGTATTGTTACTCAAAGTTCCCAAACATTATCCCTGTGTGTTGTTGGTCATATTCCCCCAACAGGTTCCATTGTCCCAGTGTGTTGTTGTACATATTCCCCCGACATTGTCCCAGTGTGTTGTTGTACATATTCCCTCAACAGGTTCCATTGTCCCATTGTGTTGTTGGACATATGTTCCCGACAGGTTCCATTGTTCCATTGTGTTGTTGTGCATATTCCCCCGACATTATCCCAGTGTGTTGTTGTACATATTCCCCCAACAGGTTCCATTGTCCCAGTGTGTTGTTGTACATATTCCCCCGACATTGTCCCAGTGTGTTGTTGTACATATTCCCCCAACAGGTTCCATTGTCCTAGTGTGTTGTTGTACATATTCCCCCAACAGGTTCCATTGTCCCAGTGTGTTGTTGTACATATTCCCCCGACATTGTCCCAGTGTGTTGTTGTACATATTCCCCCAACCTGTTCCATTGTCCAATTGTGTTGTTGTACATATTCGCCCAACAGGTTCCATTGTCCCAGTGTGTTGTTGTACATATTCCCCCAACAGATTCCATTGTCCATGTGTGGTGCTCTACCTATTCTCCAAACAGGTCCCATTGTCCCAGTGTGTTGTTGTACATATTCCCCCAACAGGTTCCATTGTCCATGTGTGTTGTTGTACATACACCCCCAACAGGTTCCATTGTCCCAGTGTGTTGTTGTACATATTCCCCAAACAGATTCCATTGTCCATGTGTGGTGCTCTACCTATTCTCCAAACAGGTCCCATTGTCCCAGTGTGTTGTTGTACATATTCCCCCAACAGGTTCCATTGTCCCAGTGTGTTGTTGCACATATTCCCCCAACAGGTTCCATTGTTCCATTGTGTTGTTGTACATATTCCCCCAACATGTTCCATTGTCCCAGTGTGTTGTTGTACATATTCCCCCAACAGGTTCCATTGTCCCATTGAGTTGTTGTACATATTCCCCCAACAGGTTCCATTGTCCCAGTGTGTTATTGTACATATTCCCCCAACAGGTTCCATTGTCCAAGTGTGTTGTTGTACATATTCCCCCAACAGGTTCCATTGTTCCATTGTGTTGTTGTACATATTCCCCCAACAGGTTCCATTGTCCCTGTGTGTTGTTGTACATATTCCCCCAACATGTTCCATTGTCCTAGTGTGTTGTTGTACATATTCCCCCAACAGGTTCCATTGTCCCTGTGTGTTGTTGTACATATTCCCCCAACATGTTCCATTGTCCCAGTGTGTTGTTGCACATATTCCCCCAACAGGTTCCATTGTCCCAGTGTGTTGTTGCACATATTCCCCCAACAGGTTCCATTGTTCCATTGTGTTGTTGTACATATTCCCCCAACAGGTTCCATTGTCCCAGTGTGTTGTTGTACATATTCCCCCAACAGGTTCCATTGTCCCATTGAGTTGTTGTACATATTCCCCCAACAGGTTCCATTGTCCCAGTGTGTTATTGTACATATTCCCCCAACAGGTTCCATTGTCCAAGTGTGTTGTTGTACATATTCCCCCAACAGGTTCCATTGTTCCATTGTGTTGTTGTACATATTCCCCCAACAGGTTCCATTGTCCCTGTGTGTTGTTGTACATATTCCCCCAACATGTTCCATTGTCCTAGTGTGTTGTTGTACATATTCCCCCAACAGGTTCCATTGTCCCTGTGTGGTGCTCTACCTATTCTCCGGACAGGTTCCATTGTCCTATTGTTTTGATCTACATATTCCCACGACAGGTCCCATTGTCCCTGTGTATTGTTGGCCATATTCCCCCAACAGGTTCCATTGTCCCAGTGTGTTGTTGTACATATTCCCCAAACAGATTCCATTGTCCCAGTGTGGTGCTCTACCTATTCTCCCAACAGGTCCCATTGTCCCAGTGTGTTGTTGCACATATTCCCCCAACAGGTTCCATTGTTCCATTGTGTTGTTGTACATATTCCCCCAACAGGTTCCATTGTCCCTGTGCGTTGTTGTACATATTCCCCCAACAGGTTCCATTGTCCCAGTGTGGTGCTCTACCTATTCTCCGGACAGGATCCATTGTCCCAGTGTGTTGTTGTACATATTCCCCCAACAGGTTCCATTGTCCCTGTGTGGTGCTCTACCTATTCCCCCGACGGATTCCATTGTCCCTGTGTGTTGTTGCACATATTGTCCCTACATGTTCCATTGTCCCTGTGTCGTGCTGCCTATTCTCCGGACAGGTTCCATTGTCCTATTGTTTTGCTCTACATATTCCAACGACAGATTCCATTGTCCCTGTGTGTTGTTGCACATATTGTCCCAACAGGTTCCATTGTCCCAGTGTGTTGTTGTACATATTCCCCAAACAGATTCCATTGTCCATGTGTGGTGATCTACCTACTCTCCCGACAGGTTCCATTGTCCCTGTGTGTTGTTGTACATATTCCCCCAACATGTTCCATTGTCCTAGTGTGTTGTTGTACATATTCCCCCAACAGGTTCCATTGTCCAAGTGTGTTGTTGTACATATTCCCCCAACAGGTTCCATTGTTCCATTGTGTTGTTGTACATATTCCCCCAACAGGTTCCATTGTCCCTGTGTGGTGCTCTACCTATTCTCCGGACAGGTTCAATTGTCCCTGTGTGTTGTTGTACATATTCCCCCAACAGGTTCCATTGTCCCTGTGTGGTGCTCTACCTATTCTCCGGACAGGTTCCATTGTCCTATTGTTTTGCTCTACATATTCCCACGACAGATTCCATTGTCCCAGTGTGTTGTTGCACATATTGTCCCCACAGGTTCCATTGTCCCAGTGTTGTGCTCTACCTATTCTCCGGACAGGTTCCATTGTCCTATTGTTTTGATCTACATATTCCCACGACAGGTCCCATTGTCCCTGTGTATTGTTGGCCATATTCCCCCAACAGGTTCCATTGTCCCAGTGTGTTGTTGTACATATTCCCCCAACAGATTCCATTGTCCCAGTGTGGTGCTCTACCTATTCTCCCAACAGGTCCCATTGTCCCAGTGTGTTGTTGCACATATTCCCCCAACAGGTTCCATTGTTCCATTGTGTTGTTGTACATATTCCCCCAACAGGTTCCATTGTCCCTGTGCGTTGTTGTACATATTCCCCCAACAGGTTCCATTGTCCCTGTGTGGTGCTCTACCTATTCTCCGGACAGGTTCCATTGTCCCAGTGTGTTGTTGTACATATTCCCCCAACAGGTTCCATTGTCCCTGTGTGGTGCTCTACCTATTCCCCCGACGGATTCCATTGTCCCTGTGTGTTGTTGCACATATTGTCCCTACATGTTCCATTGTCCCTGTGTCGTGCTCTACCTATTCTCCGGACAGGTTCCATTGTCCTATTGTTTTGCTCTACATATTCCAACGACAGATTCCATTGTCCCTGTGTGTTGTTGCACATATTGCCCCAACAGGTTCCATTGTCCCAGTGTGTTGTTGTACATATTCCCCAAACAGATTCCATTGTCCATGTGTGGTGATCTACCTACTCTCCCGACAGGTTCCATTGTCCCTGTGTGTTGTTGCACATATTCCCCCAACAGGTTCCATTGTCCCAGTGTGTTGTTGTACATATTCCCCCAACAGGTTCCATTGTCCGATTGAGTTGTTGGTCATATTCCCCCAACAGGTTCCATTGTCCCTGTGTGTTATTGTACATATTCCCCCCGACAGGTTCCATTGTTGTACATATTCACATGACATTGTCCCAGTACATATTCCCCCTACAACAAATTCCATTGTGCTAGTACATTAAAGTATTGCGCAAGCCAACACCCCCCCCCCCCCCCCCCCCCACACACACACACACCCATCCATGGTAACGAAACACCTGTGTGATGAGTATCAAACCAGGCACTTCTACTCCTCACACTGTGACACGAGATCCCCTTGTCCAAACTACCCCCTTGACCAGTGTAGTGACGCATTCCAAAGTCTTATGTCTCTATATTCCATGTGACTGACGTGTTTAGCAACCTATACATACGTCTGATGTAAGTGTATCTGGAGGTACGGATACTCCACATAAATACCGACATGTCTATGTCGAGCCACAGTTAACAGTAAACATTGCAACTCGTAGTATTGTGTTAAGGGTGCGTCTGTCAACAGTTTACGAGTGGGGAACCCGTAACATCAAAGGTAAAGATACAAGGATCATGCCTTGCCAATCGGAAGGCACAGAAGGATTATCTTAATACAGTGAATGAGCATTATGAATGCATATACCTAGTCAGACGTAGAAACAATCTCACGGGAGACAATCGGGGGAAGACACCGACTTTGAAGAAAATTGGTGTCAACATAATAGTCCAAATCTTTTGTAGATTGGACAAGATATAGTGTACGATAATGGCGTCACAGATCGTAACCATTTTGTGTCTTATGTTCTTGTGTGTCGTATGTGTGTTGGGCTTCCTGCCTAACAGGTTCAACCTTGTGTCGTCTGACTTCACCCACCAGGACATCACAGAGGCCGCCATCTTGAGATCTGTGGCGGAGATGTTTCGGGGGACGACTTTGTCTGGGAAGTCTTCAAAATCTGGAACACTCCTAGACTTTAAAGACATAACATCCAGCACATTGTTTGATGCGTACTATGATGGTATGTTCATATAGTATAAAATAATATGTAACTTAAAGCTGAGCATTTCACAAATTCAGGAAAAATAATATTAATATTTAAAATAATATGTTCAAATAATGTATAAACTTTTAGACTGGTACTTTTCCAGGCATGAAAAATACACGGAATAACTAAAGAAACTATGTGAAAATTTTCACATATAATTATTATTATCAATGTATTTTTCCTATAACTAGTTTTTTTATATATAAACCTATTTCTACATTTGGAAGTGTTTGGTTTTGCCAACATATAGAAGGTCGTTATGTGAACCTATTTCCACTTTATCTACTACTAATAACATGTCATAGTGTACAAAGCTTTCAATCACAGATGCTGTAAGCAACATATTGTATTGTTCATGCTTTTAATATAGTTTTGGGGCGTTTGGGTAACGTGGTGGTTAGAGCGTTTGCTCGTTACGTCGAAGGCCCAAATGCGAGTCCCCCATGTGTACAATATGTGTTGTCCCTTTTCGTGATTTTGCTGGAATATTGTTAAAAGAAGCACAGAACCTCATTCTTATTTTGTAGGAGAGAAGTGGCGTTGTAACATTTTAACTACACTAACATAAACGGATATATCAATAGTTAACAATATACTTGATTTTTCAGACTGCAATATAACTAAACTGAAATACTTTTCAAAACGATGATAAAACTAACTCCCACTCGCTCACCGATATCAAGAAGATACTTGTTTGTGGATTGGGTTGGGAGTATATCATTATTAGGGACTATAAGTCGAGTGTGTTTTTGTATAGTAAATGTGTTTGGAAGAAATAACGGGAATTTGGCGAGAATAATGTATATGATATAATTTCTAATATAGGATATTTACGATAGCTTTATCATATAATTTCAATCTGATTAATATCAAGTTTGAGACTTATTCTAAATAACAACAGACACCGACGGGTACACATACCTGAGTGAACCACCACATTTATTATATAGTGCCAAATAATCTGCAGCCATGCTTGTTGACACAGTCACTCGCACTCAAACATCTATTTTAACTTTTCTGGGTCTTTATTCATAAAGAATGTAGGCCTCTTGCCCATGTTCAGACAGGTAGAGAGTTATTCACAGATTTTTGAGCACATAGGGACCGCTGTAGAGATGCTAGATGGCCTTGTTAACATACTTTTTGGATCGTGATATCCAGTTTATCGATCTGATATCATCGATAACACTATCTAGGATGTGATAAAACTTAAGACATCACATGCCAGGTACTGTGTCGGAGAAGCGGTTCCAGGAGGCCATCGATGACATCGTGAAGGCCAACAACAGAGTGGACCAGGACCACTACACAGAGGCTGCCTGGCACGTCGGCGGGGAGGCCATTAAAGAAGGTGATATCGACATTATTTAGCATATCATGTATCATAAGCAAAATAATTTGTATTTGTTGTTGCAACCATGTATGACCCGAGGCGTATTCATAACATATGATTAGCAGGTATGTCAACGGGATATATTCAATTTGATAATATGTAATTTACTGCATTACAGTAAACGCTCAAACAATATGCGAAACACAGCTGAAAAACTCCAACAGTTAGTAATCACATTTGGTAATATTTATTTAGCAAACGACAAAATCCTATCACTACGGGGAACGGTAATCTTCATCCTGAACCAAACCATGCCAGACTACAAGGCAGCTCGAGATCTGATTGGTCAGTTTCTACACATTGTCCAGATGTTCTACAGCAACACCAACTGGCCGGAACTCAAGGGAACAGCTGTCTATGACTCTCTAGGTATGCTTAAATCCTGTATTAAAGTATTAAAGTATTAATAGGTGTAGTTTTGATAGCAGTATCAGTACAAGTATAAATCAGCAGAATAGCTGTGTATGAAACATTTGGGCATAGAACACGTTCCTACAATGACCACGTGAGTGTACAGTCATTAGGTAAAACGTGACCGTTATTTAGTCACGCCCACAAAAGCTCCCCCTCCACCAATGACGGGACATGATCTGATACTGCCCCTGAGATGAACTTATTGTCAAGCTACTGATGGAATTGCGTTGCTTAGCTACGACGTAACTGACAGTCATGTTTGTAGGTAGATACATATATATAACCTTTTATCATCCAAAACTGGCTCCCACAGGAGATATCGCTTGGATGAGATCAAGCGATATCTACACTGTAGATATCGCTGCAATGAAATTACATCACAATGCTTTGCAGACCATTGTGACATCACTGGTTACCATGACGTCACAATCAAATGACATCACTAATGGCTCTGCTACTGAAGCTGTTTGCAGTACTTTTTACACTGAAGACACTGCTAATTATTGTCTACAAATTGAAAAAGTTGAAAGAATGATGTTGGATGATAAATAAAATCTCACCCTCGTGTCTTTTGATATCAAATATACCAACACTCGTTGATAAAAGTGGCAAAAATCCTCGGCAAGCCTCGGATTTTTCCACTTTTATCAACTCGTGTTGATATATTTGATATCAAAAGACACTCGGGTGAGATTCTCTATTTATCATCCAAAACTGGCTCCCACAGGAGATATCGCTTGGATGAGATCAAGCGATATCTACACTGTAGATATCGCTGCAATGAAATTACATCACAATGCTTTGCAGACCATTGTGACGTCACAATCAAATGACATCACGAATGACTCTGCTACTAAAGCAGTTTGCAGTACTTTTTACACTGAAGACACTGCTAATTACTGTCTACAAATTGAAAAAGTTGAAAGAATGATGTTGGATGATAAATAAAATCTCACCCTTGTGTCTTTTGATATCAAATATATCAACACTCGTTGATAAAAAATTGGCAAAAATCCTCGGCAAGCCTCGGAATTTTTCCATTATTATCAACTCGTGTTGATATATTTGATATCAAAAGACACTCGGGTGAGATTCTCTATATACACAACCAGACTAGAACAGCAACAAACAAGGACGGATGGTAGTATAAATAAATGACTAAATATACCTTATACTATATGACTGTTTGGTCCTGTGTTTGACGCATCAGTGGTAAACATGATGTCTGACGCAACCTCCCTATTTTGACTTGTAAACGTTGTTCTCGTGTTTGTTCAGAAGACTTGCCTTTGCATGTGTGTATGGCGGGTGCCATCGGTGGTGCAGGATACGCTAATCTTTTCGCGAACAGCTGGTATCAATATTCGATAGTCACTCAAAAATTTATTCTTACGACGTTGTCTGAATCCTACAGTGGACTCTGCTTTTAGCAAAATATCTTATGATTATTTAAATAGTATAATTGTCTGTATTTACTCTTTTGTCAGGCATTCCTGGCAAACAGTTGATGGCGCTAGCACCTTCCTCTATGGACACGTGCAAATCGTGTAGGTAAGTATGACTATAGAACAAAAACAATCTTATTTCGTTCAATGATTTGTTTTGTGACGCAAGCAAGAGAACTGTATACTCTCACTGATATTGTGTTGGTTGTGTCCTAGGGTCACATCCGGAAACAACTGCACGGACAACATGCTAGTTCGGGGCCCAATGTTGACCAGTGGCTACAGAAGTGGACAAGACAGGACCAAACCTTTCAGTGAGTGTATCCTCGTGGACACGTGACCACACTGCGTGCACGCAGTCTAAATCCAGGCTATACACTCGCTACCTTAAGCGTGCAAGTAGTCTTAATTTGAGGATGTTTATATACTGCTCAATGCGTGCATGCAGTCGAGATACAGCCCTTCCACTGTCCAGTGCGTGCACGCAGTCTAAATCTATGCTATACACTCGCTACCTTGTGCGCGCAGGTAGTCTTAATTCGAGGATGTATACTCACTGCTCAGTGTGTGCATGCAGTCTCGATGCAGCCCATTGACTGTCCAGTGCGTGCATGCAGTTTATGTCACGGCTGTTTACTCACTGTCCAGCGCGTGCATGCAGCGTACATACAGACTGCCCACTGTTCACTGCGTGCATGCAGTCTAAATACAGGCTGTATATACACCCTCTTGCCCCTTGCCAGTGAGGTTAACCAGAGTGATTGAACTATATAAGAAACAAACAATATACAGGAATACACGTTCGTCTTCATCAATTCTGGGTTAGTAGGTAGTAGTAGCGATCTCTCGTCAAGGACCCGGGGAATTGTCTACATGGGCGGGAAGTATGAAGCTCATTGTCCTTCGTCCTTATATTGCTGGAATGGTTTTCTGTCCAAAGATCTACAGAGATTGACTTGCGCCTGGCGAGATGAGTGTTTTTTTAAATAATGACACGGCTGAAGGCACGGTTCTATTGAGGGTGATAAGTCTAATACGTTATAAACAGATAGAGTGAGCTGTGAGCACAAATTTCATCGATCAGGGTTACACCATTGTGGTTGACGTGTCGATTCACAAATGGAAACAATTTAATCCAGAAATTTGTATGTAAAAGAACTTAGTGTGAAACCAACAAACAACCAACAAACAACCAACAAGCAGTATGCAATCAGGAAATCTATTACAAAGTTTACTAAGTTTACAAATAGATGCAAATTACTGCACAGTAATTACAATGGCAGTGCACAATGGAGTGGTAGTACGATATTCAATGGCAATACACAGTACCGTGCCATAAGTAAACGGACACTTGAGTGAAGTGTCATTTGTTCTATTCGTTGTGGCTCGCCAAAGACTAAGTATAAAACTGACGTACCTAATATTTGGTGATGTAGCCCTTTGCTGTGTATACTCTCAAACGCCTGCGTGGAATGCTCATGTATACGTTTTAGATGTATTCAACAAAAGTAAAAGATTCCCAAATGGCAGGAATCTCTTCTTGCAAATCTTCGGTAGTGTCGATGCTGATTTTCCTAAAGCTAAAGCGAGGAATCACACCGTGCACTGTGCTCTTGGGTAGATGTATCAATTGACTAATTTCTCTGCAGGATTTACCATTTAAATGCTGGTCTATGACAACTTCTTTTTTTTGACCGGCGACAGAATATTCCTTCCCCGAACCATCATAGTCAATGGCAGAAATCGTGAGAAACGGAGCACGCGATACTTGATGGCGTCATCAATCTATGGGAAAAGTATCGCATCATAACATTTCGCGGGTCGAAAGTTAGACGTGCTAAACCAAATGCGATGGTCTCTTGCCATGACCAAACTCGCGACGTCTCAAATGTCCCTTAACTTATTGCACGATAGTCAGTGGTCAGTATCAAATACAAAAAAATATAGTTGTGATAGTTAAAGTCAGTAATAATAATAATATAAATTCACCCAGCGGCGACAGTGGTCAAGCTTCCGAGATGGGCTAGGCAGGGAATCAGGGATGAGGAGCGATCCTCACATGAAATCTGTCTCCAAAGCAATGAAAATGCGTGAGAGACGAAATGTGTGAGAGATACGAAAACACGCCACTGTCCCCATACATACAACCTACCCAGCCACTTGAAAGTTCAAGACAGTGCTTTCATTACATAGAACATTACAGAAATGTCCAATTGTTTCTATAACATACTATCACCATCCGCGGTATACGGGCCGGAAGTTTACAAACGACATTAGCATCTAAATATAGTAACTTCCTGACGACTGATCACTGCACAAATGCAATGCAACGAGCGTCTACCGAATCCCAACAGAAACAATGTAACACAGTTATAATCATTGTTAAACGACAAATTACATTGCCATATAACAAGTGTCATTCAGTAAATACCCTATGCTGGTGGAGGGAGCCTCCATACTGATATGGGTGGTGCATTATAACTGGAAGGATGACATTTCAGAAGAGCCACAGACGCACCAGACTGGCAAATGTAGTCACGGCGGCCCCAACGACACGTCCAGCACGACGTCTGCTGCCACTGGCGGCATCAACAAGGACAGCAGCGACCCCAACATGTCCCCCCACTACTACCTCCACCACCAGGCGGCAGAGGGCGCTATACGACACTCAAAGTTCTTTTTGGATGATCCGGGTAATACGGAAGAACAGTCATTTTTTTCTTTATTACACGTGTGTAATATTGTAATACAGTCGTTACGATGAAACTGCACATACATATGAATATTTCATTTATATTTTTTATTACGTGTTTGTATCGTTATCTAGCGTGTAGTTGTCCGATTTTCGATCACGAACGTTGATACTACTTAATTTCGTTTATCCGACATACTCGTTTATCCGACATAATCATATGCAACCAACCATGTCGGATTAACGTGATTGGTTGGTTGGTTGGTTGGTCTGTTGTTTAACGCCGCACTCAGCAATATTCCAGCTATATGACGGCGGTCTGTAAATAATCGAGTATGGGCCAGACAATCCAGTGATTAATATCATGAGCATCGATCAACGCAATTGGGATCGATGACATGCATCAACCAAGTCAGCGAGCCTGACCACCCGATCCCGTTAGTCGCCTTTTACGACAAGCATAGTCACCTTTTACGACAAGCATGGGTTGCTGAAGACCTATTCTACCCCGGAATCTTCACGGGTCTGGATTAAAGTGACTTGACACTTGAAAAAGAAGAGTCTGGAATGGAAGTCGCAAGTTTGAAACTGGTACCGCAAAGCTTAAGAAAGCTATTTCCTAAGTGGCTAACGTTGACTTCCTGTCAGTCATTTCATTGGTCTGTCATAGTTCGCGAAAGGTTGTTCTCACGTCAGCTGTAATGGGATGACCTTGATGTATATACGCTTGTATCTTATTTTGATGAGATTGAGGTAATCTAAGCATGTGATTAATCCTGCTTTAAGCATTAATTGTTATTGTTAAGCAAGTTTATCTCTGCAGCCGTTGTAATATGCAGCTACCAGCCGATTCATCTCGCATCAAAACACGGACTGTGTACTCGCGGGCACATGACCACGGAGTACGCTGATCACTGTGTCGGATTAACGAGACTGATTAATGAGTTATTTCGGTAATTCGTTGCAAATTGGTAGTGCCGGAGTCGGAGTGCGAGAATGTCGGATTAACGGGTCTAAATAGCACTGATTTAATCGGTTATCTCCCAAAACCCCTACATCCCATTTCCCCTACAACCCAGTTCCCCTACAATTAGTTAAAACAACACGCGGCATTTACCTGTCTGGCATTATGAACTCACCTAAAGGAGAGATTAAGGTCTGGAGTAGAGGTAGTAGGAATGAAAGGGGTAGAGCTTTAGGGGATTAGGGGACTTAAAGGAAAGTTAAAAAAAATAATTAATGTAAGTGTAATGAAAGATGCCTTATGATGAGAAGACAATTTTTGGAAATTACAAAAATAACAATAGGAAGAAACAATTATTACACTGAGAAACTGAGATGAGACGATTTACAGTTGAGATGAAAAATGAACATTTTATTATAATGTATTATGAATTTTGAAAAATGAACATTTTATTTTAATGTATTATGAATTTTGAAAATGAACATTTTATTATAATGTATTATGAATTTTGAATGATATCGTAATCGTAATTAAATATTTATCTCAATCTATTCGAGTTTCTTGGGTTGTTCCATTGTATGAAATAGGTAACAGACTAGGGATTAGCAGTGCCATGGACCGTGAACTTTGTTGTCTTAAGCTGTAGGGGAAATGGGATGTAGGGGTCTTGGGAGGTTACCATTTAATCGGTTCCCATCATTTGTGTCGGATAAAGCCGATTGTCGGATTAACGAGTGTCGGATTAACGAGACTTGACTTATATTATTTCAACCACACAAACATAGTTATAATGCTTTTTTTCAGTCTATGGATTACGCCATCTAGTGGGGGATGATAAGTTCCAAAAACTCCTTCAAATCAAGGCGGATAGCTCCATAATGTTTGTGATAGACTCTTTCGGATTTACGAAGAAAGACATGGCTTCTGTCAAAGCAGTGACAACTGTAATTATGGAGGGAACATCGTCAGAATACACAAACGATCGCACAGAATACATCATTATGATAGAAAGTGAGCCAGGTAAGACAAAACAGTAAACTACGTTTATAACTTGCTTGATAAAGGTGATAGGATCTACACCGAAACGTCGCACTAATTGTAATAAAGTTGTTCATCCATAGAACTTGTCTTACTTTATAACGAACACGCTTATAGCGAATTCACGGATATAACGAACTTATATATATGCTTATAACGCACTATGATTATTACGAACTAAAGTTAGTGGTCCATTTGAGTTCGTTATAACCGTAGTTTAATGTATATATCATTTTTCCTTTTCGTAGAGTAAGGAAGGATTTGTAGATGCATGCACAACTAAACGTTTTTAAATCTATGAATGATTAATTTACCTCCTAAACTATAGGGTTATAATTGTTATTATTTTAAATACTATATTGGACCGCCTCCGTGGTCTAGTGGTAGAGCGTCAGCCCGGAGAGCGGAAGGTCCGGGGTTTGAACCCCGGCCGCGTCATACCAAAAGACGTGAAAAGAGTGTTCTTGTTGTTACCATGCCTGGCGCTCGGCATTAAGGGGCTAAAACAAGGACTGGTCGGCTCGGAGTCAGTATACTGTGTCTGAGGGGGGTATTCATGTTAAACTGCGGCATGGTATCTCAGTGTGCTAGCACTATAAATCGACATCAGTCATGTCTAGTACAAGCAGCCACACACACACACACACGTGCATGCAAGTCGCAATATATGTGCAATAATCTTGGACGCGACGTTAAACCCCATTTCACCTTAATACTATATTGAATTCTCATGGTAAATATGCGGACCTCGCTTGCGAAATGTAACGCTTGCATCCCAAGTACCGAGTTGTCCGACTCCCCATTGTTCTCTGTGCCTTATGTTTGGTACCCCCTAACCTGTTGGCTGATATTTGGAGAGTACGCTTGTTTGCTGCCAGGAGCCTTTCTGACAATCTGGGTAATGCAGAAGGCTGCAGTGTTGGGGAGTCTTCACATTCTCCATGGCACTCACAAGGCAGCACTGTCTACGTGTAAAGGGGGCAAAGGCCCTGAGGTGATGATGAGCCTAACCAGCCTGACTGTGCCAGGATCACCCGAACCCTCTTTGCTGCATTAATTAGTTTTAATCTGTAAAATATAAGAACAATGCATCTATATAAGTGCATCTTTGCCGATTTCTTTTGAAATGAACTATAAAATGTTAAGGTGCGATGTGGATCTGAACCCAATAGAGAACATGTTCACAACATTAGGACCACAGTTCTGTTTCGTATTCAATTGATGCTTTGTGTTCAAGGAACCGGAAGTGTACAGAACGTGTACAGATCTGGAAGCTCTGTAGGAGCTCTGCGCTACCTGGATGCTCTCCCTGTGGATGGAGGTCCAGCATGTTGGCAGTTCAGCCTGCACAATGTAGAAGCAGGCAAGTACAGGAACAGAGGTCCATATGTTAGTTCGTCACGGCATCAGTGACTATTGAAGTGCCTCCTGTCTCTGCAGCCCACACCTTCCACGACTTATTTGTAATTCTAAAGAACATGCTTGTGAGATTGCCTGGATTTTAACATATATTATCATTTCCATGTCACCTTTTCCCTTGCTGCTAGCTGCGAACTTCGCCTACCCAGATTCTAGGGTCTACGTGTTCACAAAGGCTCCCCCAACAGACACAGAGAGAGCAAATGACGTCATCAAGATCTTGACAGAGAAGAGAATAACGGTTGAGTTCCTTCTCACTGGAGACTGGGCGTGCGAGGGAGAGAGGAAGGGGCGGCACGGAGGTAGACGTATAGAACTGTTTAGCCTTATGTTGATTAGAGGAGAACCTGAAACACGCAGAACACGAACACATCTCCAATGTACATACTTACATATACCAGACTGGATGTTGGCTTTCAAAAATCTTATAACTTGATGATGATGATGACTTGCGTAATTCCTTTATCATATATTTCGACATATCCGACTAAGACGTAAGCGGGGCAAATACTGCTATCAAAGAATTAAAAGAACTTTGTCGACCTTTTGACCGATTTTTAAAACAATGGCGAGTCGGGGGCATTCGTCTTGCAAACACATTAGATGATAGTACCATCACCATTAGACACTGTTTGGACCATTTTGTGAACGTTACTCGAGCCATGACATTGTGAATTTGGCCCTTCTTGTTCCCCTTGACCAGATAATGACGCTATTGCCAGTGTAGGTCTGCAAGGGTATGGGCAGTCACGCCTCAGGGAAGACAGAAGATATTGAACATTGTACGCTAGTGTACTAGAACCTGTCCTGTAAAGTCATTGATGGCTCTGTGTACGTTTTCCGTAGAGCGAAAATGGTTTCTTGTCATTTCTATGATTGAGATTCCAACATGGCTTTCATTCAAATATGGTCATCTGTTTGTTCCAGAAGCCCGACGTCGGCGATCAGCGGGTCTGGACCTTTATTCAGGCCTTGCTACAGCTTCTGGGGGGTCCGTCTATACAACAGACAAGGGGGGTGTCGCGAAAATGGCAGACATCATTAAGGTGAGGTTGCTGAAGTTGCTGAGGTTGCTGTGGTTAACAGCTATTATATACATAGAAAAAGTGCAATAATACTTTTCTTTTGTCAAACTATCAGCATCTTTCTGTATATAAACTGCCGGGTAAAAGAAAATATACACCCATGTTTGAAGGTGGCTAAACATGACACAAACAAGAAATGTTTATTCGAAGGAGATGTATTTGATACGGGTATCATAGTTATGTTTTGGACCTAAGTTTGCAATGTTCTGCGACTGTTTTCAGCCTAGTTACGTTTTACTAACGTTTGTAACTTTTCGATCACATCCAATTTACAAGTGTACACTTTCTTTTGCCGGCAGTTCGTGTACCAAATGTAACACGACCCAGGGGGCTTGGCTAAAGGTGTAAACCCAAGGCATGAGATGCGTCTGATGGTTGAGGGGAAATGGGATGTTTACATGTTTACATTTCTAACAAACCGTCGCAGAACAAGGTTCTGTCAAAGCTTACTATGAATGTCCCATCTGCGGATGATGTCATTGAATGTTTTTCAACTTATATGGTACTAAGATTGTTTGTTTATAATTGACTCTAAAACCTGAACACACGTCCATTCCTCATTTGTACTGAAATTCAAAAGCTCCATAAAAATCTGTACAAAGAGAGATATGTTGTTGGGTACCACCGAATCCTAGTCTCAAAGACTAACAATAATCCTTAATACAATCAAGGAAGGACTTTCTTTATATTCACAGAAGGTATTTCAGACAAGTGGAATTAATTCCTTCAACTTGCCACTGCCTACCTGTGTGTGTGTGTGTGTGTGTGTGTGTGTGTGTGTGTGTGTGTGTGTGTGTGTGTGTGTGTGTGTGTGTGTGTGTGTGTGTGTATGTATGTATGTATGTATGTATGTATGTATGCAAACATCTCATCTGGCTCATCTTTGGACTTTTGTATCTATCCATCTACCTACTTTGTAGGAATCTACAACATCCGGCACGACGATTCTGAAGATGTCTGTGGGTACAGCGACGGGGAGATTGATTGACATCCCCATTGATAACACAATCCGGGAAGTGACTATCAAGATCATAGCAGATACCGGCAAACCCACAGGCAAACCCACTAACACCCTGACCGACCCACACAGTGAGTTATATACTATAACGTCACACTGACCGAACCACACAGTGAGTTATATACTATAACGTCACACTGACCGACCCACACACTGAGTTATATGTTATAACGTCACACTGACCGACCCACACAGTGAGTTTTGTGTAATAACGTCACACTGACCGACCCACACAGTGAGTTATATACTATAATGTCACACTGACCGACCCACACAGTGAGTTATATATTATAACGTCACACTGACCGACCCACACAGTGAGTTATATACTATAACGTCACACTGACCGACCCACACAGTGAGTTATATATTATAACGTCACACTGACCGACCCACACAGTGAGTTATATACTATAACGTCACACTGACCGACCCACACAGTGAGTAATATATGTATACTGAACAACAAAAGTTCCTGTGACATTGAATAAGATTTAATGCAAAGTTATGTTTTTTACCAAATCTGAAACAATTTCGGTTTGCAACAGATGAAAGACTCCTGTAAGTGTTCAAATGGTTTAATTTGCCTCACTGACTTCAGAAAATGCGTGATTTCATAAAAAACATGAACATGCCAAAATGTCAATTTACAAATCAATAGCGTGTGTGTCCACCTCTGCTTGCGATGCAAGCAACACATCTTCGTCTCATGGAATGCATCCATATGTTGATATATGCATCCACGCATGATGTCTTGCATCCATATGTTGATACATGTATCCCAATCATTATGGGACCCGTGAAGATCCGGGATAGAATAGGTCTTCAGCAACCTATGCTTGTCGTAAAAGTGAGTGAGTGAGTGAGTATGGTTTTACGCCGCTTTTAGCAATATTCCAACAATATCACGGCGGAGGACACTAGAAATGGGCTTCACACATTGTACCCATGTCGGGAATCGAACCCGGGTCTTCGGCGTGACGAGCGAACGCTTTAACCACTAGGCTTCCCGACCGCCCTGTCGTTAAAGGCGACTATGCTTGTCGTAAGAGGCAACTAACGGTATCGGGTAGTCAGGCTCGCTGACGTGGTTGATGCATGTCATCGTATCCCAATTGCGTAGATCGATGCCCTGAATGTCAATCACTGGATTGCCTGGTCCTGACTCGATTAATTACTCACCGCCGTCATATGGCTGGAATATTGCTGAGTGCGGCGTTAAACAACAAACAAGCAAACAAACATTATGAATGGAGTGTATTGCGTTGTCTTTTATTTTCCAAAATTGAAAATAACAACAAATGTTTTACAAATCTTTTCAGAAACAGCTGTTGCCATGACAACCTCAGGCAACGTCACCCTGAAGGATCTAGGAGGAGGAGTTAGACTAATTAAAATAAAGGTCTGAAAACCTGACCTTTCTGCAACAGGTTTCTTTATTGTTTTGATCAAAAGTAGTCACAATTTATGGATAACAATGTCTTTAAAATACGTACAAATGTTCAGTGGAACCCCGCTTATATTATTAAAGAAATTGTTATCCATGCATTCTGTCTACAATGACATCCGTCAATTTCTAAGTATTGCCTATTCAACAATATACGGATCCAGTTTTCAACATGAAGTTATCTTTCAAAGCCAAATGTTTTCTACATGGAAAGTGGATGGTGCTACCGGTAGCGCAGGGCATACTTGCCCTTTTCGCGAACACCCGGTATCAGCACTGATTTTCGGTGATCAATTTATATTACCTTCACTGCTATTGTGCCCAATATTATCTGTTTCGGTGGTTAATCGATGGTCTTTCTCTGACGTTGAGGTTTTATATTGTGTATTCCAGTCTCCGCAACCCGGCGTGTGGCATCTGACGAAGCAGGACAGTTTCCGTTGGGCCTTGGAGGTGACCGCACAGAGCACCATCGACTTCAGCACCAAGTTTGTACAGACAAACCCCCTGAACGGATTCCAGTATGAGATCACAGGAAGACCCATTGCAGGTGATTCCTATATGTTCTCCTTTTGCAGTCCGTCTGTGACAAAATGTTTTTGACTTTCCCTACAGGTTTGGCAAACAAGTATATGACGATATGTCGGCCAATGCTTGTAAAAGACGATTATTCCAACAAAGTGTATGCCAATGTTAGTAAGTAAGTAAGTAAGTAAAAATAATAATAATGATAATAATAATAGACCATTTATATTGCGCATATGTCCACATCACACAGGGGCATGTTCAACGTGCTATTTGTACCCCGGTCACTGGATAAGTGTGCACTCAACACTTATTCTCAGCTCCCTGGGGAGTATACAACCCAAGCTGCATGTTGGGCGCTGGAAAGTTAACAACAATGTACAGTCAAGTAAATGCCTACGTTTGCTGTGCAATGTTTACATGTATCATGCGCAATACAGTAATAAAGGCATTTACAGTAATCTGCAAGTTTTATCACGTCGGGAAAAGTGAAACGTTGTTTATTGCGAATCTATAGTCAAATGCTTATGAATTGTAATCAGTGTGATTGCTTATTTGATTACCCAATTTTGGATAAAACGAACTAAGCTGTCAAGCATTTTTGAGACCGCCATATCCGAAGTGGACTGTCATTTGAACATCATCTTATATCCAACATAATTTCAGGTGAAAAGGCCACTGTTATAATAACAGTCCTATCGATTGACAAGATAGGGGGAATAACTCAGGTGGTTCTCACTGACAGTAATGGTGCACAACTAGAGTCATCTCCCTTGACTCAGGGAAGAGGCCGCGCTTCATCGATATTCAAAGGCACATTCACCCTCCCAGCAAAGGTACTTCACTTGCAACATCTACTTTCATAATCCCAAACACACATACTTATTGCAGTCTTACAGCCTAGGGTTAACATCACTGCCTTACAGTGTCGGGTTAACATCACTGCCTTACAGTCTCGGGTTAACGTCACTGCCTTACAGTCTCGGGTTAACGCTACTTCCTTACAGTCTCTGGTTAACGCCATCGCCTTTCAGTCTCGGGTTAACGTCACTGCCTTACAGTCTCGGATTAACGTCACTTCCTTTCAATCTCGGGTTAACGTCACTTCCTTTCAATCTCGGTTAACGCCACTGCCTTACAGTCTCGGGTTAACGCCACTGCCTTACACTCTCGGGTTAACGCCACTTCCTTACAGTCTCGGGTTAACGCCACTGCCTTACAGTCTCGGGTTAACGTCACTGCCTTACAGTCTCGGGTTAACGTCACTGCCTTACAGCCTCGTGTTAACGTCGCTGCCTTACAGTCTCGGGTTAACGTCACTGCCTTACAGTATCGGGTTAACGTCACTTACTTTCGATCTCTGGTTAACGTCACTTCCTTTCAATCTCGGGTTAACGTCACTTCCTTTCAATCTCGGGTTAACGCCACTGCCTTACAGTCTCGGGTTAACGTCACTGCCTTACAGTCTCGGGTAAACGCCACTGCCTTACAGTCTCGGGTTATCGCCACTGCCTTACAGTCTCGGGTTAACGTCACCGCCTTTCAGTCTCGGGTTAACGTCACTGCCTTACAGTATCGGGTTAACGTCACTTTCTTTTGATCTCTGGTTAACGTCACTTCCTTTCAATCTCTGGTTAACGTCACTTCCTTTCAATCTCGGGTTAACGCCACTGCCTTACAGTCTCGGGTTAACGTCACTGCCTTACAGTCTCGGGTTAACGTCAATACCTTACAGTCTCGGGTTAACGCCACTGCCTTACAGTCTCGGGTTAACGTCAGCGCCTTTCAGTCTCGGATTAACGTCAATACCTTACAGCCTCGGGATAACGCCACTGCCTTACAGTCTCGGGTTAACGCCACTTCCTTACAGTCTCGGGTTAACGTCACTGCCTTACGGTCTTTGGTTAACGTCAGTCTCGGGTTAACGTCACTGCCTTACAGTCTCGGGTTAACGCCACTGCCTTACAGTCTCGGGTTAACGCCACTTCCTGGCAGTCTCTGGTTAACATCACTGCCTTACAGTCTCGGGTTAACGCCACTGCCTTACAGTCTCGGGTTAACGCCACTGCCTTACAGTCTCGGGTTAACGCCACTACCTTACAGTGTCGGGTTAACGTCAATACCTTACAGTCTCGGGTTAACGCCACTTCTTTACAGTCTCGGGTTAACGTCGCTGCCTTACAGCCTCGTGTTAACGTCGCTGCCTTTCAATCTCGGGTTAACAGCAGTGCCAACTTTCCGTTGCTGTTGGTGTCTCACCAGTTTCCATCAGTAAATATAATCACAACTCTTTAATATACAACTGGAATTTTTTTTCTTTCTAATAACATGGAAGGAAATTTAATATTTTAGCATGTAAAACATAATGTAAAAATGGTCTGAGCATCTGAGGAGAGAAAGTGAAAGTGGAGATACAGTTTGGGTAACACTAATGTCACCTTTCAGGCATTCCAAGTGACGATACGAGGCACAGACGAGCTGGGGAACATGCTGCAGCGACTAGAACCAACCAAGATAACTCCTATAGCTGTTAAGCTGGAGATCGGTACACTTGCAGGTGAGATTTTCCGTTAATTTTCGCAACTTAAAACATTTTCACTGCATCCTATTCAAAAGGTTCAACCTTAAGCGGATCAACATGAGGGCGCCATGTACGGTGTTATGATCTGTTAAACCATCTCATCCGCCCATCCATCATCCATTCATCCATCCATCTATCCATCATCCATCAACTATCCATTCATTCATTTATTCATTTATTCTTTCATTCAGGGTCTCTGTACATCAAGGAAGACCTGAAGATCCCCTTCACTGTGACCAACACCGGGGACAGCAGGACCACCATAGACGTGGACATCACAGACGATCAGGGATTTGCTGTCAGTCCGTTAAAAAAGTCGTTCACACTAGCAGGAAACAGTAGCGCCACTGGGACCTTTACGTTGCATGCTGGAAGCACGGTTGGAGTAACCACGTATGTACACAACAGATTCACATTGAGAAGAAATTATATGCGGGTGAAACCATATTTCTCATTAGGGTTTTAGGGTTACTTCAGGGGATGAATTGAACAGAAAACACTTGAAATGATAAAGCATAGATACCGAAATCGCTTGATTTATCAGCGGCTTATTTTTGCTATTTGAGTGAGTGAGTGAGTGAGTTGGGTTTAACGCCACTTTTAACAGTATTTCAGTTATATCGCGGCGTGCCAGCTTAATGTGGGAGGAAAGCCCAAAGTGATGCAGGTATCAGACGTTTACCACTTCGAGGAAACCCACGAGCACGGGTATGGTGCTGACAAACCTAGAAACATAATCGGGGCGAACCGGGATGCGAATCCACAATCATATGTTTCTGGCGAGCCCAAGGGACGCAACTCTGCACAGCGAATCACGGCGCCTGAGACGACTGGGCCACCCGTGCCCCCTTTTCTATTTGAAGTGAGGTGAGGTGACGATATCATAGTGTACACTCCATGAATCCTTCCTCACGTGTCAGATGCGCCATGATGTGCAACTGAGAGATCAGGCGTTTGGAATAAACCACAAATACGTCTTTATTCTATCTAATCACTGCTTTCAGCACAGTGACGGTGTCAGCACAACCTTCTGGAGTATCAGGGCACAGTCCGCAGTTTGATACCCGCAGGATCACTGTGGAGGAACACATTGTCAGGGTGAGTTTGTTTGTTCGATTGTTTGTTTAACGGCGGTCTGTAGATAATCGAGTCTGGACCAGACAATCCAGTATTTGACATCATGAGCATCGCTCCACGCAACTGGGATACAATGACCTGCATCAACCAAGTCAGCGAGCCTGACCACCCGATCCCGTTAGTTGCCTTTTACGACAAGCATGGGTTGCTGAAGACATATTCTACCCCGAATCTTCACGGGGCGTCAGGGTGAGTGGATATACATGCCACCACATTGTACTCTCCTGATGTGCAGTATATGAGGACTTCTCCCGGCCTATTCTTATTTACACTGTTTGTTCGAACGCCGGTCTGAAAATAATCGAGTCTGGACCAGACAACCAAGTGAATGAGATCATATTAAGCATCGATCTACGCAATTGGGATCGATGACATGCATCAACCTAGTCAGCGAGCCTGACCACCACATCCCGTTTGTCGCCTCTTACGACAAGCATAGTCGCCTTTTACGGCAAACATGGGTTGCTGAAGACCTATTCTACCCCGGATCTTACACTGAGTAGATATGAAGGATGCTAAGCATGACGCCAAGACACGTGATTCACAGGGTGGCTGTTTCTGATAGTCTGGTGGTAACTAATAGGGATGTAATAGGAATATAGGTGACTATTGTAAGATGTATTAAACTACCCAATTGTAACTGTATTAAAAAGAACTGCCATAAATATATTTAAAACAACTGTTTGATAGATATAGGATAAGAACATAAACTCATGAAATAGTAGTTTCTATTATGTTTGAGTATATGTGAATGTAGACATGCAGGTCACATTTTTTATTGTAAATTTATTAATGAAAGAACAAAATGCAATTAGAAATATAATAAGATTTCCAAAGGCACGCATCATCAAAAGGTTTTTTTACAGTTCTAGATGTCGGTTATAGCAATATTATATAACAAATTTACTAAATATGACACGTTACTTGTCAACACGCGATGCTATCTCATTCTGTGACCTTTATAGGGTAGTTTTCGCATCTCCTTACTCACTGGATATTAATGGATCGGGTGGTCATGCTTCACGACTTGGATGACAGCATGGCGTCGTGCCACAACGACGTGGATCATTGATCATAATTCTGATCACTGGATTGTCTGGTCCAGACGCGATTGCTTAGGCAACAAACACTTTACTTCGTTATGAAAAGTGTCTGAGTGGCATGTTCTGCCTGTAGAGCAGGACATACTTCGCCTTTTAGGGAACACCTAGTGTCTTCACAGATTTCCCGTGACCTATGCATATAATTTTCATCACTTTATTTCATATTATTATTTTTACCTTCAGTGTAATCATTTTTGGTAGATACTCGAGACTCATTGTTCTCTGGCGTTGATGTGTCTAACCTAGTCACATACAGATTAATCTTCATATAAAATATAACAATTCAGTAACAAACAGGCCGAATGTGGATCATATTTACATCAAACAAAAGCGATAAACCCCTTTCCACAATCGTTGCCAAAAGCAGAGCCGATTGAACGATTCCGACTCTATCATGAGCATGTGTACATGAATCACTATCAAATAGTATGGTTACCAGGAGTTTGCGAAAAAATAAGCGTATGCTGCCCCTCTTTTGTAACTGAAACATACGATAGGGAATCGCATCAGGCATAATTTGTGTCACCGATGCTTCGTCTCCTCCACATGTATACCATTAAACTTATTGAAAGTTTTACTAAGGTTTGAATGTTGTAACCCTGATCAAACAACTTTCGAGCAAGAGTCGTGTGACAGTCTTTGAAAGTTTCGTATTGTACTTCAAAAGTTGTGAAACGTGGACACCAAAGGAAGGAGCTTCTGGGATGTTGCTCGACATAAAGGAAAAGCTTACTGTTGGAAGTCATCCCTCTTGTCCTACAGTCTTGTTGAGAGTTTCGAAACTGAATCTTTATGCGTAGATCTAAATATGAAACCGATGAGACGGTTTCGCTGGTCTTTCATTTGTTTGTTTGTTTGTTGTTTAACGCCGCACCCAGCAATATTCCAGCTATATGACGGCGGTCTGTAAATAATCGACAATCCAGTGATTAATATCACGAGCATCGATCCACGCAATTGAATCGATGACATGCATCAACCAAGTCAGCGAGCCTGACCACCCGATCCCGTTAGTCGCCTTTTACGACAAGCAGAGTCACCTTTTACGGCAAGCATGGGTTGAACTATATGAGATCATCGATATACCTGAAGCTAAACTTAAAGAAATTCCATTGTTTGGTTTTGTCAATGTATAAAGAAAAGATCAGGAAGGAGTATAATACAACTGGTGCCCATGGCGATGCCTAGTCCTGGCCTAGATGTCCCATCCCTCCAAACAAAACATAGGAACATTTTAAATAAGCATTGACACCCGAGTATAATTTGAATTTTCATTTTCTTCATGTTTGAACTGTTCCAGAAAGTGGACAACATGACCCCTGAGTGTAACGTGACCTCGGTGACCGGAAGCTGCAGTATGGCTCAGATGGACCCGTGTAGTTGTCACTTGTACACGTGGTCGGGGACGGCACAGTTCGGGGATGTGGGTTTCGGGCTGTTCCAGATCTCGTCCACCGTGGGGAAGACGGGCACCTTCACGTATGACAACTTCACCCTGGGGCACACCATTGACAAGGGGGCCAAGAAGGCATATATAGGGTAGGAGATTTATTGAAATCGATTACATTATTTTCAACACAGATCTGTAGGGTCAGACGCATTTCTGGAGGTCTTCAACAACCAATGCTTGTCGTAAGAGGCGACTGACGGGATCGGTTGGTCAGGCTCGCTGACTTGATTGAAGCATGTCATTGTATCCCAGTTGCGTAGATCTATGCCCATGATGTCAGTCACTGGATTGTCTGATCCAGGCTCGCTTATTTACAGACCGCCGTCATAGAGCTGGCATATTTAGCACTCTGGTGAAACCCAATGGTACCGACTGCTCCGCGACTTTCTAATCCTGGCACAGATAAGGCACGGCACTATGAAAAGTGAATGTATCTTTTAAGATGACTAAGTTACTCATGCCGCCTCCCCGTGAAGATCACGGTTGGAATTGATCTTCAGCAACCCATACTTAAGAGGCGACTAACGTGATCGGGTGGCCAGACTCAGATTTGGTTGATGCATGCCAACGCATCCCATTTGCGTAGATAGATGCTCATGATAACAATCACTGGATTGTAAGGTCCAGACTGGATTATATACAGACCGCCGTCATATGTTTGAGTATTGCTGAGTACGGCGTTAAATACGAAACAAACAAACAAACTCACGCCTCCAACAGAAATACTAACGTTTGTGTTCTACAGGAGCGACTGCTGCGACCCCGAGTCTTACATCAACGTGGTCGACATGGCCAGCAACACAGCGCAGTGTACGTTTGACCTGGCTCCCGGACTCACCAAACCCGTGTACGACTGTACGACGACAACGACGACGACGACGACAACGACGACAACAGCCGCTACCAACACAACTACATCATCCAGCATGGATGTGGTACGAAGAGTATACCTACATTTACACATTGCATAGTTACATAAGTTTACTCACTGGATTGTCTGGTCCAGACTCGATTATTTACAGACCGCCGTCATATAGCTGGAATATTGCTGAGTACGGCGTAAAACAACAAATAAAAAAACTACATAAGTTTACATAACATACTCTGATGGTGTGTGAGATTGATTTTACGCCGCTTTTAGCATTATTCCAGCAATATCACGGCGGGGGACACCAGAAATGGGCTTCAAACCCGGGTCTTCGGCGTGACGAGCGAACGCTTTAACCACTGGGCTATCCGACCGCCCCTAGACTCTGATGGTAATACTGTACCTCGTTTGCATGTATGTATGTGTGCCAAATGATTTGACCGTACATTGGTATATACCTTTCATTCAGTGTGAATGTGTTTATTAATGACATTTTCGTGATTTCGATTAAATAATATTTGTTTTATTGCACCAGGATGGGGTCTTGGGAATTGGCGCCATTGTAGGGATAGCAGTGGGTGTGACAGCGGTGTTGGCTGCCACGATAGTCACAGCTGTACTTATCGGCAAGAGGTTCATCTGCATCACAAAGACAAGCGGCAAAGTGAAGACGAGTCAGCCTCCTACCGGCCATACATTGTAACACTGTGTCGCCAAATGTAAACTGTCTGACATTCTAAATACCGTCTACCTACAGTGTAGTCACAACACTCTCATATGATTTGATGCCTTTTCTTTCTAAACTGTTGTTTTATCTTTAACCTCTTTGTTTTATCTTTATCATATGCAGATGTAGTGTTGTAACACGGAAATACCAAAGTATTGAACTGGAGCACTAACCTAAGCACATTTAATTTTCATATATGGAAGTTTCGAACACACGCACGAAGCTCTGTAGCATCTAATTCATTTAGAAAGGTTCCATGTGTTTCAACAAATTGTTCTTTATATTTACTTCCGGATTGATAGTCATATATTTTCTCTTTCAAGTTAATTCTTCGCACGATCCGTTCAAAGAATACGATTATGTTATTACTAACGCAGTTACCTTTTTTGTTTATTGCAGTAATATGACAAGGGTTTGTGTTCAGAATTTACAAAACAATATGCTGTATATCGTAAGGTTTGTCCTGGTTGAATAAATATTCGATGTCAGATTATGAAACCTATCTGTCTTTTTGTCCGAACTGCTTGTTCGTAAATGTACAACCGCAAAATGGTGAGAGTTTTAGACGTGAGTCTAAACAACATCATCATCATCATCATCAACAACATCAATAATAATAATAAAAAAGCGACAAAACCCTTTCCATATCCAATACAAATATCTGCATAGATCAGAGTCGTTAGTACGATTCTGACTATATCATAAACATATGTTTATGAATCAGTGTGAAATAGTGATGATACCAGGTGTTCGCGAAAAGGTGAGCGTATCGTGAAACGTTTGCTGATTTCAAGCCCGTGTAGCGCCGTAATTTCCGGCTACCTTTTTCTTGTTTACCTCAGCGGCGCAGCATAGAGCTGACATTTGATGGTTGTTTTAAAATAAATAGGAGGTAACGTGATCACAGATGAACATGGTTGTGTACCCTATGGTTTGTTTAGGAGGTGCCAATAGGTTGAAATAAGTGACATTCATATTTCATGCGATATCGTGCTGATTCGAACCGAGTGCGAAATCTTGAATAAGAAACAAGATGGCGGGTGTCACTCCTTGTCTCTTTGTATATAGAGGGTGTGATTTTTTCAATACGAATATATTATGTTATACACGCTATCATCGAGTTCATGTGGGGCGGTTATAATGTGTTACCTGCCACCATACCATCTTCGACAAGGACCGATGCTTATGCAGTGTCTCTAGATCTTAGAATATTTACAGACCACCTTGTTTTAGCTTCATCGTTGCTGCGTCGTAAAACAGCAGCTGCTAAGTCATGAGAGTTTGTATAGAAAACTAAATCACTTTGAAAAAAAGTGTGTTTGAAAAACAATGGAACTTACATGCGTCATTCCACATCCACTCATGTACATCTATGTTGTTTGTTTCTTTAGTGATCACGAGTTTGCAACTAATGTCAACGAGCTGAAAATGAGTAATTTTATTGAACCCGGTTTGTACAAAGAACACATGTACGACAGATTACAACCAGTTACTGACCGCTTATGGTGTGGTCGAGTGCACAGTAAACGTTCTTCTGACATATTGGTAGTCCTCGGGGTCGTCTATCACAGTCGCCATTATTGTCAAAGTTCTGGAAAGACATAGCGAAAACATGAAGAGTGTAAAGTGTAAAGTGGCACGCCTTCCATGGCCGAAATCTTTAGAAAGTTGTCAAATGTAACAAATGTTATATTTGGGATAACACATTCTTAGTAAAGTACAGAATCCAGTAATTTTCGGAAGTCCCATCCGGGATTCGAACCCACACTGTCAGAGAAAGACACCTAATCGCCAGCACATCCAGATGGGACTCAACCCAAAACAAGTACTAGGATTTGTTTTTTACTTATAATGTGACATTTGAACACTTTCTAAATGGCATCGTGTGTTTATAAACATAATCTTTTCTATCCATATCCATTATTCCTCTCAATATGTTGGAGATCGTAGGTAGAATTTCCAGTAACATGGGCGTGGCCATCTTTCCTACTGATTTCCTACAGTAAAAGCCGTATTGATTTCATGTTAGAATAGGTCCCTAGCAACCAATGCTGGTCATAAGGGGCGCCTCAATAGGTCGGATGGGCAGGCCCTGTGACGTGTTTGATTGCATGCCATCGTATCGCAGTATAACATTAGTCACTGGATTCCCTGGTCTCGACTCGATTATTTACACACCGGCGTCAAACATCTGGAATAGTGTTGAGTGCCGCGTTAAATAAAAACAGACGAAGAAATCCTACGGACGTTATATGACAAAGACAAATTTCTTAAATCTTCTAAAAAACAGAAGAGGCGATTATGATAAACATCGTGGTCGTAATGTTTTTTTAATTTTTCGTTGGTTAGTTTGTAATGGCAACAATGATGTTTTCAGAACAATTTGCTCACACAAACAACGTTCAAGAAGTATGCTGGTGATGTTGTATGTAGACGAATGCTTACGTTGTCACTTCTGCCGTCCTGCCTCCGTTAATAACAACTGTACGTCTCGTGTGTTCCCCCGGCTGGAGATTCAGTGTGCCGCCAGAAGTCCCGGCTAGCCTCAAGCCGTCTGCTACGTCCAATTTCACTCTTTCGGAGTTACCTCCCTTGTTGGTGACCTTCACATTTATGTGAGTTTGACTTCCGACTTGAAGATGTCCTGTTATACACACATCAAAATCAACAGTTATACGATCATGTACGCTCCGTGTAGTCAGAAACAGTCAAAACGCCCTTCCATTCAAGAAAGATTCATGAACCACAAGCATATGAGGAAGGAGACTGAGAACGAAGAATGCTTTCGCCCAGCTTCAAATAATAAAATGTTCCTGACACACTGAATTCGATGGAAAGACAGACTACGACAAATACTGACCAACAACTCGTTCCACGCTGAGGGACAGGGTACTGGGCTTTGTTAGACCAGGCTTCTGTCGTTGAAACGGGTGCCCGTCCTTGTCCCTTCCTTCAATAACCATACGATAAGGCTGAAAGTAATAACATTATCCATTGTATGCCTCATTTGAAGCACTACCTGTATATGCCATGGAAAAGCTTTACCAGTCAAAATTATCCGACGAAACAGATTCAGGATGAAAAAGGCAAAATAGCTCTAAAAATGATTTGAATGGATCACTGGAAAAAAGTGACACGTTATGTGATCATTCGCAGTTGAGGTCAGACCCAATAGTAATTTCGTCCATACAACAACCCCTTGATTTAATTATTATGTACGTATGTCTATAATCGACAGAGGACGAGCGGCAGCACTTTGTCGGGACACACATGAACTCTCCTGCTGAAAACAATGCCAGGCAAAGACGAGTATGACTTTCGTTCTGAAGTATCCTTATGTCCAGTATTTTACTGCTACTCATCCTATAGTTTAATATTGCCGCAAGTAGCTGCAAGTCTGCTGATGCGGCGTTAAGCCATATTGACTCCAATGGTTTATTCAAGCACATTCAAATGTCACCGGATACACATTCTCTTCCTGGCCAAGATGGATAACAGCTTAAGCCATGCAGTAAACTTGTAATAATTATAACTTGATTATGCGTAATTGAAACGTAATCATTAAGGAAAACAGAATCATAAAGATACAGTTATATAACTACGGTTATAACGAACTCAAAGGGGCCGCTAATTTTAGTTCGTTATAACCGTAGTTCGTTATAAGCATTTCGACTACTCTATACAGCAAATGGCCGAGTGAAAAACAGTTCGTAATATCCGTCAGTTCGTTATAAGCATGTTCGTTATAAACGTAGTTTACTGTAGTTAAATCAAGGCTTTCAATGTGCTAGTAATAAACTATGTGCACTGTGACATTAACCTGATCTGGAACAGCGACATTGGCAATATAGTTGTGCCCTCTCTTCTTTCGATATGTCAGGCTGCAGCGGTGGATCTCAATGCCGAGAGTGTCATAGAAGATCAGAGAGTCTATGGAGGATACGGCGTCAACCGCCGTCACTGCCACAGCATGGGTCACAGTTTCACCTGGAGAAACATATTCAGAACCAGTTAAAAATCCCATCGAATTACAAGGAGATTGAACATACTCAGGTTGCAGGCGGTTGTCTCCCGAGTAGACTCCCCAACTACTGTCACGGCGTCAAGGCAGACCTGTGGTTGAAGATAGCTTGGACAGCAACTCATGCTGTCGGAGAACAATGACACACAATCAGGCATCGATCACTCGATCCCCACTGGTCGACTTTGCCAGGGATACCCCACAAGGACAGAATTGTGGTAACATTCACCCAAATGTGATCATAACTGTGGATTAGAACCTGCGGATCCTCGGGCGGCTAAGGGACGCAACTCTGCACAGCGACATCAGTAAAAGTCTGTTCGGATAATCTTACTGTCATATGAAAAATAATCATATTAAAGTGACTGAAAAATAGTAAAAATAAAACCGCTGATAAAAGAGTCATGTACAAAATGCGTAAGTTACTGCATTTACATGACGTCATAGAATACTATAAATGAATAAATAAATAAACAAATAAACAAATAAATAAATACAAAACTTACCTTCTACCGGTTTCCCCTCGATGAACATACTGTGTCCGTTGTCATTAGTCTTCACTAGATAGTCTTTAATGTCTACCACAGTGATGCCGTGGATGCTGACCTCAACAACGCCCTTGCCGTTGTTCTTTACAGCCCACGCGCCAGGTTTGGGGGCCTAGGTATGTAACAGAACAGGCAAAGAGTTAGTAAAGAATATCTGCAAAGTACAAGTATATATAACTCAACCACAAGCCCTAGGTAGATGAAAATATAAGGAGTAGTGACAGTGTATCTACCTCAATTATAATCTCGCCATCTTCGTTTTGGGTGACAGGAACCATTTCACCTGCGAACACAATTTATCAAAAATATTTGAACACAATTTAAATAATAATAAATACTCAATATTATTATTTGATGGACCGACCATCGAAAAAAACTTTTAAAAAATACACAAAAGAAATTCTGTCAGTTCTGACATTTAGGTTGACAAACTTTCTTTGTAATTTTCTGTTTTGATTCCATTTTGTCTCGTTCATGTTGTGTACATACCATTTGCGTAAATCATAACTTGTCCGCTGTGATAAACGTATCACTAAAATATCCTTCTTTAAGGAGGATAGAAGGATGTGTCTAATCCATCTTGTAATACATTCAAGGCACCTACCATCCGGGTTAAACACTCTCACGTTGGCATTGTGGTTACTTGTGGGTCCTATCTGCAGGTGGAGCGTCTTCACTGTGCTGTCCACGGGGAACGTCTTCAGTGAGAGGCCTCCGAGGGAGAATTCACTCAAGAGAGGCAGCTGGCTCCGAGGAACCTGACAAGGTATACGTCATACAGGAAGAGGTCAGATACGTCATAATGTATTTCACTGTAATGACCTAATGCCATAACAATATTATATGTATAAAGCTACGGTTTTATGCTCAGGAATCGATAACATGCAAACAGCGCCACCGTACATCTGTATGTATTACCTTAGATGGGCTTTCTAGATATGATGACGTTAAATAGTGTATGTCAAACCCAGGAGTCCTGGAGATGTGGTCATACTGGACAGCGCCAGAACCTGTGGACATGTAGAAATGTTCTTCAATCGTATTAAATTATTAATAGTTGGTACTATTATTGACATTGATTAATACCATTGTTATTTGTTGACGTTATCACTTTTATTTAAAATCACGTCATATAGAGTACATAAGGTGTAGACACTTGCCGCTGCTTCTTCTCCGCCGTGAGCAGTCCCCAGTCAGGATGAAGCTCACTGCGATCTTTTTCTCTGTCACCATGCTCGTGACGTAGTTGATCTTGGCCGCGTCTTTGGGCGAGGCGTCGGTAAACACGTATACTTTTGAGTTTGGGTTAGCAACTGTAGCCGCTGTTGATGTAGGAACCACAAATGTTATTTGTAATAATTGAAAATAATTCATGGTAGTGTTATAAAAATGCCTAGAAATACATCAGTCATCATTTATCGCAAAAGGAAGTGTCAACAGGTTCCAAGGGTCGTAGAAATTACAGACCTTATCAAGAGTTTATGTCAGATACGAGCATAGCGAACTAGGGTGGAATTCTGGACTGTATGGACTGGACTCGCAGAGAGTGATCCGTGTATTTGACGTACTTGCCTATACCCTATGAACTCTGAACTGTGTATGTGACGTACCTGTCTATACCCTATGAACTCTGATCTGTGTATGTGACGTACCTGTCTCTACCCTATGAACTCTGTGCTGTGTATATGACGTACCTGCCTGTAGACCTGTGAGGGAGAACTCTGGACAGTCTCCTCCTCCATTGACCCTGAGACTGCTGAGATAAGTAATCACAGCCGTTCCATTCTTGGATTTAAATATATCCGTCTTGTTACCTGCCAAAAGGGTATAGAAGATATGTCATGACCATAGTTCATTCCAGATCCACACTTTGCACAACAACTTTCTTTTATTTTGGAAATTTGAATGATATTGTGCCCATTTAAAGATTCAGATTGTATGATCGAGCTTTTTTGTTTGTGCGGTGGGGTGATCTTGTAACCATGAGTGAATGTGTGAGTGAGGTATCAGGCCTCTTTTAGCAGTATTGCAGCCGTATTTCACACATTGCTACAACGTGGGGAATCGAATCATGATAAACCAATTAGCTATCCCAGCCCCGACCTTGTTATCGCCGACACTACCTGGATCGTTAAAGGTAACGACCTTGTTATCGCCGACATTACCTGGATCTTTAAAAGTAACGACCTTGTTATCCCCAATATTACATGGATCGTTAAAGGTAACGACCTTGTTATCTGTTATCCCCAATATTACCTGGATCGTTGAAGGTAACGACCTTGTTATCTGTTATCCCCAATATTACCTGGATCGTTAAAGGTAACGACCTTGTTATCCGTTATCCCCAATATTACCTGGATCGTTAAAGGTAACGACCTTGTTATCCGTTATCCCCAATATTACCTGGATCGTTGAAGGTAACGACCTTGTTATCCGTTATCCCGGATATTAACTGGATCGTTAAAGGTAACGACCTTGTTATCCGTTATCCCCAATATTACCTGGATCGTTAAAGGTAACGACCTTGTTATCTGTTATCCCCAATATTACCTGGATCGTTAAAGGTAACGACCTTGTTATCTGTTATCCCCAATATTACCTGGACCGTTAAAGGTAACGACCTTGTTATCCGTTATCCCCAATATTACCTGGATCGTTAAAGGTAACGACCTTGTTATCTGTTATCCCCAATATTACCTGGATCGTTAAAGGTAACGACCTTGTTATCCGTTATCCCCAATATTACCTGGATCGTTGAAGGTAACGACCTTGTTATCCGTTATCCCCAATATTACCTGGATCGTTAAAGGCAACGACCTTGTTATCTGTTATCCCCAATATTACCTGGATCGTTAAAGGTAACGACCTTGTTAGCTGTTATCCCCAATATTACCTGGATCGTTAAAGGTAACGACGATGTAATTATAGGGTTGTTTGATTGTGCCAAGTGTTTCCTTGATAATTTCCTGCGTCTTTTTTATGACGGCGGCAAGGTCGTCTCCCATGGAGCCTGTGGTGTCGATGACGAAGACCATGGAGTTTCCAGCCGTCAGTTGCAACAGTTCCTGAAAAACCTCATCTCCAATCAGGGAATGCAGACCGTACACTAGAACCAAAACACAACTGGATAAGTAATTGTAGGGAACATCAGCAGTCCACTGGAACCAAACCAAGACTAGAGGAATAATTACCTGGAACCATTGCCGAACATTAGAACCAAACCACAACTAGGGTGAGTGAGTGAGTTCCCACCACAACAAGAGAAATAATTGTACAGAACATATGACGTAGGGTCGTCAATCGGACTACATGTAACTAAATGTTGATTAAGTTCAAAATGAGCCTTATAAATTAGTTTTGTTTCATGGTTCTCCTCTGAAGTTATCAAACGTGACAGCACATTTAGGAAAACAGTTGAACAAACGATTGTAGAATGGGCCTAATCCTACTTCTACCTTGTGTATGAATGGATGTCATGTACAAAATAGATTTCACAGGTAGATACGGTTTTCGCGTGAACAAAGCTTCAGTTTATAGTACAATATGTTGTAGCAAATCTACAACTGGTGAATATTAACTAAATAAGATAAACAAGAATTAAACTGTAATAAGGACGAAATAAAGACTGTAGCTATTGTGACACAAGAGACTTTTCTGAGGCTCCAATGAATGAGACTCTGTGAATGGATCACTTAATGTGGGATAGTTGCGGATTTACCAGGGTGTGCGAAGAGGAACCTGGTATGCAGGATCGCCCCTTGGGCCGCGGTGTCGTGAAGCGGGGCGTGGGGGGACATGCTGGAGTCGCTAGTGTCCTTGTTGATGCCCCCGATAGCCGCTATGGTTCTACCAGACTGGTCATACGGGCCGCCATGGCTACATTTCCCAGTCTTGAATGTTGCTGGGTCCCCTGTAAATAATGTGTTTCAGTTAGATAAAGTACATCATAGTCATTCCCCATGGGACCCTTCAGGGTTTCTAGTCCTGGGGACAAGGATTGTGTTCGTTATATCCGACGTTTGTTGTTCACAGTGTTGCTAGCCCTAGGGACAACAATTGTGTTCGTTATATCCGAAGTTCGTTGTTCACAGTGTTACTAGCCCCAAGGACAACAATTGTGTTCGTTATATCCGACGTTTGTTGTTCACAGTGTTACTAGCCCTAGGGACAACAGTTATGTTCGTTATATCCGAAGTTCGTTGTTCACCCTGTTACTAGCCCTTGGGACAGCAACTGTGTTCGTTATATCAGTACTGGTAACTTAATAATTGAAAGAACTTACTGCTCGGCTTTCGCCTGTCCTGTCCACTACGGTACCCACTGGTCAGAAGCGGGCCTTGGACCATGATGTTAGCTGTACATGGGATCCCAGTTGAGGAGCTGAAAGGCAAAACGGTTTTCTGTTAATGATGCGCATATCGAATGTACGAAGATAATATAATATTAATCTCACAGTTATCTGATAACCCTGTGTCAGCATTGTGAATTTAAAATGGCCAGTTTAGGTTTATATTAATTTCAAGTTTTAGCATTAGTCGCCAATCGGAACACACAGACCCCCATATATCCTCCAGCATCATTCTTCCCCAGTCGTATGATTGTTTGTAATGCTATGCAATCACTTGATTGATGATCAAATATACCGCGTAATATATACGTGAATACTGTCTGGATACAAGGTCATCGCTGAAGGCGTTCAAATATATTTTAAGCTACAGCTGTAGCGTACAGTTGATAACAGCTGAATAATAATATAAGGTCAAACATACACAAGGAAACTCGACAGCGTGAGTACAGCTGTACTCACCCACAGCTGCGACACGTGTCCATGGCGGAAGGGGCCTGGGCCATCAATGGTTTCCCCCGCATCCCTGAAGACAGACGCGTGTACTGTTGTCAGTCAGTAAGTAGGTTTGCAGTCAGCATGTTTGTTGTTTAACGCCGCACTCGGCAGTATTCCAGCTATATGAGACCGCCTCCGTGGTCTAGAGGTAGAGCGTCCGCCCGGAGAGCGGAAGGTGCTGGGTTCGATCCCCGGGCGCGTCATACCAAAAGACGTTAAAAGATGGTACTTGTTGCTAACCTTTCTTGCGCTCGGCATTAAGGGACTAAAACAAGGACTGGTCGGCTCGGAGTCAGTATACTGTGTCTCACTGGGGTATTCATGTCAAACTGCGGCATGGTATAATTGGCATCAGTCCGGACTAGTACAAGCAGCCACACATACACGTACACACACGTCGCTATATAAGTACAATAATCTTGGACGCGACGTTAAACCCCATTTCACCTCACCTCACCTCCAGCTCTATTACGGCGGTCCGTAAATAATCAAGTCTAGACCAGACAATCCAGTTATTGACAGCATGAACATCGATCCACGCAGTTGGGATACGATGACATGCATCAATCAAGTCAGCAAGCCTGACCACCCGACAGCAATATTGCAGCTCTATTACGGCAGTTTTTAAATGAAACCAGCTGCTGCATACGAGACATGAACAGCAGTCAGAAACCATGACACACCCTCAGTCAGGTCAAACATTGCGCCTGGTCTGTTCTTAAGAGAAGGACCGCCTGAAGGACCAGGTTCCAGCTGGTTTGATCCCCGGCTGCGTCTTATCAAAAGACGTTAAAAGATGGTACTTGTTGTTACCCTGCCTGGTGGTCAGCATTAAGGGGCAGATCGGCTCGGATTTATACTGTGTATGAGTGGGGTATTCATGTAACATGTTCGTCGCTATATGAGTGCAGTAACCTCATGTCAGTTCCCTTGTTTAGAAAAAACATGGTATATGGGGCTGTAGTCATCAACAGGTCCAAAGTAGGGTGTACCATTCTCATTGGTTTGTTTGTTTTCTAACGCAGCACTCAGCAATATACCAGCTATATGACGGCGTGTGAATAATGGAGTCTGGGCCAGACAATCTAGTGGTCAATATTGTGATTTTGTTTGTGTGTTTGTTCTTTAAGGCCGCACTCACCAATATTCCAGCTATATGACGGCGTGTGAATACTGGAGTCTGGGCCATGAGCGTGAGCAATGATGACTCGTTATTAACCAAGTCCCCGAGTCTAACAACCCGATCCTTTTGGATCCTTTTGGGCACCTATTCAACCTAGTATCTCCACTGTGGGCAACATGTGCGATGATTTACGTAAACAAGATTGATGACAACAGGAGTCGAGTGTAAGTAATCTCACAAAACACAGTCCTGCTGTGTGCGGCTATTTTCGAACTGTTTGGTGTATACCGAGGTCCAATGTGAAGGTTACAACTCTGTACATTGATGTTTGAATGTACCTACTAATATACATGTACATTAGTACATGATGAAAGCATACCTAGAGATTCATAGGCCGCCTTTCCACTGAGTTCCGGCCAGTTGGTGTTGCTGTAGAACATCTGGACAATGTGTAGAAACTGACCAATCTGCTCTCGAGCCGCATCGAGGTTGGGATTGGTCTTGTTTAGAACATTGATGGCTGTTTCCCGTAGCAACGTGATCTTGTCGTTACCTGCAGTTGTTATCGCATACATCAGGTGATGCGAAGAGCCAATGCATTTCAATAACACATTAATAAGTTGTAATATTTTGTTAACATTCTATTATATAGCATGCTATAATGCAGGTGTATTATCTTCATTTACGAATGATCGTGTTCTGAAAGCACGATGCATCAGCATACCAGTTTACCACCAGTTGTCACATGTACAGCTGAAACAACATGGGTTTAATCATTTTCTCTGCTCAATCTCTTTAAAATCTGTTCACGTCAACGTTAAACAAAGAAAGAGAACATTTCATTACGGGTCACGTCAGAAGGATCAATCAGAGCTTCGCTTACGAGATAGGTGAAACCTCCCAAAAGGTTAACTCGGGGTATTCTTAATGACAGTTACGGGCCGTTCGACAAATTTCGTCAAGATCATCATCTTTCTCTCGTGTTCAATGGGAGAAACATCTGAACGAAAGTGACTTTCCACACACAGTCTCGGTCAGCTATTAGACATTCCAGAACTTTATCTTGTTTACTCTTCAAACTTTGACTCAATATTTTTCAAAGCGTAATATGGAAATTGCCAGTTTGAAACTTGTGCGTAAACAACTCGAGAAAACTGCTTTCTGGTTAGCTAATGTCGACTTCTTGTCAATCATTTCATTGGTCGGTCAAAGTTCGCGAAAGGTAATTCAGACGTGACCTGTAATGGGATGTCCTCAGGTCCTGTGTGGCGGTAGAGAGCGCTAACATCTGATTTTAATGAGATGTATGTAATGTTTGTTTGCTCAATGTGTCAATATCACCTTCTTTAATGGCCTCCCCGTTGACATGCCAGGCAGCCTCCGTGTAGTGGTCCTGGTCCACTCTGTTGTTGGCCTTCACGATGTCATCGATGGCCTCCTGGAACCGCTTCTCCGACACAGTGCCTGGCATTAGTAACACGCAATCAGACAACAACCAAGTAACTACGAGGAATTATTTACTTTTGTAAATTATGAAAAATAAGTATCGCAATATTCATTCTACAAATCTCATTGTCATTTTTATACTAAAACGGTTTTACGAAATATTAAACATTATAAAATGTATTGAGCTAGTGTTCTAGATCTGGTGATGTTATATTATCCACGTTGGTGCAATAATAATGGGTGACGTCTTATCGTTGTACACAGCGATAGTCCAGCCGGCATTTTGCTTTAACTGACCAATCATCCCAGATTTCGCCAAATGTTTTTTTTAATCTTTCAACCTTTACAACATGAATACACGAGAGTCAAATTACCTGTAGTTTTAGTTGGTAACTTTCAATTGTATATTGGTGGAGCCGTTTCGTTGCACTTTGTGACAAAAGCATGAAACTTGGCACAGTTGTGGGTAATGACATTCCAAATATTTTCAGATATGGGGCCACCCCAAAAATCCAATAATGCCGCCATGGAGGAACGAACTTATCGTATAACTCGGGTGAGCCGAGATGTATTAAATATATTATGAAAAATGAACATCTTTAAAGTAAATAACTATATTGTACTGGACTATTTGTTTTGATTTAGGTAATCTAATGTGTGAAGAAATACCACATTACCAACATTGTATACTTATATGGTAAATTGTCAGGGACAATTAAATGTGATCACAGTTGCCACCACATTTGCAAAGTGGTGTACTCATCAAATGTGCCACAACGCAGTCACACCTTGCTCTGCGCCCACTCTCAGACTTACAACTACATCTCAGAAGCTCTTAGCAGGACTTTGAAGCTTGTGGTAGTCTAGTTCACAAAGGCCCAATGTGCTACTGATATTACCCATACTCTCTCAGTTGGTGTGGAAAGCTCTGTTTCGGCCTCCAGACTCGATCGGCTTGAAATGAACTCTTTCGAAATTTTGGTACAAAGGAGTTGACATAGGAGGAATGGAATCAATTGATCTACCATTCTTGGTGAATACGAGGGCAGGTCAAAAAGTTCTAAGCCTGGCTAACTTTCAACTATGGGCCATAACAAGGTGAACTATGTCAATGTAGTACATTGTTTGAGTAGTTTATTGCAAGTGTATTTGGTCTGTTGAGGCCGTTTGTGTATTAGTGAGTGAGTACGGTTTTACGCCGCTTTTAGCAATATTCCAGCAATATCACGGCGGGGGCCACCAGAAATGGGCTTCACACATTTTACCCATGTCGGAACCGAACCCGGGTCTTCGGCGTAACGAGCAAACGCTTAAACCACTAGGCTACCCGACCGCCCTGTGTATTAGTGACAGTTGAACGTGATAGGTGTCCAAATGGCCACAGAAATGGAAGCGAACGAGTATCGAGCAGTCATCAAGTTTTTGACTTTAGAGAAAAGTACTCCCCATGAAATCCATGTCACAAGTGTAAGGGGATAAGTGCCCGAGCTTTTCCACTGTTAAACGTTGGGCAGCTATGTTTAAGGTTGGGAGTACAAGCCTTGATGATGACCCTAGGTCTGGACGTCCCTTAACTTCCATCAATGAAGATGCAATCAAGAAGATAAAACGTCAGATAGACGTATTATCATTGCTTAAATTGAGGAAGACACAGGTCTGACCTGAGCCATGGATCCATTGACACTATTATTCAGAACATTTACAGATATAATTGGGTGCCAACGTGTCTAAATTTTGATATGTAAGGAAAATAAATAACATTGCCAAAGAAAATGTAGAGCGAATTGGGGAGGATTTCGTCAAATTCAAAATGAAATTTGTATCGAGTGATGAAACATGGGTCTATCACTATGATCCCGAGACAAAACGTCAATCCATGGAATGGCACCATTTCACTTCTCCGGCACCAAAGAAATTCAAGTCTTCAAGACCAGTGAAGAAAGTTATGGTCACTGTATTCTGGGATGCAAAGGGTGTGATTCTTGTTGATTACTTAGAAAGTCAAAAGACGATTACCGGTGCCTACTATGCTGATTTGCTTCATCGCCTGAGAGATTTTATAAAAGAAAACTGGCAAAGAATGCTGACTGCTTGAGTTCATGACAATTCCGTCTCGACTTGCTGCCGCTTCTGTGCGACAATGTGGGTTCCAAGAGCTTCATCGCCCTCCATACTCGCCAGATCTGGCACCAAGTGATTTCCACCTATTTCGATGACGACAACGATGACCTCAAAGCTACCGTGAATGGGTTTTCCGGGGTGGCTTCAGAATAAAACTTCGACTGGAATTGAAAAGCTTCACTATTCATATGAGTGTTTTGAAAAGCAGGAAGAATATGTTGAAAAATAAAATAAAAACACTTTCACAATTGTTGGCTTTGTTTGTTATTCTTAGAACGTTTTGACCTGCCCTCATAAGCCTTTGAGTGCCTCATACAAAAACTGGCCCAGTCATTTATGAAGACCACAAAACGTTGACTGACTGGCATCAGGTTCCCCACATCCTGTTTGGTTGGTACATCACCAATGAGATGTAAACCTCTGCTGATTCATCATGCACATGAGATGTAATCTGGTTTTTGTTTGCCTTTGCCAACAAAGAAAGATGTCAGGTCACAGCCAGTGAAGCTCAAAGTGATCAGGCTTTCTCTGGTCCATGGAATCCGACTAGGACATGAACAGCCAAATATCTTCATTTTCTTCCTGTTCCAAAAGCTATCTAGATGTGAGACACATCTATTCTGTCAAACAATGCAATGACCAAGGCAATGACATTAGTATCAACAGTTCTAATCGAACTCCTTTCAAACCCTGTCTGGCAGCCACAGACATGTGCAAAACGCCTCGTGTCAGTTTCTTAAACTGAATATTGATGCAGATCAATGACAACATCTGACCCATTGTTGCACAGAACCTGTTTACTGTAAGTGCGTATAATTGTTTTTATCCCAACATGCCTATGAAATAACTTGTTAAGCCAAGGACACAAACAGAAAACTCTAGAAAAGCAAATTACTACACTACATTTAAGATTACTAGGACCTTATCTATTAAGTGTAAAATTACATAAGTTTAGAACAGCTCTTTCTCGATTTCGTTGTGGCTCATATGATCTATTTATTGAAAAAGGCAGATATGAAGGTATTGCAAGAGAACTGATTGTATTGAAGATGAATATCACTTTTATATGTATGTCCAGTGTATTATGATTTAAGGCAACATATCTTAATAAATATTTCAACCACAACCAAAACGGTAACAAATTTTGTAAAAAAATAAAAATAATAATTTTTTATTTATTTATTTATTTTTTATATATGTTTTTTACTATTATTATTTTTATTTTTATTTTTTTTATTTTTTTGGTTTTTGACGTCATTTATTCATGTTTATTGTCCACGATTTTACATGGCCCTGTACATTGCCGCGTGGACTGGCATACCAGGGTTTATATTTGGGTTAGAGTTGCTAATTATTCAGTAGACATTTAATTTTTTCTTCAAGATTAACATTGTTATACTGTAGTACTTTGTATTGTATTTCTAGTTCTCTTTTAAAAATTCTAAAAAGGCAGTCAGTTTCAGTTACTTTACATGAGACATGAGAATTGGAAACAAGTATAAGCAACTGCCATTCAGAATTCTACACGCAATCATTCCTTGTAATCAGTATTTAAATAGAATTAACATTAAAGAAAGTAATGTATGTGAACATTGTGGTAGTGTAGATACTGTTAGACATTACATGTTTTACTGTTTAAATGTATTACCCTTTTGGATAGAATTCTTTAAGTGGGCGAAGATTTATGATAATTACAGAGATATTGTATTGTATGGTATAGAAGGAGGCACAGAGGAGTGTACTTTGATGAATTTTTTACTACTGCTAGCAAAGTATATTGTGTACAGATGTAAATTTTGTAAATTAATGACTTGTGGTTGTACAGAAACTATGAGACATTTATCAATGCTCATTTATCATGCTATGAAACTAAGAAAAGGTATGACTTTGTAATACGCCCCAGACAATGTACTTTAGGCCTTTGGCCTCATCAGTACCATGAATAAAGATTGGTTGAAGATTGATTGAACTCAAACAGTTCTGTCTTGTTCTCGTCAATTCTCAAAAGTGTGACTGTTTCCTTGTTTGCTTCTTGCTGTTAGTGTGAGACTGTACTTGTCCCCAACGATGTCAACGCAAAGACGTTTTCACCAAGAAAGGTAGATCAACTGATTCTATTCCTCTACGTCAGCTGCACTGTACCAACATGGAGCTCATTTCAAGCTGGCCCCCGTTGGCGATCAAGTCTGGAGGCCGAAACAGGCCTTTACACACCAACTGAGAGAGGATGGGTAATATCTGTAGCACATAGCTATGGGCCCTTTGTGGACTACACTACCACAAGCTTCTAAGTCATGCCAAGAGCTTCTGATATGTAGTTGTAAGTCTGAGAATGGGGGCAGAGCAAGGTGTGTTTGCGTTGTGGCATATTCAATTGGTACACCACTTTGCAAACTTGGTGGCAACTGTGATCACATTTAATTGTCCCTGACCAACCAAAACCATTAGCCATTTACTGCATATCTCAACAGATACAAATTTTGTTCTTTAAATATTCTGTTGTTGTCATTGTATTCACCATATGAGTATACAATACTGGTATAATTAATTGGCCTTCATGAAGTATGTCTTAAAGATATGCCGAAAAAGTAAGAAATGCATATGTATATATTTTTTCACGCTTTATTTTACCTAAATCAACATAAATAGTCTTTTGTGATAACATTATTTACTTTACAGATGTAGTGTTGAGGAAATCTATTCCAAAATATTTTTACTTTATATACTTAGGTTGTGGGTCATGCTCAAACGAGATATACTTGAATTGCATTCCTCCATGGTGGCCATATTGGATTTTTTGTTTTGGGGTGGTCCCATATCTAAAAATATTTTGAATGTCATTACCTACAAATCGGCCAAGTTTCATGCTTTTATCACAAAGTGCACAACTGATCCTATAAATGTCACGAAACGGGCCCCACTGTATAACCCACTTTTAATTTTAGTTTCAGCTCATGAAATATCAAGCAGCGTTAGAAACGGATTCAACCTATTTTTCTGACAAGGTCATTCATCATTCACTTGAGAAAGAAAATCCGTCAACATCAATCCTCGTAAGATAGTTTCTGACTTTACTTTGATCACTTGCAAAGTATATATTAAGTGTTTAATAATAATAAAACAGATCTTTTATCAGTTATTAATACATAATAAAACAAAATACAACCCGTGTTAAACATTGACGAGAAATGCTCCCAACTATCATCTGAAGATGCAGTGGTTTCTAGGTTATACCTCCGTAATACTTATCGAAGAGCTTCCTAGCTGTAATGTCCTTAATGCCGGTCAGTTCACCCGGAGATATGGACTTGTCAGGTAAAGGGTGGGTTTCGAAGAACTCAGCGACAGCATACAGGATGCCGATCTCCGTGATGTCCTGGTGGGTGTAGTCCGACCCGGAGGACAGGAGGGTGAACTGGTTGGGGAGGAACCCCCGGGCACATGGCCACGATATCAGCGTTAACACGGCCAACGACTTGAATAACATGGTGTTCCCTTTTGGGCAACTGTTCCTTATCTGCTTGGCACATTATAACCATAACCCTGCTTCCGTTTAGAGCGCGTTCTGAGAATGATGTGACAATTATTATGGTTCGGTCCCGTTCCGCATAGCAACCTTGCAGCATACTCAGTTCCATACTTTAACATGGACTTACGAAAACCGTAGCACTAAAATTGCTTTGTGGAAAGGGTCTCATATGTGCTGGGTTAAACCTGTAGCTTTTCTTGATTGCAAGTACATCCTGCTTCCCTGACGATTACTTTGTTGTTTTGTTTTTCGTTTGTTTGTTGTTTAACCCCACTCTCAGCAATATTCCAACTATATGACGGCGGCATCTAAATGATCAAGTTTGGACCAAACGATCTAGTGCTTGATATTATAAGCAACGATTCACGACATCGTGGTACGAGGTCACGCTGTCAACCCAGGTCACTGAGCCTGACCATCGGTACCTTTGGTCGCCTCTTACGACAAGCATGGGTTGCTGGGGATCAATGGGGCACGGGTGGCCCAGTCGTCTCAGGCGCCTCGATTCGCTGTGCAGAGTTGCGTCTCTTGGGCACGCCAGGAACCTATGAATGTGGGTTCGAATCCCTGTTCGCCCCGATTATGTTCCTAGGTTTGTCAGCACCATACCCGTGCTCGTGGGTTTCACCGAAGTGGTAAACGTCCGAGACCTGCATCATTTCGGGCTTTCCTTCCACATTAAGTTGACACGCCGCGATATAACTGTAATACTGTCAAAAGCGGCGTTAACCCCAACTCACTCACTCACTATGTTTTCGTTGGAAACTGTACTGTTTGGATTAACAGGGGGTCTCTGCACATAATTCACATAGTGTAACACGTTCCACGTCGGTTTTAGATATACCTGTGGATTCTAGATAGTCCTCACTTTTTGTAAACCAGTGAATTGAGAGAGTAATGTTTAACATCATCATTGATGTCTGTAAACATATTTTATATATATATATATATATATATATATATAGTTATAGTTATAGTTATATATATAGTTATATAGTTATATAGTTATAGTTATTTCGCACTTTAATACACTATTTCTGCTTAAAGAAGATAAGATTTTCGTCGATTAACGTACACTTTAGACAATTTCCTTTCTCGTGAAGTTGGAATGCAAAAGGTTACATAATCACTCAGAGAAAGCGGATATCGCTTTTAAAGATGTTTCGACAGTTGGACAGTTCGAGTTTGACACGGGACACTCTGCAGAAGAGTATGGTTTTAATGTATTAATATGTGTTATTTGTCGTATCCCACCTAGGGAAAGTATATTTCCGTAACGACTTTGAACGGTCTAGCGATAAGTATGTACCATTACTAGGATGTGTATGCGGCAGCTGGCAGTGTACGCGCCTATCTGGGCTGTAATCTCATGGTGACCTACGCACGTTGTTACCATAGAAACGTGTACCCATCAAAACTGGTGAGTGACTGAGTGAGTGAGTCACGACGATTAACCAAGAAGCATGATAACGGTGATCCCGGGATTCAAACCCCGCATACAACGTACAACGGAGGATTAAAACTGTAGGACACACTGCTAATTACGGTATTTTAGACCCTTGGCTACCCAACTCCTAAACAAACAATGATACTTTGTCTACGACCTATATCTGCCTCGATGACGTCCAGTTGTCGATCAACATCTATGACGTCGGGCAGTGATGCGAAAGGTTGAATGACGTAAAAGCGCATCGGTGCAATGAATACTGCACATGCAGAAACATGAAGTTAGGAATAATGTTATGTCACCTTATAACCCTGATGTGTGTAATACAAATTATATTATGTATTTTGCACCCAAATAAAAGAATAGTTTTTTTTTTATACGTAAATTTACCTATGGCATATTAAGGTCGCTGATGGCAAACCCTCTCCGTATGTGTAGTGCGTCTCCTGTGCTTGTAATGTCTCCTGTGCTTGTAATGTCTCCTGTGCTTGTAATGTCTCCTGTGCGTGTAATGTCTCCTGTGCTTGTAATGTCTCCTGTGCGTGTAATGTCTCCTGTGCTTGTAATGTCTCCTGTGCTTGTAATGTCTCCTGTGCTTGTAATGTCTCCTGTGCTTGTAATGTCTCCTGTGCTTGTTGGTAGTCTAAATACGGATAAGAGTCTCATGAAATGAGACAACTATGGTGACATCTAATGAAAACAAAACCATACTTTGTGACATAAATAGCCCTTTAATGTACGTCGTATATTGGGTCATGGTATTTATAGCTCGCAGCTGTTTGAAAATGCCTCTTGTGTAGCTTCCGCAATAGCACATTCATTTCTGAAAAATACAGAAATACATAAATATAGTTTCACTGATATGTTTGTGGAGAAAGCATCATGTGAATGTGGGTCAAATAAAAACTGAACTACTTGATTTTCTCTCTGATTTTCATTGAATATATCCATACCCCTTTTCTGGCTTACATAATGGCATGAAAACATTGCTTCAGTTCAATAATGATGTAGTTGGTTGGCTGGCTGGTTGTCGTTTAACGCCGCACTCAGCTATATGACGGCGGTCTGTAAATAATCGAGTCTGGACCAGACAATCCAGTGATTGACAACATGTGCATCGATCCACGCAATTGGGATCGATGACATGTATAAACCAAGTCAGCGAGCCTGACCACCCAATCCCGTTAGTCGCCTTTAAAGACAAGCATAGTCGCCTTTTATGGCAAGCATGGGTTGCTGAAGGCCTATTCTACCCCGGATCTTCACGGGTCTCAATAATGACGTAAACGAAACAAGATATATAAGATCAATAAGTCATACCAATTCACATGAAACATGTTGTAGCTTATATGTACGTAGTCGTAAGTGTAAACGTGCCCAAATATATTTCAACGGTTGTTTCAGGCACTCTCATGGCACTCGCCTGTGTAATTTGCACTGTAAATGTCCTCACAACGTACTGGGCACTCCCTCCCACCTACCTGTGACCCCTGCACTGCAAATGTCCTCATAACGTACTGGGCACTCCCCCTCACCTAGCCGTGATGCGTGCACTGTAATTGTCCTCACAACGTACTGGGCACTCCCTCTCACCTACCTGTGACCCCTGCACTGCAAATGTCCTCATAACGTACTGGGCACTCCCTCTCACCTACCTGTGATGCGTGCACTGTAAATGTCCTCATAACGTACTGGGCACTCCCTTCACACCTACCTGTGATGCGTGCACTGTAAATGTCCTCATAACGTACTGGGCACTCCCTTCACACCTACCTGTGACCCCTGCACTGTAAATGTCATCATAACGTACTGGGCACTCCCTTCACACCTACCTGTGATGCGTGCACTGTAAATGTCCTCATAACGTACTGGGCACTCCCTTCACACCTACCTGTGACCCCTGCACTGTAAATGTCCTCATAACGTACTGGGCACTCCCTTCACACCTACCTATGATGCGTGCACTGTAAATGTCCTCACAACGTACTGGGCACTCCCTTCACACCTACCTGTGATGCGTGCACTGTAAATGTCCTCATAACGTACTGGGCACTCCCTTCACACCTACCTGTGACGCGTGCACTGTAAATGTCCTCATAACGTACCGGGCACTCCCTTCCCACCGACCTGTGACGCGTGAACTGTAAATGTCCTCATAACGCACTGGGCACTCCCTCTCACCTACCCGTGACGCGTACACTGTAAATGTCCTCATTACGTACTGGGCACTCCCTCTCACCTGCCCGTGATGCGTGCACTGTTAATGTCCTCATAACGTACTGGGCACTCCCTCTCAACTACCTGTAACGCTTGCACCGTAAATGTCCCCATAACGTACTGGGCACTCCCTCCCACCTACCTGTGATGCGTGCACTGTAAATGTCCCCATAACGTACTGGGCACTCCCTCTCACCTACCTGTGATGCGTGCACTGTAAATGTCCTCATAACGTACTGGGCACTCCCTCTCACCTGCCCGTGATGCGTGCACTGTAAATGTCCCCATAACGTACTGGGCACTCCCTCTCACCTGCCCGTGATGCGTGCACTGTTAATGTCCTCATAACGTACTGGACACTCCCTCTCACCTACCTGTGATGCGTGCACTGTAAATGTCCCCATAACGTACTGGGCACTCCCTCTCACCTGCCCGTGATGCGTGCACTGTTAATCTCCTCATAACGTACTGGGCACTCCCTCTCACCTACCTGTAACGCGTGCACCGTAAATGTCCTCATAACGTACTGGGCACTCCCTCTCACCTACCTGTGACCCCTGCACTGTAAATGTCCTCATAACGTACTGGGCACTCCCTCTCACCTACCTGTGATGCGTGGACTGTAAATGTCCCCATAACGTACTGGGCACTCCCTCTCACCTACCTGTGACCCCTGCACTGTAAATGTCCTCATAACGTACTGGGCACTCCCTCTCACCTACCTGTGATGCCTGCACTGTAAATGTCCTCATAACGTACTGGGCACTCCCTCTCACCTGCCCGTGATGCGTGCACTGTTAATGTCCTCATAACGTACTGGGCACTCCCTCTCACCTGCCCGTGATGCGTGCACTGTTAATGTCCTCATAACGTACTGGGCACTCCCTCTCACCTACCTGTAACGCGTGCACCGTAAATGTCCTCATAACGTACTGGGCACTCCCTCTCACCTACCTGTGACCCCTGCACTGTAAATGTCCTCATAACGTACTGGGCACTCCCTCTCACCTACCTGTGACCCCTGCACTGTAAATGTCCTCATAACGTACTGGGCACTCCCTCTCACCTACCTGTGACCCCTGCACTGTAAATGTCCTCATAAGGTACTGGGCACTCCCTCCCACCTACCTGTGATGCGTGCACTGTAAATGCCCTCATAACGTACTGGACACTCCCTCCCACCTACCTGTGATGCGTGCACTGTAAATGTCCTCATAACGTACTGGTTACTCCCTCTCACCTACCTGTGATCCCTGCACTGTAAATGTCCTCATAACGTACTGGGCACTCCCTCTCACCTACCTGTGACCCCTGCACTGTAAATGTCCTCATAACATACTGGGCACTCCCTCTCACCTACCTGTGATGCGTGCACTGTAAATGTCCTCATAACGTACTGGGCACTCCCTCTCACCTACCTGTGACCCCTGCACTGTAAATGTCCTCATAACGTACTGGACGCTCCCTCCCGCCTACCTGTGATGCGTGCACTGTAAATGTCCTCATAACGTACTGGACACTCCCTCCCACCTACCTGTGATGCGTGCACTGTAAATGTCCTCATAACGTACTGGACACTCCCTCCCACCTACCTGTGATGCGTGCACTGTAAATGTCCTCATAACGTACTGGACACTCCCTCCCACCTACCTGTGATGCGTGCACTGTAAATGTCCCCATAACGTACTGGGCACTCCCTTCACACCTACCTGTTACGCGTGCACTGTAAATGTCCTCATAACGTACTGGGCACTCCCTCTCACCTACCTGTAAGGCGTGCACCGTAAATGTCCTCATAACGTACTGGGCACTCCCTCTCACATTCCTGTGACCCCTGCACTGTAAATGTCCTCATAACGTACTAGGCACTCCCTCTCACCTACCTGTGATGCGTGCACTGTAAATGTCCTCATAACGTACTGGACACTCCCTCCCACCTACCTGTGATGCGTGCACTGTAAATGTCCTCATAACGTACTGGGCACTCCCTCCCACCTACCTGTGATGCGTGCACTGTAAATGCCCTCATAACGTACTGGACACTCCCTCCCACCTACCTGTGATGCGTGCACTGTAAATGTCCTCATAACGTACTGGACACTCCCTCCCACCTACCTGTGATGCGTGCACTGTAAATGTCCTCATAACGTACTGGGCACTCCATCCCACCTACCTGTGATGCGTGCACTGTAAATGTCCTCATAACGTACTGGACACTCCCTCCCACCTACCTGTGATGCGTGCACTGTAAATGTCCTCATAACGTACTGGTAGTTGTCACTTGCACCAACAGGGGCGGCCTTGATCATAACGTTCCTGGAATTTACAGTTAGTAACGTCACACTTTAAAAGTGAAATTGAATGTTATATTCTTTGTCTCTAAAAGTTCATGTATAAACAATAACAACTTATATAAAATCATTTTATTGATAAAAATATTTTAGTGCATTTTCCAAATTCTCGATTAATTTTGGACGACTCAGTTCACAAAGCAAAAATGTGTCTAATTTTAGAAAACAACACTTTGTGAACAGGGCCTTTATTTGAAAAATATATTCACGTGCAAGTTTTGCAGGTTTGAGTGAGTGAGTGAGTATGGTTTTACGCCGCTTTTAGCAATATTCCAGCAATATCACGGCGGGGGACACCAGAAATGGGCTTCACACATTGTATCCATGTGCAGGTTTGAGATCGTCATAATTTTATGACATTTTTAAAATGGATAAGAAAATAAATGTGTTCAGCACATATTGAAAAGAAGACTTTGTTTTCGCCCGAATGTCAAAAAGGTGACATAAACAACATTAGGATAAAGAGTTTATCGTGACAGTCTCTGTACGTGCAGTGAAATATCAAGTGTACAAACACGGCGGACAACTTCACTTACGAGGACACACCCGCAGCGTGGCCACCTTGAAGTTCGAAGTATACAGTTGCACTGACACCTGTCCACAAGTACACCGTCTTGTTGGTAGGTGGCGCCACGAGGCCCTGGTCATCGCTGATGCTCATTGAGACCTTCTGATACGTCGACCCGCGATTGACCGCCTCCACGTACAGGTACATGCGCCCGTCTACCTCCAGCTCACCTGTAGAGAGTATGAACAATACTGTGTACCTCCAGCTCACCTGTAGAGAGTATGAACAATATTGTGTACCTCCAGCTCACCTGTAGAGAGTATGAACAATACTGTGTACCTCCAGCTCACCTGTAGAGAGTTTAAACAATGTTGTCTACCTCCAGCTCACCTGTAGAGAGTATAAACAATATTGTCTACCTCCAGCTCACCTGTAGAGAGTATAAACAATATTGTCTACCTCCAGCTCACCTGTAGAGAGTATAAACAATACTGTGTACCTCCAGCTCACCTGTAGAGAGTATAAACAATATTGTGTACCTCCAGCTCACCTGTAGAGAGTATAAACAATATTGTGTACCTCCAGCTCACCTGTAGAGAGTATAAACAATACTGTCTACCTCCAGCTCACCTGTAGAGAGTATAAACAATATTGTCTACCTCCAGCTCACCTGTAGAGAGTATAAACAATATTGTTTACCTCCAGCTCACCTGTAGAGAGTATAAACAATATTGTCTACCTCCAGCTCACCTGTAGAGAGTATAAACAATATTGTTTACCTCCAGCTCACCTGTAGAGAGTATAAACAATATTGTCTACCTCCAGCTCACCTGTATAGAGTATAAACAATATTGTTTACCTCCAGCTCACCTGTAGAGAGTATAAACAATATTGTCTACCTCCAGCTCACCTGTAGAGAGTATAAACAATATTGTTTACCTCCAGCTCACCTGTAGAGAGTATAAACAATATTGTCTACCTCCAGCTCACCTGTAGAGAGTATAAACAATACTGTGTACCTCCAGCTCACCTGTAGAGAGTATAAACAATATTGTCTACCTCCAGCTCACCTGTAGAGAGTATAAACAATATTGTGTACCTCCAGCTCACCTGTAGAGAGTATAAACAATATTGTGTACCTCCAGCTCACCTGTAGAGAGTATAAACAATATTGTGTACCTCCAGCTCACCTGTAGAGAGTATAAACAATATTGTGTACCTCCAGCTCACCTGTAGAGAGTATAAACAATATTGTGTACCTCCAGCTCACCTGTAGAGAGTATAAACAATATTGTCTACCTCCAGCTCACCTGTAGAGAGTATAAACAATATTGTGTACCTCCAGCTCACCTGTAGAGAGTATAAACAATACTGTGTACCTCCAGCTCACCTGTAGAGAGTATAAACAATATTGTGTACCTCCAGCTCACCTGTAGAGAGTATAAACAATATTGTGTACCTCCAGCTCACCTGTAGAGAGTATAAACAATATTGTGTACCTCCAGCTCACCCGTAGAGAGTATAAACAATATTGTGTACCTCCAGCTCACCTGTAGAGAGTATAAACAATATTGTGTACCTCCAGCTCACCTGTAGAGAGTATAAACAATACTGTGTGCCTCCAGCTCACCTGTAGAGAGTATAAACAATATTGTGTACCTCCAGCTCACCTGTAGAGAGTATAAACAATATTGTGTACCTCCAGCTCACCTGTAGAGAGTATAAACAATATTGTGTACCTACAGCTCACCTGTAGAGAGTATAAACAATACTGTGTACCTCCAGCTCACCTGTAGAGAGTATAAACAATATTGTGTACCTCCAGCTCACCTGTAGAGAGTATAAACAATATAGTCTACCTCCAGCTCACCTGTAGAAAGTATAAACAATACTGTGTACCTCCAGCTCACCCGTAGAGAGTATAAACAATATTGTGTACCTCCAGCTCACCTGTAGAGAGTATAAACAATACTGTGTACCTCCAGCTCACCTGTAGAGAGTATAAACAATATTGTCTACCTCCAGCTCACCTGTAGAGAGTATAAACAATACTGTGTACTTCCAGCTCAGCTGTAGAGAGTATAAACAATATTGTGTACCTCCAGCTCACCTGTAGAGAGTATAAACAATACTGTGTACCTCCAGCTCACCTGTAGAGAGTATAAACAATATTGTCTACCTCCAGCTCACCTGTAGAGAGTATAAACAATATTGTCTACCTCCAGCTCACCTGTAGAGAGTATAAACAATATTGTGTACCTCCAGCTCACCTGTAGAGAGTATAAACAATATTGTGTACCTCCAGCTCACCTGTAGAGAGTATAAACAATATTGTGTACCTCCAGCTCACCTGCAGAGAGTATAAACAATATTGTGTACCTCCAGCTCACCTGTATAGAGTATAAACAATATTGTGTACCTCCAGCTCACCTGTAGAGAGTATAAACAATATTGTGTACCTCCAGCTCACCTGTAGAGAGTATAAACAATATTGTCTACCTCCAGCTCACCTGTAGAGAGTATAAACAATATTGTGTACCTCCAGCTCACCTGTAGAGAGTATAAACAATATTGTGTACCTCCAGCTCACCTGTAGAGAGTATAAACAATATTGTCTACCTCCAGCTCACCTGTAGAGAGTATAAACAATATTGTGTACCTCCAGCTCACCTGTAGAGAGTATAAACAATATTGTGTACCTCCAGCTCACCTGTAGAGAGTATAAACAATATTGTGTACCTCCAGCTCACCTGTAGAGAGTATAAACAATATTGTGTACCTCAAGCTCACCTGTATAGAGTATAAACAATATTGTGTACCTCCAGCTCACCTGTAGAGAGTATAAACAATATTGTGTACCTCCAGCTCACCTGTAGAGAGTATGAACAATACTGTGTACCTCCAGCTCACCTGTAGAGAGTATAAACAATATTGTGTACCTCCAGCTCACCTGTAGAGAGTATAAACAATATTGTGTACCTCAAGCTCATCTGTAGTGAGTATAAACAATATTGTGTACCTCCAGCTCACCTGTAGAGAATATAAACAATATTGTGTACCTCAAGCTCATCTGTAGAGAGTATAAACAATATTGTGTACCTCCAGCTCATCTGTAGAGAGTATAAACAATATTGTGTACCTCCAGCTCACCTGTAGAGACTATAAACACTACAGTTTACTTGTAGATTACCCGTTGAGAGAAAAACAATACTGTTTATCTTTATGTAACATGTAGAGACAATTGGTAATATTGTTTACATATAGACCATTTATGGAGAGTATAAACAATATAGTTTACCTGCGAATCATCTATAAACAGTACAAACAATATTGGAACAACCCTATACATCGATACAAAGGGCAGACATCAAAATTCACTGTCATACAAGTTGTGCCAATTGATTGAATTAGAGCCACCTGACTTACGTAAAACATAACCAGGAGCAGTGACTTCTGTTGATTATTCTTCAGCTTAAATAATCTACTTTATTATGCCTCAAAGTGAGATTGACCAATCAGAGAGTAGAACTACTAACCTCACATGAGCCGTATACCGTCAGTAAAAATCCAAGATGGTTGTTACTGACTTATTATGAGACCGTATACCGTCAGTAACAGCCATCTTGGATTTTCCAACACCCACCTCACATATTTTACATGAAAATGCTGGTACCGAAATTCGTTATTTGACACTGTTTTGTGTTTTACTATAATTAATTGTGATGTGCAAGGACATTAATCTGTATTTTAGATCACGTTCGTGGCTTTATTGACGCCTCGCCCAATATTTGTTCTGCTATCCTAATATAACACCGTATACGGCAACTAAATACATCATAACTAATAATATCCTTTCCATGACACAATCAACGATAACCCCTCAATGATACAATGAAAGAAAACCTTTCTGTAATACAATGAAAGATAACCTTTCTACAACACAATGAACGATAACCTGTGCCTGATAAAGTTAACGATAATGTGCATGATACAATGAACAATAACCTTTCTATAATACATGGAACGATAACCTTTCTATAATACATGGAACGATAACCTTTCTATAATACATGGAACGATAACCTTTCGATAATACAAAGAACGATAATCTGTGTATGGTACAGTGAACGAAAACTTTTTTATAATACAATGAACGATAACTTTTCTAACATACAATAAAAGATAATCTTCCAATAATAAAATGAAGAATAACCTTTCTTGTGATACAATGAGCAATAACCATGCTATAATACAACAAACAATAACCGTCCTACGATGCAAGGTAAAACGTGACTGTACCTTTAATATCCTGTATTTTCAGGTCCAGCGCACTTGGCTTGATAAACGACATCTTGGCTCTCTTGAACGTATTTCCAAGTTTGTCTTTTCCCTCGACCCCCACGCGGAATGGCTACAATTCACAACAAAGGGTGGTGAGCCTTATATATCTTAACTGCAAATCGCTATTCTGGAGTTGCAGCTCATTGCCAAGCAAAATTAACGCAAATTTCATCATTTAGAAAAACTGCTCTCGTTCATCAAGATGGTAGTTTGAGTTGAGAAAACATTTATTTCTTCCACAAACTCGGAAATTACATATTACTGCCACACTACAGACACAGTGAGTGAGTGAGTATGGTTTTACGCCGCTTTTTTAGCAATATTCCAGCAATATCACGGCGGGGGACACCAGAAATGGGCTTCACACATTGTACCCATGTCGGGAATCGAACCCGGGTCTTCGGCGTGACGAGCGAACGCTTTAACCACTAGGCTATCCGACCGCCCCTCACTACAGACACAAGAGAAGCAGACTCACGATAGAAGGAATAGTTGTCTGTGCCCGAAAGGTGTCGCCTCTGTGACCTTGTGGAAGCACAGGGGAGCGGTACAAGACGATGCCTTTCTCATCCATAAACACAATGTCGTCTACAGAGCCCTCCTTATCCTCCCCTGAGACCTGGACTACGACAGGCGTGGTTGCACCTTAGAAGTAAAACATGAGTGAGTGGTGGTTGTTTTATGCCGCAGTCAACAATATTCCAGCCAGTAGAGAACCGAGTCAGTGCAGGGCAAACAAGTTGACAGTTCTTGAGTAACGGCACGATAAGACATCCGTCTCAAGGTCTCCTGCTCCGTGGTCTAGTGGTAGAGCGTCCGCCCGGAGAGCGGAAGGTCCGGGGTTCGATACCCGGCCGCGTCATACCAAGAGACATTTAAAGATGGTAGTTGTTTTTACCCTGTCTGGCGCTCGGCTCGGGGTCAGTACACTGTGTCTGAGTGGGGTATTCATGTTAAACTGCGGCATGGTATTTCAGTTGGCTAGCACTATAAATTGGCATCAGTCCGGATTAGTACACACACACACATGCACGTCGCTATATAAGTGCAATAATCTTGGACGCGACGTTTAACCCCATTTCACCTCACCTCAGCAGGTCATCCAGTGTTAACAAACAATCCTCATTACAGTCGGTTCTTGCCAAGAGAATGGGGTACATATACGAGTGGATCACTGAAAATTAGTGATGACAACAAGTGTTCGGAAAAAGAGTTAGTCTCAATTACTCTTTAAAAACTTAAACAACCATTAGCAGAAAGAAAATAGTACTTCCCTACGACAATTTACAAGCATACATTCCTAATGCTACCGACCTATGATGGGCCTTCCCTCCATCTGCATGCTGTACCCTGTCACGGCGTGGGTCTCGAGGAACATGACGGAGAAGTCCACGATGGTCTCGCCGTAGACGCTGACGTCCCAGTTGTGGGTGTCCTGTTTCTGCAGCCTCCACTCACCATACTGTTGTGATGCCTGAGATGACACGTGGGATGCACTGTGAGGATCTATTATGACACTTGTCGACTGACGCTAGCGTTACAGTATACAAATCACAATAACGGAAGGTCACTATTACGTCATCTTCTGTGTGTGCAGAACATTCATTAAAGGAAATATGGCAAATATCATATATATCGATAGGAGCTGTTTTAAAACAAAAGAACAAAACAAAAAGATCCAAAGCATACGGCAAGGGCACAAAATTATGATAAGATGCATTTCAAAAGATTTATTTAAAGTATGTCGAACGGTGAAAAAAGTGAAGTCAAAGAGGTACTCCTTCTGAGACACGGCGGGAAGTTCAAATAATAATGTTCTCAAACTTGTAATCGTTTTCTTCACTTGTGCAACACGGCTCGACAGATTCGTCAACCAATAATTATAATATACATGACATGATATAACCCATGTCTACCAGCTGCTGGATCTTCATCTTACCGGTATCACCATTTCGAGGGCTCCATTTCCAAGATAATCCTCCGACACAAGTATTGGGGTGCCTGTGTAGATGAAAACACAATGAAAGGTGTTGATATGTTTAACTGAGTTCGTGAGTGAGTTTGGTTTCATGTCGTTTTCAGCAATATTCCAGCAATCTCACGGCGGGGGACACCAGAAATGGGCTTCATACAGTGTACCCATGTCGGGAATCGAACCCGGGTCCTCGGCGTGACGGGCGAACGCTTTAACCACTAGGCTATCCAGCCGCCCCTGGTGTTCAGGAGTGAGACTATGGTATTACTTTTCATATTCGGGATGACAACATTTACTTTCTCCTGAGCAGATTAATCACGACAAAGAATAAATGTTAAAATGATGCAGAAAGAGATGGCAATTTTAAACATTCCAGCATTTGAAAGATAACTACCAACATTGTACCTTTATTTGAAATCTGCGCAACAAGACCATGCTTTATCCACGAATCAACCACACAACTCCCTTTACAACATGGCGAACACGTCGCGTCTCTAAATCCGTACGTTAACGGGATATACAGCAAAAGAAGAGTTCATTCAAAGACATGGAGTGTTCCAGTGAAACTTGTTTCCTTAATGTTCTGAAGCGGCAAGGCACAGCTAACAAAAAATATAATTTAAAGTAAAAAGAAATAAGAGCAACTTCACCTTGTGGATAATAAAGTTTGACTATTGGCTTGGCTTGTTTGGTCGTCTCCATGATGCGTATTTTGACGTGACTGACTGTGTTGTCCACCTGTAGGTTGCTGTTGGCGTCACTGGAAGACATGGAGAAGGCGGCAAGGAGGACATACGCATGCGCAGAATCCTGCAACAAAACATAAATATTCTTTTCTCTGAAAGACTTAAGACTCACATTTTCATGGTATGATCTAGCTAAGGCACCACAACGAACCATGTATAGTTTGGTCACTTCACCGTGCCAGTATCTGGACGTCCTTCAACTTCAATCATTAAAGATTCAATCAAGGAGACATAAAAACGTGTACTGTCAGATAGACGTATTACCACTGCTGAACTTGAGGAAGACACGGGTCTAAGCCATGGATCTATTGAAACTATTATTCATGGACATTTGCAGATGAATAAGATTCGATTCCCGACATGGGTACAATGTGTGAAGCCAATTTCTGGTATCCCCCGCCGTGATATTGCTGGAATAATGCTAAAAGCGGCGTAAAGTCTTACTCACTCACTCAGTCATTACCTTGATGATGCCGGCCACCTGCGAGACGTTGGTCTTGTCAGTGTTGAAGACATTTCCGCCTGATGATTGCGCGATCTGCTCGTAAACTGAATCTGGTGTGGTAGAACGAGGACAACAGATGACAGTGTTGAGACTCAGACAATGTTTTACAATATCGCCGTAAGCCTTAAGAATGATAACAAATACAAGTTTTCAAAACTGGAACAGGAGTTAACTTAGTTGTGACAACATACTCACCTCTGTCAAGATCGCAGATTACCCATGGGTAGGTGACATGTTTACTGATAAAACCAAATGTTTCAGATGAAACCAATGATCAAAAATGATATATTCAATAAACAAAATTCATTTCTACCTGCGCTTCTTTTTTTCCTATTCTGGTTGGGCAGCAAGCCTTGGACGCACAGGACACTTACAGACACAACAAACAAAATGGCGGAGACCCGATGGGCCATCATTATGCACTGTATAACACAACCCGCTTTAGCTTGAATCTATCTCCGTATTGCACATCCAGCCAAACAGTTAGCAGTTTTCCGTATATGCAGGACCCTTCTACAATTACAACTTGTCCTTAGTAAGATTTTTAATGAGAGAACCTTCTTTAAGACTATTTTATATATACACTGACGCCCATCCTTTATCGGACATTTTCCTTGCTGGTCAAACAAATGGTAGAAGGATGATATGGTTTGGGGAGTAACATTAGTTTGAGATCAAGTTTTCTCTTGTAATCGGGTATGTCCGCCCAGGTCACGTCACTGGTGACCTCCTTTAAGTGGCGGTCCGCGCCCAAGAAAACACGATGTTTACATACACATCAACATCAATGGCCGGTTTACAGGACATACATCAGGTGTGGGGACCAGTGGTTCCAGGGTGACGCTATTCGTTTTGCAGAGTTGCTTCCCTTGGTCGTGACAGAATCCGATGATCCTTGATTCGAATTCCGGATTCGGTACAACATTCAGCACTGCAGTCGTGCTCGAGGTTCTGACCAAAGTGTTATACCACCATGACCTGTGTTATTTGTCTCACATTAAGCGGACTTGCCTTGATGGAACTGAAATAATTTCAAAGTGGCGTTACACTCAACTCAACCACTCATTCACGTGTCCATGCCCGTCATACATTTACACCTGCAGGATTACACATTTTCACACCTTGATAATATCTGGCCATCTTATCATAGAAAACATATATGCTTCTCAAAAGAAGTTAAAGAACGCCCAACTCTTTCATATTACTATAGTTAATCTCACATGCCCAGACAGATTAACTATAGTAATATGAAAGAATCGGGTGTTCTTTAACTTCTATTGAGTAGTATACGTACTGTATATTATTAAGCTTAAAGTTTGCATGTGGGGATATTTGATAACACCGTGATTCTATGTATCTCACAGTTTCTTACACCTGTGAAGATACCGGGTTAGGATTGGTCTTCAGCAACCAGTGCTTGTCTCAAGAGGCACCTAACGGGATCGGGTGGTCAGGCTCGCTAACTTGGTTGACGCATGTCATCGATCCCAAATGAGTGGATTGATGCTCATGCTCATCACTGGATTGTCTGGTCCAGACTCGATTATTTACAGACCGCAGTCGCATAGTTGAACTATTGATGAGTGAAGCGTTAAACAACAAACAAATAAATAAATACAGTTACTTAAACTACAACATCTGAATTCAACATTCAATTCTCCCCTGCTGAAAATGCTATCGCTATTCAACGGATGACAGTAAACAATTGATACCAGTTGACATTTTCGACTTTGATATTTTGTTACATGTATGGGAGGCACGGGTGGCCCTGTCGTCTAAGGCGCCGCGATTCGCTGTGCAGAGTTGCGTCCCTTGGACACGCCAGAAACCAATGATTGTGAATTCGAATCCCAGTTCGCCCCGATAATGTTTCTAGGTTTGTCAGCACCATACCCGTGCTCGTGGGTTTCACCGAAGTGATAAACGTCTGAGACCTGCATCACTTCGGGTTTTCCTCCCACATTAAGCTGACACGCCGCGATATAACTGGATACTGTTAAAAGCGGCGTTAAACCCAACTCACTCACTCACTGATCAATATACAAATGCATATAGTTAAGGACAATCGAAAGACATGTATATACTAGTTAATCTTTATGATCAATTGTAACACTTGCCATATCTGACGAAAACTGTTCACAAGGACATAAAACAATTGACAATTTCAGGGTAAATTTGAGTAAAGACGACTCCTGCCTCGATTAATTCCCACAAGATATATTTTATCTAGGAGTGTATTTATCTAGCAATGTGTTTATCAACTAATTTGACGCGAAGAACCCGGACGCTTTCGGGATACATAAACAGATAGTGAAACATCAATGCCTAAAAAGACATAATGTAAACGCATTATGTTACAAACGTGATAAATGTTATGTTATTTCAAAGCGGAGTCTCGAGTAATGGAATGTGAATCCGACTTTAACGTTCAGTCGATTTGCAAACACATCCATTAATCATGGAAATCCCTACATAACCAGATCAACCTAATCTAGGTCATGGCTGGATAATGGGGCTGTGTATAACAACAGACTTATTCAGTTTGCGTCTGACATTTTGTGTGTATAGGTAAAACAGCCTCTCACGAACACTGTCCTCCAAACATCAACATTAGCGACTTCCACGCTACATCCTTACGACTACGTGTACGTGTGTGATAAACACCTGGAGGAGTACATATATACGTATGTAGGTAGCGTGACTTCCTGACACCGGCGAGGTCTACGTTCAAAGTTTAATGGTTTGGGACAAATATTGGTTCAGTAGCCTTCGATCTTACCTAAACAATGATACACCATACATCTTTCAAGGGTCTATGTCTCAAGAGCTGGGCCCATTTGCACAAAGCGATCGTAGACTTACAATAGTCTTAGCGCTGATATTGTTTGACAACACTGCCCGATTCAGTCAGTATGTGTACGTGCGTGCGAGAGAAAGAGAGAGAGAGAGAGAGAGAGAGAGAGACAGAGAGAGAGAGAGAGAGAGAGACAGAGAGAGAGAGACCCGAGCACGGGTATGGTGCTGACAGGCCCAGATACGTAATCGGGGCGAACTGGGATTCGAAACAACAATCTGTCTATCCATCATCCATTCGTCCATCATGCATCAATCCATCCATCCATTCAGATACTGGGGATCATACCTCTGCTTTTACCATCATATCGAGTATGGTACTATAGTAAAAGTATAGCATACATGAATATTTCTGATTTGATTCACATACCACACCTCTATTCCAATAGCTTATATTAAATTGGTCAGATATTAGCAAATATATTTGGGCTAGTAAAGATATAAGACATATTTATATGCTTGTACATTGCAGACCATCTTACTTGAAAAGATTCTTTCGCCACTCGAAATCGTGTTCATAAAAAATATGATATTCGGAATTATGATCAATACAATCACTTGTTAAAACCATTGTAGACTTGTCATATATTCGATATATTACGAACGATTCAGACAAAATGACAAGGAACACATATGACCATATGTTTCAAAGCACAACATTAGTTGTTGGCAAAATGAAATTAAAACGTATTTGTGAAAGGTGGAACTTTTAAAGCTCAACACCGCTACCAACTTCGTAAGTTACACTGTTTTGGAAAGATGGAAAACTCTCCATCGGGTCTCACTAACCACTTGAGCACATGTCCTTTAAATTTCATAATCTGGAAAGCTAAATCTACGAAGGCGTTAGTTTCGTTTTTCTGGTCTCGTCCTATGAAATGATGAAGTGTACGACGTACGACAGTTTTTGAGAGAGAGAGAGAGAGAGAGAGAGAGACGGGGGGGGGGGGGGGGGGGGCAGATCTACATCCGCCTTTGCTGTTCTACTACTGCAAAGTACATTCGAATTGCATCCTTACATTTGATGTGTAACAAATTTTCTCATATCTAAGTGTCAATTTAAGATATCTCGTTCTACTGTCTAAATAAGCCTACCCTTGTCAAGAAAACAGTATATTTTAATATCTCGATATCGGCTGACAATTCAAGTAATTCTAAACGAAACATTTCGCAATGTATTGCTGTAATCTTGCTATGGCGCGAATCTATATAAGACATAATGTACGGTCAATTGGCCGTTTTCATTATAACAGCTTCTATTTTTCGTAAAGGTTTGATATCAATGAGAAATCGCATACTGCAACAAAGGCAATCAAAACGGATTGATATAAAATTCGACTATTTATACATTCGTCACCACTCGCATATTTCCGTAACATGCATTCGGCTTGTTCCGGAATAACACGAGTTGGTCACGAATGATTCGGCTTGTCCCGGAATGGGACGAGTTGTCACGAATGTCTATTTGTAATGTCGTGTCAGAATAAACGGCATCGCGCTTGTGGTTGTAGAAATGACACAACTATCTGTTTTTGTCTGCCGCTATCTGAATGCCCCTGCAAACAATTTCAACAATACTGGTATAACTCATAACTCTTTTAAAAAAAACAACAAACTCTTAATTTTGTGAAAGCTTGGATGACATGGACGCAGGTATAGTTTATTGCTGTAGCGAGCCAACAGGTTCTCGACGGTTTGCAGTATGTGCATATGATGATGACATAGTTTATAATATTCATAATACGTTATTTTGTTAATGAAGGATAATTTGAAATTTCCCTGAAGGTCTTATTTTCTGCATAGAAGTCCGAGTTTTATATAAGGGAAAAGCCTATATCATTGACGATACTGTCCATTAATATTCATTACGATTTTATTTCAGAACTTTTCTTTAAAAAACCGGAGTTCAAGTGGTTGTTGATCCAAGTGTGTACAGAGCTTAAAAAATATAAATATCATGAACATATTCATTAAAAATCAAGATAAGCCTTATCTGATTACTATTACTATCATGTGTTTCTGAACGGTTCATCTACCGTCATATATAACACATCAGTTATTACAGAACGTGTGCGAAGAAGAAACATATTTATTTTAAATACATTATTTTGACTAATGACAACTACAGACAGATGGCAGATAGACGGTTTTTATCCAGTATTTGAAGGTCACCCGCCCAAAATATAAAGATAAATTTAAAGTGATTGAAGCGAACATAAAACATTTGATATCATGCGATATAAAATTTAAAAAAATTAAGTTTAAGCTTTAAAAGTATATATTCACACACTTTAGGACATACACTTGTTCTGAAATTTCGTTTCTGTTATATACATGAGAGGTAATTTATTTATTACCAATACTGCAATTGCATTTATATATCAAAGCATATAAGCACAGAGAATGTATGTCGTAAAAACTAATATTCTCGTTTCTGACAGAAGGTAGTTAATTGCCGAAAAAGGACACCGTAATTTCAGCTTTCCAAACAATGAAATATGAACTTGAAAGTTAATGCAAACTCAGGCTTTTAAGGTTTCTATTTCCTAAAAAAATATTTTTCGTAGAGGGAATTAAGTTAGAAGCGACGTGGAACTTTCGAACTTTCTGATCAGTTAGGTATAAATGCTAACTATAACAGTTTTTTTTCTACTTACAAACAAAATGAATTCAATTATAATTTATAGTTCAAGTTTTAGCGGCCACTAACATAGCCATAGATTTCAGAGTGGCCTCCCTTAGAAAGATGTCTGCGCCCATAACAGTATCATCTGAGTTCTATTCCATATAGAATATCAGTTATTACTACAAATAATACAGCACCTTAGATAATCGCATCTAGATGTCAGAAGTAATAGAAAATGCTTTAGAACAGTCACCGAAAACTAAACGAACTCTAACAAGAACAGGAGCGGTGATACTCGGTATTTCTGGTGCATGTTTTGTCGGCATTTATGCCGTAGCGGCACCATTTCTCACACCGGCATTACGAAAGGTGTGTTTACCTTTTGTCCCAGCAACTACAGACCAAGTCAAGAATGTTTTTACGGTTTTGAAAGGACGATCTGGCACACTAATTGATATAGGCAGCGGCGACGGAAGAATAGTAAGTAGGGTCAGTCAAGAGTGTTTATGTAAACGTTCGATTGAGTGAGTGGGTTTGGTTCATGCCGGTTTGATATCACGGCATGTCGAGAATAGCGTAGGTTGTTAATGTTACCCACTCTGATGAAACGTCGCGCTGACTGACAAACCGGGACAATATAATGACGAGTTTAGGATTCGTAGCCATGTTACACTAGGCCAACGTTCAACACATCATGGCCCGTCTTAGGGACGCAAGTCCGAGCAGTAAATTGCGGTAGATTAGACCACTGTGCCGCCCATGACTTTATCTCAGAACATAAAATGGGATGACATATGCTTGGTGACTCATACAGTGCGAGTTGCACTTTACTGGATTCTGACTTACCATTGCTTACTGATTCTGAAGCTTGTCTAATCGGTTGACAGCATGTAATGAGGTTCAAGTGACCATAATAGGGTTGTCTGCTAACTCAAGTCAAATTAAGTTGTGTATTTAGCCATGAGATGATAAAACATCATGTTGTCACACGGTCATCATTCCTTGTGAATATTTACTGTTAAAACCGTTTTCTTATCCTTCGAGTTGATTATGCATATAGTATGTTGGTATATATTTTATATTATTGCCTCCTGACATTGTGGTGTATGTGGTCTTCAGGTGATCGAAGCAGCTAAGCAAGGTTTCAATGCTTATGGAGTTGAGCTCAACTACAACCGTTTTCTTATCCTTTGAGTTGATTATGCATATAGTGTGTTGGTATATATTCTATATTATTGCCTCCTGACATTGTGGTGTATGTTGTCTTCAGGTGATCGAAGCAGCTAAGCAAGGTTTCAATGCTTATGGAGTTGAGCTCAACTACTGGCTGGTTCTGTATTCCCGATGGACAGCCTGGAGGCATGGCGTCAGTGGCACAGCACACTTCTTCAGGAAGGACCTCTGGAAGGTAGCCTGACTAAACAGAACTAACACAGTTAACTCTTGTTCACAAAAAAACTCTATTAAATTGAGGTTTTTCATTTTAGACGAAGTAACTTTATGGTCCCAACTGAAGCATTATTGGCCCTTTAGCAGTGTTTTGTTGAAAACTCCTCTTGTCTGAAAAACAAGATTTCTAGCTTTTGGATGTGCAATGCAATGTTACACCTAATCTAAAATTCTCCATTAATATCTCAGGGGTGTTATACATATCAACATATATTTGTAATAAATAATGAATTCTAAGAAAACAACTTAATGGAATAGGTTAAGTCAGCAGTTGTAAACTTTGTAAATAAAAAGGTGTTTGACATTCGGCATGTTACAGAAAGGTTACCTGTTAATATTCATTTAGTATTAATATAGTCAATATTTTTATGAACACAGCTTTGTTTTTCAGACTGATCTGTCCAAGTACAACAACGTGGTTGTGTTTGGTGTGGAGAAGATGGTAAGAATGCATATCATTACTTGCGAAATATGTTGACATTTTGTTCCATTGCTAGTGACAAGGCAGCCAACTCGCTATTGAACAGTACTTTGGAGGCCCAGTGTTAGAAAATGTCCCAAGCATTCTACTGATTAAGTGTTTGTTTGTTGTTTAATGCCACACTCAGCAATATGACGGCGGTCTGTAAATAATCAAGTCTGGACGGACTATCCAGTGATTGACGTCATGAGCATCGATCCATGCAATTGGGATACGATGATGTGCATCAACCAAGTCAGCAAGCCTGACCACCTGATCCCGTTAGCCGCCTCTTACGACAAGCATCGTAATCTTTTACGGCAAGCATGGGTTGCTGAAGACCTGTTCTACCCCGGATCTTCATGGGTCCATTTTAAAAAAGCCTTACATTTTCATTCGATCCACTGCATACCTGTTTGTATAAAATCATTCACAATGTGTTCCCATATCGTCACTTTTTATAAAATCAGTTTGGTGATATGCTTTACCGCTGATTTGAAACCAGTGAATAATAACAAACATAACTGGGGCCTATTTGTAAACTGTTTGACCACAGCAATTTTCTAGACTTGCAGTCATGTATTTAACATGTGTAAATGTTGCTCAAACATGACAAATGTGTTTTACGATCCTAATGAACAAAAGCTTTATTCTTATTGGATGGTCAGGTTTAAACATTAACAAGAGAATTGCTGTATTTCCTACTAGATGCCCCCTCTAGAGGCGAAGCTAAAGACGGATCTGTGCAAAGATGGACATATCGTAGCGTGTCGGTTTCCATTCCACACATGGGAGGCAAGTAGAACACAGGGCACAGGTGTGGATACAGTGTGGATGTACAAGCACTAGGACCTGTCCGACCACACATACAGCATCTACGAGGGGTGTGGATACAGTGTGGATGTACTAGCACTAGGACCTGTCCGACCACACGTACAGCATCTACTAGGGGTGTGGATACAGTGTGGATGCACAATCACTAGGACCTGTCTGACTACACATACAGCATCTACGAGGGGTGTGGATACAGTGTGGATGTACAAGCACTAGGACCTGTCCGACTACACGTACAGCATCTACGAGGGGTGTGGATACAGTGTGGATGTACTAGCACTAGGACCTGTCTGACCACACGTACAGCATCTACGAGGGTAGTGGATACAGTGTGGATGTACAAGCACTAGGACCTGTCTGACTACACGTACAGCATCTACGAGGGGTGTGGATACAGTGTGGATGTACTAGCACTAGGACCTGTCTGACTACACATACAGCATCTACGAGGGGTGTGGATACAGTGTGGATACAGTGTGGATGTACTAGCACTAGGACCTGTCTGACTACACATACAGCATCTACGAGGGGTGTGGATACAGTGTGTATGTACAAGCACTTGGACCTGTCTGACCACACGTACAGCATCTACGAGGGGTGTGGATGCAGTGTGGATGCACAATCACTAGGACCTGTCTGACTACACGTACAGCATCTACGAGGGGTGTGGATACAGTGTGGATGTACTAGCACTAGGACCTGTCCGACTACACGTACAGCATCTACAAGGGGTGTGGATGCAGTGTGGATGTACAATCACTAGGACCTGTCCGACTACACGTACAGCATCTACGAGGGGTGTGGATGCACAATCACTAGGACCTGTCTGACTACACGTACAGCATCTACAAGGGGTGTGATGCAGTGTGGACGTACAATCACTAGGACCTGTCCGACTACACGTACAGCATCTACGAGGGGTGTGGATGCAGTGTGGATGCACAATCACTAGGACCTGTCTGACTACACGTACAGCATCTACGAGGGGTGTGGATGCAGTGTGGATGCACAATCACTAGGACCTGTCTGACTACACGTACAGCATCTACGAGGGGTGTGGATGCAGTGTGGATGTACAAGCACTAAGATCTCTCTGACCACTCTACTAATGGCGGCCCGATACACCTACCTCATGATACAATACGTATCCTGATACTTTATTTGTGCTGGTTATCTGTTCCATGGGACTAGCTGAAAATATGTCATTGCTATCTACAAGTTTGGATTTATTTTTAACTGTACTATGAAATCAGATTCAGACGATTGTTTTCTTCACGGGAAAACTATACTACTCAACATCTGTTAGGGATAAAAAATGTGTGTTCCTCGGCAAATGTTGATTATTATACTTATTATATCTTCAGTGAATTTGTGATGAATTAATAAATCGGTCAGTCATGATCAGGGCTTGATTTAGGTACATGTATATAAAACATGCACTAGAGCAACCATTATTGGAAAACATGACCTAATTTTATTGTCAACATGCACTAAGTGCATGTAAAAACAATTGTGTCTGCATTATTATTTTTCCACACGACGATCTTGGAACACATTCAATACCTCTAAGGTATATCTGTCGTACTACATCAATAGTCTGTGTTGTGTGAAATTTTCCATGCTTTCATGGGTTTGACATGAAACTGTGGGTGCTTCCATTTATGTTTTACAGCAACTCCTCATAAATTTATGTGACACTGGCAGCAGACAAGCCTATGTTTCAACTTTGATAAATGAATGGGACCAGGGTGCAATCTGGTTTTGTCAGGTGCATCTAGGTTTTTCATGTCAACATGCACCTGGTGCAAGTAAAATCCAGTTCCTTAAGTCAAGCCTTGACGACACTCCAAGATAAACATTGTGTTCAAGAGTGATGTTCCTGTGTCTGGTGACTTCCACACTGCTGTGCGTGGACACCTGACAAAGGAGATCTTGTGAATTGTTAGCCTTTTGGTTTGTCATAGAAATGACAAATGAAAATAGCCATGATAGCAATAATCTTTCTTTCGTATGCCAAGAGAATGTAAATAAATACATCTTCATACACTTCTCGTCTTATCATGTTTAACATTATAATGTGCCTTGCTCCTATGTGCACCCCTTGACCAATCTATCAAAATCTAGATATTTTTAAGAGCAACTAGTCCCAAATAAGCTGTGGCTTGAACCAATGACTACCCATGATTAAACAGTGTGCTATATCTCCGTTCTATTATGATATATTCCCAAGACCAATTTGCAACCAGTACTCTGTTCGAGTCCAGTTCGAATGACAACACCAAACAGTCTTCCAGTCACATCACCTTGATCTTCATGATTGAAACACGTGGCCATATCGCCAGTACCCGGCTTGTGTTGCGTACCGTCACAAATACACCTGGAAATGTGTGTAGTCTTCCCTCCCCATGTCTCAGTACTGTAAATCTTGAAATAAATGTCTCCAAATCAATGCGACTGCTGGCCCCTAGCCAAGAATGCAACTCAATATGAATGCGCCCCCATCCCCAGTAGAATTACTGGTATATACATAGAGAATATGGCTTCTGTGAGGTTTACAGTAAAAACATTGAATTTTTTGTCAGCTAAAACAGTTGTAACATTCTTCTGTTGATTAAATTCCGAGAGGACTCACTTGTATGATGCCACAATATTGAATGCAAATTTGTGATAGATATACTGACAAGGAGAGAAAAAAGATGCTACTAGTATTTTGGTCTTCAGATATTTATCTGGTTATCTCCCCAAACCCCTACAACCCATTTCCCCTACAACCCAGTTCCCCTACAATTAGTTAAAACAACACGCGGCATTTACCTGTCTGGCATTATGAACTCACCTAAAGGAGAGATTAAGGTCTGGAGTAGAGGTAGTAGAAATGAAAGGGGTAGAGCTATAGGGGATTAGGGGACTTAAAGGAAAGTTTAAAAAAAAAAGAATTAATGTAAGTGTGATGAAAGATGCCTGTATGATGAGAAGACAATTTTTAGAAATTACAAAAATAACAACAGGAAGAAACAATTATTACGCTGAGAAACTGAGATGAGACGATTTACAGTTGAGATGAAAAATGAACATTTTGTTATAATGTATTATGAATTTTGAAAAATGAACATTTTATTATAATGTATTATGAATTTTGAAAAATGAACATTTTATTATAATGTATTATGAATTTTGAATAATATCGTAATCGTAATTAAATATTTATCTCAATCTATTCGAGTTTCTTGGGTTGTTCCATTGTATGAAATAGGTAACAGACTAGGGATTAGCAGTGCCATGGACCGTGAACTTTGTTGTCTTAAGCTGTAGGGGAAATGGGATGTAGGGGTTTTGGGAGGTTACCATTTATCTTATACATGTATACCGGGTGCAAATGTATTGGAGATGCAATACACTGGACGATTCTCTACTGGATAATGAAGTAACAAACATCTATATACAAATATTTTATTTTTATTGAAATCAAGTACATGTATGGATAACAGTCTGTATACTTATGCCTGTTATTTCAAAGTTGCATAAGCACTGAAGCTCACAACATGCACAATTCTGACATGATATCCACATCAAGAAACAAACATAAAATAATCTCAAGAACATAGAACATTGCAACAAATACTGTAACACATTGGAATACTGTAACACATTGGCAGCAACATGTGATTATTCCTGTCACAGAGGTGAATTGACAAAATGTTTCGTCATGATCTCAAATCTTTAAAACAACAACATTTGATTCTATATGCTCATATGAATCCTGTCAAATGACTTTGGTAACTAACAGAACAAGCATGAAATACTCACATGCCAGTGGAGGACCCTAGCACAAGGCATCCCCGGAACACCACCATGGGTGCTGAATTAAATTGAACAAGCATGAAATACTCATATCCCCCACCAATATTACATGTCCGGTTGTATGCAATGCATTAGCTCCTGTGAACTATGTTCACTGTGCCTTTTAGTAATGGCCTAATTGCTGCACTAAAAAGGTTATTGCTGGTGTTGTTTTGCCATCTGCAGATTATGATAGAATATGTAACTGTATTTGTAATGAGTAAGGATGAGACATATGGACGAACAACTTCTTTATTACAATTAGGAGCGATGGTTTCATTGTAGGTTGTAACACCGTTATCAAGCAAGTGAAGTACAGAGTATGGTTGACAAGAATATATAGTGTTTATACAGTTGAGTAGGTTTAAGATCAGTTACACTGTTGTATTTGTAATGAGTTGTGTTTCTGCATGAAGTTAGTCAGTGAATGCAACAACTGTGTCCATGACACTTTTGGAGGAACATACACTCAAGCAATCCAGAACTTACCAACAAGAAAAGGAAATGTATTCAATACTGTGAGATGACATTATGTGCCAAGTTTGGTTGCCATTGAAACTCGAAAAACGTTGTTGTTTTTTAAATCCCAAACTATCAAAAGACACCAGTTAACCACTAGACCTATCTATGTGCCAAGTTTGGTGAAGAAATGTGGTAGGGTTTTCAAGATCAGCTCCAGAAACGAGGACTACTGCCATTTTCAGTCTAAATCAAAGTCGTTGCCATGGAAACTCAAAAAATTTTTTTTTAAATCCCAAACTATCAAAAGGCACTAGTTCACCACTAGATCCATCTATGTGCCAAGTTTGATGAAGAAATATGGTACGGTTGTCAAGATCTGCTCCAGAAACGAGGACTACCGCCATTTTCAGTCTAAATCAAAGTCGTTGCCATGGAAACTCAAAATTTAATTTTTCTAAAAGTCCCAAACTATCAAAAGGCACCAGTTCACCACTAGACCTATCTATGTGCTAAGTTTGATGAAGAAATATAGTATGGTTTTCAAGATCTGCTCTGGAAACGAAATGTGACGGACGGACGGACAGCACCCATTCCTATATCCCCCTTCCACTTCGTGGCGGGGGATAATAACATGTAACCTGTAGTCTGCAAAAAGCCAAGCACAGTAACAGCTGTCATAAAATACACCGCTTCATTTAAATCATGACAACTCGGAATGTGAAAACAGACACCATTTCTGCGGAATGAATACACAGAATATATTTTGGATTAACGAGACAGATCTGGACCTCTTGGACAAAACTGGCAGCACCATCTCCCAAAGAAGGACTCACTATCCCAGCCGGATGTTCATGCCGAGTCAGCGCTAATGGTGGAAGAGACGAAGGTTTGTGTGGGCCAGGGTGATGTTGTGGTCATCACAAGCTTGGATGATGGCAGGGTCATTGGTGGACCCGGCGGGAGAGGCAATGTACTCCACGCCACTCTGAAAAAAGGAATTCAGGGCTAGAAATCAACAAGTAGAAACATTGTCAAAATGACGGCTACTATACAAGTTTGTTTGTTGTTTGACGCCACACTCAGCAATATTCAAGCTATATGATGGTGGTTGGTAAATAATCGTCTCTGGACCAGGCAATCCAGTGATTGACATCATGACCATCAATTCACGCTATTGGGATACGATGACATGCATCAACAAAGTCACCGAGTCTGACCACCTGACCACATTATTCACGTTTTATGACAAGCACAGTCGCCTTTTACCCCAAGCATAGGTTGCTGAAGACCTATTCTACCCCGGATCTTCACAGGTGCTACTATTACAAGTCACAATGATACGGACATTCACTACAGTACAAGTCAAACTGATGCAGACATCACTATTACATCAGCTTCATATGATCACCTGGAAAGCTCTGTCAATGTTGTCTCTGAAGGGGAAGAAGGCGTCGGAGCTGAGTGACACGCCCTTCAACTTTGAGACCCACGTTGTCCTGTCCTCCTGTAAACAAGCATCATTGGAACACACATTCAGACACGTGCTGTTGGGCGGGAACCAAACAATGGTTATTCGGAATATTTTTTATGTAATTGCAGAGTGTAAGTGACGTCACGTTACTTCAATACAATTTTACTGGTCAAGACCTGAGCAACTAAAAAAAAGCAGCTATTTGTGATCGATGGTACACTATGGTTCTGCTTAGCAAGTACTTCAATCAACAAAGTCAAGGAAGATCCTGTTTCATGGCGAAAACAAATCGTACAGCTATGGCTCCTAATGTGCAACTGTTACTCACGAGTGATAAAGTGTCAGACTCGATTTAGCAATGTAAAATATGCACCAGTGCAATCTATTTTGAAAAATGCAACCTAATATTAATGTGTACATGCACCAAGTGCATGTAAAAGAAAATCATCAACCCCCACCCCTTGAATAACGGTTACTTGTCCGAGCACAATCAATACCTTTAAACTTGATTTACCATACCACATCACTCACTAACCCCTGTGTATTGTGTAATTCATGACAGTCAGAGAACTGACGTTTTATTTATTCAGACTAGTTAATGCATCTGTGTTCAACTTTGATAAATGAATGGGACCAGGGTGCAACCTGGTTTTGTCTGGTGCAGTTAGGTTTTCGGGTCAACATGCACCTGGTGCAAGTTAAATCAGGTTCCTTAACGTGAGCCCTGAGTGTTAATGTCAATCTCCAGCAAGTCTCACCTCTGTGAGTGGCGCTGGTGGATTCTCCATTAGATTCTCCCATGTTGCCTGGTCCATGTCCTGCAGCGCAATGTCTCACAATGACTGACTATGTCTAACAATGACTGACTGTGTCTCACAATGACTGACTATGTCTCACAATGACTGACTATGTCTAACAATGACTGACTATGTCTAACAATGACTGACTATGTCTAACAATGACAATGTCTCACAATGACTGACTATGTCTAACAATGACAATGTCTAACAATGACAATGTCTCACAATGACTGACTATGTCTAACAATGACAATGTCTAACTTAATGACAGAATGTCTAACAATTCCACAGTTTGTTACAGACTGCAGAGATACCCGAGCTGCATCTGAACTGCATTTCCCTGTCATCACGGTCTTCACACTTTTATAGTAGTGGTGAATTGTTAATGTCTTTTCATATGAGTAATTTGTAACAAGAAATTGGAAATTCTTTCAAGCCTCCAAATGAAAGTTTCTTATTTAATGGGTAGGTAATGTTTTGGTGGTGTAAGACAAAATGTCTACCCTATCTTGAAAGGGAATTAGTTGTTTAACTAAAGAGATATGGCTACTGGTGACATCCCTGTCAAACTGTTCCCAATACAAAGACATTACAGGCAAGACACACCTGACCAACTCGTTCAATACACAGATACTACAGGTGCGACTTACCTGACCCACTGTTCCCAATACGTAGACATCAATGGCATTAGAGATTTCTGCTCGCTTCACGCCCTTCTTGAACTGCATCCCGAGCACCTTGGGATGCTGCCTCAACCACCTGTGTTAACGAGCAAACATAACATTGTCTCAAGACAGCACTAAGCAGTCCGGCCAGGTACCACAGGTCCACTGCGAGGTACATCATCAAGTCGGCCGTCAACTCCCTAGGAGGGGCTTCACAAATTGTACCCACGCGGGGATATGATCCCCGAGTCTTCTGTGTGAACCCATTGTTTCGGTTGGTGGGTACAATGTGTGAAGCCTATGCCTGGTGTCCCTCTGGGCGAGTGAGTAAGGTTTTATGCCGCTTTTAACAATAATCCAGCAATATCATGGCGGGGGACACCAGAAATGGGCTTCACACATTGTACCCATGTTGGGAATTGAACCTGGGTTTTCGGCGTGACAAGCGAACACTTTAACCACCAGGCTACCCGACCGCCCCTGGTGTCCCTCTGCTATAATACGGCTGGAATATTGCTAAAAGCAGCATATAATCCTACCCACCAGACAATCCAGTGATTGGTATGATGAGCAATGATCCACTCCATCTTGGTCCGATGACATGCAATCAACCAAGTTACTGATCCTTAAGTCATCTCTTACGACCAGCTCAGGTTGACAGAAACCTACTCTAACCCATATCCCAAAGGGGGGCACGGGTGGCCCAGTCGTCTAAGGTGCCGCGATTCGCTGTGCAGAGTTGCATCCCTAGGGCAGGCCAGAAACCTATGATTGTGGGTTCGAATCCCGGTTCGCCCCAATTATGTTTCTAGGTTTTTCAGCACCATACCCATACTTGTGGGTTTCACCGAAGTGGTAAACGTCCGAGACCTGCATCACATCGGGCTTTCCTCCCACATTAAGCTGACACACCGCGATATGACTGTAATACTGTTAAAAGCGGCGTTAAACCCAATTCACTCAATCACTCCATATCCCAAAGGGGTCCAGTGAGTGAGTTTGGTTTTATGCCGCTTTTAGCAATATTCCAGCAATATCACGGCGGGGGACACCAGAAATGGGCTTCACACATTGTACCCATGTTGGGAATCGAACCCGGGTCTTTGGCGTGACGAGCGAATGCTTTAACCACTAGGCTACCCGACCGCCCCCCAAAGGGGTCCATGAGTGTGCTAATAGACTGTGTGTCCACAGACAAGACCCAGTGTTCTAGTTACCAGTTGTTGGCTTTCTCCCCTGCAAGTCTGGTACAATGGATGCGAGACTGCTGGCCGGCGCCGATACCGATCACCTGGAGAACAACCACAATAAACTTCAACAACCTGTCTGGTAGTTCACCTCAACATTCTATTATGATCTAAATGTACAACTCAAAATAAGTTAAACAACACCCGATTCTTTCACATACTAAAGTTAATCTGTCATGTCATGTAATATGAAAAGAATCATGTTGTTCTAAGCTTCTTTTCAGTAGTATAAGCTTTGTCACAACATGACAGATTAACCAATATTTTCATATTACTGTAGTTAATCTGTCTCGCAATGACAGATTAATTATAGCAATATGAAAGAATAAGGTGTTCTTTAACTTCTTTTGAGTAGTATATATTGATTGCTGCATCATCTTAACATAAAAAAGGGTAGAAATAGTTTCAAGCTAGAGTCCTTGTGCCTGAAACAACATATATGGGATTATCCTGTTTATACATAAACATGGCAAGGGTCAGTTTAACACATATCAACAAGGCTTGTAGTTACTGTCCTCCATGTTGTGTAGCAGTGGGGCTCAGGTGAAATGTTGGAATCACATCAACCCTCCAGGAGGGCGTGTCATACGAACGAGACAAACTCATCATGGCCCAGCAGTTCCTGCTAACAACTTCTTCCATCTCACAGACACGCAAGGCAGCTATACTGACAAGTTACTACTTAGCACTGCCTCCAGCCAGTTCGCCAAAAACATGCCTAATTTTATCTAATATGGACTTAAGGAATTTTGCAAGCAACTATTTCAATAACTATTTCAACTTAAAAAATTATGAAAACTCACAGGACAGTTTGGAAACTTCTCTCAGTGGTTTACAATACAGAACAGGCAAATACCTTCAGCCTCTTAATCTAAGCTACAAGCATTTCCAGGTTAATTTTTAGACTGATTAGAAAGTCCTACCTGACCATCTCGGGCATAGCACACAGAGTTAGACTGAGTGTATTTCAGAGCAATGCTGGCCACTATCAGGTCTCGCACAGCCTCCTCCGGCAGCTGAAACATTCAACACAACACTTCAGGCCTGGGCTCACCTTTCAATACAGAGCAAGTGGGTTGGGTTCAATGTCACTTTCAACAATACTTCAAACACGTCATGCTTCTGTTTACTGTGGGAGGATAACCGAGAGTAGCTTTAGTTTGTTTGCTGGATAACTCTGCATCCGTGCTAATCTAGCCATTGGATGATGGCCTCTAATTAATCATTTCATTAATAAATTCATTAATCAAGGAAACCCCATAATCATAACATCCTTGTTCGACTAAGGGACACAACTCGACATCACAAACTGCGGAAACTGTGATGACTGACACCCAAGGCCCCTCCCACAATGGAAGAGTAAGTGATTATTGTTTTAGGCCGCTTTTAGCAATATTCCAGCAATATCACGGTGGGGGACACCAAAATTGGGCTTCACACATTATACCCACATGGGGAATCAAATCTGGGTCTTTGGCATGACGAGCAATTGCTTTAACCACTCGGCTACCCTGCCGCCCCCCTCCGACAATGGATGCTCAACACAAGTCCTGTGTACATGGACACACAACCCTACCTCCTTCCTCTTAGAGGTGATGTTGGAGAAGAGGTTCTTGTCAATAACAGCATCGTTCCTCTTTTGCTGCATCTGGAGCCCAAATAATGTCCTGGTCTCCAGCTCCGGAGGGTTGTACGTCCAGTCAATCTGAAATATATCAACACATCTTGAAGTATGATAGGTGTGAACCACCCTCAATACAGTAACTACGTCGTGTGGTGTAGCAGGTGGGCTCAGGTGAAACGTTGGAATCAGATCAACCCTTCAGGAGGGCGTGTCATACGAACGAGACAAACTCATCATGGCCCAGTTGTTCCTGCTTACAACTGCTTCAAATTATGCCTCACACACACTGCAGGCTGTTGTACTGAATAGTTACTTGTGAGTGAGTGAGTTGGGTTTAATGCCTCTTTTAATAGTATTACAGTTATATCGCGGCGTGTCAGCTTAATGTGGGAAGAAAGCCCGAAGTGATGCAGGTCTCGGACGTTTACCACTTCAGGGAAACCCAAGAGCACAGGTATGGTGCTGACAAACCTAGAAACATAATTGGGGCGAACCGGAATTCGAACCCACAATCATAGGTTTCTGGCCTGCCCAAGGGACGCAATTCTGCACAGCGAATTGCGGCGCCTTAGACGACTGGGCCACCCGTGCCCCGTGAATAGTTACTAGTTACTAGTTAGCACTGCCTCCAGCCAGTTAGCTATAACTATGCCTAATTATCTTAGATGGACTTTACATGACAATCCTCTTTTGTGCTAAAACAATTTTCGTTCATGACATTATGCAACTCACATGCAGCTGTTTGACTTAATTGTCACACTAGCTTCTCATGGTAACAACATAGTTTCATTCCCCTAATCCCTGATTCACTAGTACTATTTTCAGTCATCTTTTACAATAAATTTGTGATTAACGTATCTGGATAATCTGCCACATTTCAATTACCTGCAAAACACAATACTTTCCACCCTTCTTCTTTTTGAGAATCTCCAGTGCTGCAGGTTGATAAGCTGGGGCGATAACTCCATCAGAAACCTGAAATAAATCAAGACAAAGTTATTTTTTTTCAATTTGGGGATTAATTCTTCAAAAATAAAAGTACTTCAGTAATATTGCAGAGTGTCATCCACATTTACCACCCCCCTCATCCACATTTACCACCCCCGTCATCCACATTTACCACCCCCCTCATACACATTTACCACCCCCGTCATCCACATTTACCACCCCCATCATCCACATCTACCACCCCCTCATCAACATTTACCACCCCCCTCATCCACATTTACCACCCCCATCATCCACATTTACCACCCCTTATCCACATCTACCACCCCCGTCATCCACATTTACCACCCCCATCATCCACATCTACCACCCCCATCATCCACATTTACAACCCCCTGTCATCCACATTTACATCCCCTGTCATCAACATTTTCATCCCCGTCATCAACATTTACATCCCCGTCATCAACATTTACAACCCCCATCATCCACATTTACCACCCCGTCATCCACATTTACACCCCCCTGTCATCAACATTTACAACCCCTGTCATCCACATTTACAACCCCTGTCATCCACATTTACAACCCCTGTCATCAACATTTACAACCCCTGTCATCCACATTTACAACCCCTGTCATCAACATTTACACCACTGTCATCCACTTTTACAACCCCTGTCATCCACATTTACAACCCCTGTCATCCACATTTACAACCCCTGTCATCAACATTTACACCACTGTCATCCACATTTACAACCCCTGTCATCCACATTTACAACCCCTGTCATCCACATTTACAACCCCTGTCATCAACATTTACACCACTGTCATCCACTTTTACAACCCCTGTCATCAACATTTACAACCCCTGTCATCCACATTTACAACCCCTGTCATCAACATTTACACCACTGTCATCCACTTTTACAACCCCTGTCATCAACATTTACAACCCCTGTCATCCACATTTACAACCCCTGTCATCCACATTTACAACCCCCTCATCAACATTTACAACCCCTGTCATCCCCATTTACACCACTGTCATCCACATTTACAACCCCTGTCATCCACATTTACAACCCCTGTCATCCACATTTACAACCCCTGTCATCAACATTTACAACCCCTGTCATCCACATTTACACCACTGTCATCCACATTTACAACCCCTGTCATCAACATTTACAACCCCTGTCATCAACATTTACAACCCCTGTCATCAACATTTACAACCCCTGTCATCCACATTTACAACCCCTGTCATCCACATTTACATCTCCGTCATCAACATTTACATCTCCGTCATCAACATTTACAACCCCTGTCATCAACATTTACAACCCCTGTCATCAACATTTACAACCCCTGTCATCAACATTTACATCTCCGTCATCAACATTTACATCTCCGTCATCAACATTTACACCACTGTCATCCACATTTACAACCCCTGTCATCAACATTTACATCTCCGTCATCAACATTTACATCTCCGTCATCAACATTTACAACCCCTGTCATCAACATTTACAACCCCTGTCATCCACATTTACATCTCCGTCATCAACATTTACATCTCCGTCATCAACATTTACACCACTGTCATCCACATTTACATCTCCGTCATCCACATTTACAACCCCTGTCATCCACATTTACACCATCCTCATTCACATTTACTTTAATTTCATTGACAAAACAACATTAATGTTCTTTTCAATAACATCCAAACCTGATGCTTACTTCTCGAGATATAATCTTTGCTGTAGATACGTCACACTCATCAGAGAGGGAAACAAAATCTCCAAAAGATGACATCCTGTCGGCACCTTGGAATGAGACATCTTTATCATTTTATGTTTTTTAATGAAGGCGATGAAATCCTACATGAAGTAGTGTTCTTTGATTGTCTTGTGACTGCATATGTTGTTTCATGTCTCAGTTCATCAAATTAACTTACATCAACACCATAATGTAATATCTTGGTTTCTCAGCTGATGAAAAGCACTTATGGTTACAGATGAACACAATCAGTTTTAAAACTAACTTGAATTGAGTGAGTCAGTTAGTTTGGTTTAATGCCGTTTTGAACAGTATTCCAGTTACATCTCGGCTTGTCAGCTTGATGTAAGAGGAACCCACAACCAAAGCTTTCTGGCACAACTAAGGGACGAACTCTGCACAACCAATTGTGGTACCTTAGATGACTGGACCACCCAGTTCTCACCTGTAGTACCCATCCTTACCCTTTCCAATACAATACGTACCTCTAGCTCTTGCGTATGCTATAGCCAGGGGAGACAACTCTGCCATGTCATCCACCATGCAGAGTCGTGCTTGTTCTGGTGTGAGTGGAGTGGACACAGCCGCACCTACAGACAGACAGCCATGGACACTTCAAGAACGTTAGAATATCACATTGATTTTTAGACTGGTTTCTATATAGGGTTTTTACACCCAGGTTTTGATATATTGTTATATATTGAACAGCAAAAGAAACATTTCATGAAAATAATTCATGAAAGTTTCTCACTGAAAATATCAATGCATTTTGTGGATGTATTCGGTTTCGACATTAGTCTGTATCCAAATTAAATGTTAACTACCATGAAGTGACACAAATATGGATATAATGGGTTTATTATAAAACGCAGCAGTTCAGTATTGTAACATAAATGTGTTCCCAAGCTTAAATAGCTCAATGCCAAGACAACTTTCTTCAACACATCACATGCTATATTCTAGTCTTGAGTTAAAGCGATGACACATATTAAGAAGAACTGACAATCTGGATACTCTCTTCATGTGGAAACTGATCCCTGACTGACTACTTGAGAAATGGAGCCAGGTGATGCCTCGACTTACCTGCCGGACTGACGTGTTTGAAGGACGTGGCAGCAGGGAGATCCAGACCTTGCCTCAGTTCCCGGACCAGCTGCCAGCCATTGAGGGCATCACACAGGTTGATGAAGCCCGGGGCCCCGTTCAGCACTGGAGGACAACACACACTTGTGTTAAACACTCACATGTAGCAACGAAATCTGGATACAACTAAGTCACACCTTTGCAAGAGTGAGTGAGTGGTTTACAAGGCTTTCAGCAATATTTCAGCAATATCATGGTGGGGGATACCAGAAATGGGCTTCACACCCTTTGCAAGACAAAAATGTGTAAAGTTGACTCTCTGGTTGGTGGGTGGGTGGTGGGTTGGATGTTGCATGTAGGGAGACGAGACAAGTGGAATCAGGGTTGACTTCCGGAGGGCTCACTACAATCCTGTGAGTGGCAGCTGGAGCATTGATTAACGGGGGAAGAGTGTGTGGGTGATTGTGTGCAGGGTTGGTTGGGAACTGGGTGTGTTGGGGAAGGGAGTGTGGTGGGAGAGGGTTTCTTTTGAGGGTTCACTACATTATCTGAGAGGCACGTGTGGCAGGGTGAGTTGATCTGAATGGGTTTTTTGTTTCACGTTCGTTTGCTTAACACTGCACTCCAGCTATATTCCAGCCATATGATGGCGACCTGTACATAATCAAGATTGGACAAGACAATACAGTAATTGATATTGATATCAACGATCAAGTCTCGAGACAATAACATATAATCAACCAAGCCACCAAGTCTGTCCACCCGATACATTTGGTATCTTCTTACATCACCAGCATGGGTTGCCGGGGACCTCTTCTGAGGAGTTTAGACGATTTAGGGGTCACATACCTGTGGGAGGTAGCTGTGGCAGGGGGGTGTAGATCTGAGCGGGTTTCTGGTGAGGGGGGTGTAGATCTGAGCGGGTTTCAGGTGAGGGGTCACATACCTGTGAGAGGTAGCTGTGGCAGGGGGGTGTAGATCTGAGCGGGTTTCTGGTGAGGGGGGTGTAGATCTGAGCGGGTTTCAGGTGAGGGGTCACATACCTGTGAGAGGTAGCTGTGGCAGGGGGGTGTAGATCTGAGCGGGTTTCTGGTGAGGGGGGTGTAGATCTGAGCGGGTTTCAGGTGAGGGGTCACAAACCTGTGAGAGGTAGCTGTGGCAGGGGGGTGTACATCTGAGCGGGTTTCTGGTGAGGGGGGTGTAGATCTGAGTGGGTTTCTTGTGAGGGGGGTGTAGATCTGAGCGGGTTTCTGGTGAGGGGGGTGTAGATCTGAGCGGGTTTCAGGTGAGGGGGGTGTAGATCTGAGTGGGTTTCAGGTGAGGGGTCACATACCTGTGAGAGGTAGCTGTGGCAGGGGGGTGTAGATCTGAGCGGGTTTCTGGTGAGGGGGGTGTAGATCTGAGCGGGTTTCAGGTGAGGGGGGTGTAGATCTGAGTGGGTTTCAGGTGAGGGGTCACATACCTGTGAGAGGTAGCTGTGGCAGGGGGGTGTAGATCTGAGCGGGTTTCTGGTGAGGGGGGTGTAGATCTGAGTGGGTTTCAGGTGAGGGGGGTGTAGATCTGAGCGGGTTTCTGGTGAGGGGGGTGTAGATCTGAGCGGGTTTCAGGTGAGGGGGGTGTAGATCTGAGTGGGTTTCAGGTGAGGGGTCACATACCTGTGAGAGGTAGCTGTGGCAGGGGGGTGTAGATCTGAGCGGGTTTCTGGTGAGGGGGGTGTAGATCTGAGCGGGTTTCAGGTGAGGGGGGTGTAGATCTGAGTGGGTTTCAGGTGAGGGGTCACATACCTGTGAGAGGTAGCTGTGGCAGGGGGGTGTAGATCTGAGCGGGTTTCTGGTGAGGGGGGTGTAGATCTGAGCGGGTTTCAGGTGAGGGGGGTGTAGATCTGAGTGGGTTTCAGGTGAGGGGTCACATACCTGTGAGAGGTAGCTGTGGCAGGGGGGTGTAGATCTGAGCGGGTTTCTGGTGAGGGGGGTGTAGATCTGAGTGGGTTTCAGGTGAGGGGGGTGTAGATCTGAGCGGGTTTCTGGTGAGGGGGGTGTAGATCTGAGCGGGTTTCTGGTGAGGGGGGGGGAGATCTGAGCGGGTTTCTGGTGAGGGGGGTGTAGATCTGAGCGGGTTTCTGGTGAGGGGGGTGTAGATCTGAGCGGGTTTCTGGTGAGGGGGGTGTAGATCTGAGCGGGTTTCTGGTGAGGGGGGTGTAGATCTGAGTGGGTTTCAGGTGAGGGGGGTGTAGATCTGAGCGGGTTTCTGGTGAGGGGGGTGTAGATCTGAGCGGGTTTCTGGTGAGGGGGGTGTAGATCTGAGTGGGTTTCAGGTGAGGGGGGTGTAGATCTGAGCGGGTTTCTGGTGAGGGGGGTGTAGATCTGAGCGGGTTTCTGGTGAGGGGGGTGTAGATCTGAGCGAGTTTCTGGTGAGGGGGTGTAGATCTGAGCGGGTTTCTGGTGAGGGGGGTGTAGATCTGAGTGGGTTTCAGGTGAGGGGGGTGAAGATCTGAGCGGGTTTCAGGTGAGGGGGGTGTAGATCTGAGCGGGTTTCTGGTGAGGGGGGTGTAGATCTGAGCGGGTTTCTGGTGAGGGGGGTGTAGATCTGAGCGGGTTTCAGGTGAGGGGCCTCATACCTGTAAGAGGTAGCTGTGGCAGGGGGGTGTAGATCTGAGCGGGTTTCTGGTGAGGGGGGTGTAGATCTGAGCAGGTTTCTGGTGAGGGGGATGTAGATCTGAGTGGGTTTCAGGTGAGGGGCCTCATACCTGTGAGAGGTAGCTGTGGCAGGGGGGTGTAGATCTGAGCGGGTTTCTGGTGAGGATTCATCCCATACCGGAGTGTCAGCTGGGAGCTTTCGCTGCCATACTCCCGTCGGAAGTAGTCGGAGATGGCCGCATCGTACTCAGCTGTGTGGTTGAATGCCTGTAACAAGAGAACTACTATTTGCCATACTTGCTTCACCAAATATTAAAATGGAGTGTATGCACAAACATGATCGTTGAAGAGCAAACAAATAAACAAAAATTAGTCATGGGTCCAAATTGTCAGCAAATATCTTTAGGCAAGGATACCCTAGGTGCTTCAGTGTTAGTGATTGTTCCCAGTATTATGTGTGTCATTCCTAAAATAGCTGTCGACTTGTTTTATCTTTTCTAAACACAATCGCCCATCTGAACAAGTCACAGTAATACAATAAGGTGAGGTGAAATGGGATTTAATATCTCATTCAAGATTATTGCACTTATAAAGCAACGTGCATACACATACGTGCAGGGTAACATGTCTTCTGATTTCTTTTGAATTGACACCGACAGAAGAACTAACAAAATAATATCACTGATGTGTGTCTGTATTGTGTGTGTGTGTGTGTGTGTGTGTGTGTGTGTGTGTGTGTGTGTGTGTGTGTGTGTGTGTGTGCGTGTGCGTGCATGTGTGCGTGTGTGCTAGTGTTTGTGAAGTACCTTATATCGCTGTGTATAAGGCGAGTATTTTGTACCTAGAATTAGGGGGCTTTCAATGGGGGAGGGGGGTCGTCTTATACACAGGGTTGAAAAGTTTTGATAGTTCCTCCCCCCCCCCCAACACAATGACATTACTACAAGCATGAAACACCGGAAATACCATGTCGACAAATTCATACTGAAGTACGCAAATTAATCATAATATTAGTAAAATCTAAATATTTTTTACATTTGTATACTTATCCTGCATTACTCCGTATTGCATTTACTGCTATGTTTGACAGAGAGATGAACTGTGTGAGATCCAGCTGCTGAAGAAAGTTGTCCCAACCAGCCCAGGAGGCAGCGCCCTCTCACAGTCGGCACGTGACCCAGAAGTCATGACGTCACACCAAAAGACATAACTGCTTTAAACATAACATCTGAAACTTCGTGGGGAGGTAGCGTAGCGAAAGGGAGGGCACTTAGACTTCGTAATGCAGGATAAGTATACAAATTTAAAAATATTTAGATTTTACTAAATTTTTTAACTTATCCTGCATTACTCCGTATTGCATCTTTATCAGACGGCATGGCCGGTGGGCATACCTGCAGATGTGAACCATATTAAACCCTCGTCAAGGTCCGATGAATCCGCACCGCATACAAGTGATGACCGGAACATCTACGACCATTCCTGTCTTCAGGAAACAAGAGTCGCTGCAAAAACGAAACGCCCGAATAGGTAACCGAAATACAATGAGGCGTGTAGCCAAAATATATAACTTACCGAAGAGCGAAAGCGAAACGCAGTAGAACCCTCTAATCTGAGGTGATAAACACCAGAGAGTTCGACGAATCGAAGAATCAGCGGCGTCGGCGGCAAAATCTACGACCAATCCCAAGAGCGAATGCGAAACGCAGGAGAGCCCTCTAGGCTGGAGGCAAGGAACACCGGTGAGGTCGACGGGCACCGCTCAGGTACCAGAGGAGCAGCGGCGTTGGCGTCGGCGCCGGTGTCCACATCTACTACCATTCCTGTCGTCAGGAAACGAGAGTTGATGCAAAAAGTAAAACCCGGATAGGTGACAGCAATAGAATGAGTCGGGTAACCCAAAACTAAAACTGACCTAAGAGCGAATGCGGAACGCAAGAGAGCCGTCTCGTCTGGGGTGATAAACACCAGAGAGGTCAACGGGCCCCGCTCAGGGTATCGGAGAATCAGTGGCGTCGGAGATAGATGACCTGTTGGGCTACAACCAGGGACCAAAACTGTGAACGCCGGCGACAACTTTCAAGGCTACATCACGGAAGTAGTGGTTGGTGAAGGCGGTGTCCGATCGCCACGAACAGGCTTCCCTGAACGACGGGATGGAACAGTATACCGTGAAGAACCAGTGTAAATACGATCGCCCTGATCTCATTTTATTTCAGGTAATAGCCTTTGGGGGGAGGGTCCAATCCGGCGGCTCATACGCTTTAAGGATGACCGCCCGGAGCCACAGGGAAAAGTATTCCGGCTGACCAACGACAGCGACGAAGGGGAGACCGGCAGAAAAAGGTGTTTCCTAGACTTGCGGCAGTCTTTAGATCGTAGAATAACCTTCAGTGCCCTTACTGGGCATAATGACGCTCATCCTCATCCTCGGCACCCACACTGGACGAGGGGGGAGGGGACAAGGAATGATCTATCAGGCTGTCCTGGGAGTTGAGTCTTTACGCTGACGTCCCAGTACGGTCCATGATGAACGGCGCCCTGGGTACCGCATTCGAACCGGGCATGGGAGACGTCGAGGGCGTGCTGTACATGGACTCGAGCGGCAGTAGTCAAAACCAGTAGAAACACCCGTCTTCTACTTAAGGTCGTAGAAGGAAGACGAGAGGAGTGGTTCGAAGGGCGTTGAAGACCACATTCAGATCCAACGCAGGCGGTCCGAACTTGGTCTTCAGGTCTTTAAGACTGAACGAGCGCAGCCAGGCCCGTAGGTCGGGAATTTTCGTCTTTCTCCGATCGTCCGGGATGGCCAGAACGGAGTAGATGGCGACCAGGTATGTGGGGGTGGTAAGTCCTTCAACCGACGGGTGCTACACAAGTACAGAAGGAACTGATCCAGGATCTGCGGTGACGCTGTCATCGGATCCTGGTGTTTGTCAGAACAACATGCCTGGAACAAGCATCATTTATCAGCATACAGCCCCCCTGTAGATGGACGGTGGGCTGAAGCAATAGCCTTGGTCGCTCTAGCCGAATAGCCCTTGGCTTTCTGCATGCGTGTCAGGCGTGCAGACGATAACATGCGGGTATGAGGGTGTGGCAACAGACCGTGTGGTTGGACCACACCGGAAGTTCCAGGGGTTGTCTCTGGCTATGTTTCGGAGGTCGATAACCCAACTTCTGGCTGACCAATAAGGCGAGACCAAAGTCAATGGCAGGGGTCGAGTGGCCTGGATCTCTGAAGAACCGTGGGAGGGAGAACCGGAGTCGGAAAAGCGTACGCGCGTAATCCTTCTCAGGAACGATGGAAGGCTTCGACTGCCACAGCGGTCGTATCCGGCACAGGTGGAATGGAAGACGACAGCTGGCCACATTCAAATATGAGGCAAACAGATCTAGGGTTGGGGTGTCGACTGTTTCACATAGTCTGGCCCGAGGCGCCGGAGAGCGTGAGGCGTCGGAGAGCTTGAGGCGCCTGGAACGCCGAAGATGGTGATTCTCGGGGGCGCCGGTCGAGTTTGTAGCGCCGGGAGAGGGGCGAGAACTCTGGGTCCGCAAACACCACACTACGATGACGTCGTCAGTGGACACGATCAACAGGGCGTGACCGAGAATGCACTGTCAGCAAGTGCCGTCCTGGATAAGCATTTATCTCGAGGCTGTTGCTGTGCCAATGGTGTTGATCTCTGGATCACAGGTGGTCACAATGTGGGCTGGCGTGGGCCACTAGCCACTGACAAGGTGGCAGGGGAGGTAGTCAGCAACAGGGGTCTGCGATTGCGTACCGTCGGTACGATTCGGAAAAAGGTGTGATCGCCTGCGAGCCAACCTCAAGTAGACGAAGTAAACCAGCTTCACAATCGACCGCCGGGGCATCGACGTAACCGGGTAGTAGGAAGTCGAGGCAATATGGCCATTGCACGAAGTAATGAGATCGTTTTCATCCCTGAAGCGGCGTATAAGTACTCCCGTTCTTATATCGAGGTGACGATGGAGGACGACAACACGATACGAGGCAGGTATGCAACAGGGGTCAGTGGGACGGCCGAGGGACTTTAAGTATCAAATCGACACTGTGTCCGGTAGTCAAGGCGGAAGATAGGAAGGTGTCGTAGTCGAAAAGATCAAACCGGACGAAGGAAGGCGATCTTTTCCATCCCTTGAACGCCTATAGGCGCTATCGTTCTTATAGCGAAGGGTTGATGAAACAAGGTTCCTCGTGACAGCCGTGTTGGTAGAGGAGGTCTATTGTTTCCAACATCCGTGCATGGATGGACTGCGACAGGCGCCTGGTTGAGTGGTATCACCAAGCGTACAGGTAGACATGGAAACCAATCTGTAGAAATACATGGCACCCCTTGCCATGGTAAGTTGACCTAAATCCGGTCGGAGTTGTTGACAGTCCGAGTACTTGACACGTGACATGTAAATCACTCTGCGCAGTAGCCGAGAAAACCCCCTTGGAGTCGGAACTGAGGTGCAAACTCCACACACAGACAATCCTCAATGAACTGTGTGAGAGACGATCAAGTGGTGTACCCGAGTTTTGCGATAAAACACGGAACCCCATGGGCGTCGTGGAAAACCCGGGGAGCGCCGAGGAAGAGTCTCTCTCAGGAACGCTGGCGCTAGGGTAGGGTAGAACAGCGTTGATGTCTGCGATGTCGACGAAGTAAACTCTTTGTAAGTGGATGTCGTCGTCGAATCTGATACAGACGCTGTTCACATGACGCTCTGTTTCGATGGAAACCCGCAGGTCATCTCTCCGGAATCATAGCGGTTTAAACGACGGGATTATGGATAACGTCTCAGTGGGCAAGTTGAATCAGACCAACTGTCTATTGGTTGAAATGATTCCACCCAGGAAGTAGAACGATAGTCACGATCCCGAAGACCGACGGGAGAGTAGCGACAGGAGCGGCGACAGTTGTTTCACCATGCTTCTCCGTGTGACGAGTTATGAGACGGCAGCAAGAGAAGAGGGCAGTGGCGCCGGGGAGGCGATTGCCGATGGTGCCCCTTAAGCCGCAGTAGAAGATCGGATGGTCGGCTCGTTGATCTGAGCTTGTTGAGCGCCGAAGACATCAGAGGATGCGGAGGCGCCGGAGCGCGGAGACATCAGACGCGACATCAGCGGCCCCGAGTCATCGGAGGCGCCGGGAGCACCGAGTCATCAGAGGCGCCGAGTCATCAGAGGCGCCGGGAGCGCCGTGTCATCAGAGGCGCCGAGTCATCGGAGGCGCCGGGAGCGCCGAGACATCAGAGGCGCCGAGTCATCAGAGGCGCCGGGAGCGCCGAGTCATCAGAGGCGCCGGAGACATCAGAGGCGCCGAGACATCGGAGGCGCCGTGTCATCAGAGGCGCCGCGTCATCAGAGGCGCCTAGTCATCGGAGGCGCCGGAGACATCAGCGTTGACATCAGCGAGTCATCAGAGGCGCCGGTGGCGCCGAGTCATCAGAGGCGCCGGGAGCGCCGAGTCATCAGCTTGTCATGAACAAGTCATGAAGCTTGTTGAGCGCCGAGACATCAGAGGCGCCGAGTCATCGGAGGCGCCTGGAGCGCCGAGACATCAGAGGCGCCGAGTCATCGGAGGCGCCAAGACATCGGAGGCGCCGGAGGCTCCGAGTCATCGGAGGCGCCGGGAGCGCCGAGTCATCAGAGGCGCCGAGTCATTGGAAGCGCCGGAGGCGCCGAGTCATCAGAGGCGCCGAGTCATCGGAGGCGCCGAGACATCGGAGGCGCCGTGTCATCAGAGGCGCCGGGGGCGCCGGAGACATCAGCGTTGACCGTGTTGGAGACCGTGAACGGTCGTATGTCGTGCCAGGGGAGGCAGACTCTACGTTGGGAGCGCTGGAGCCGCCGGTGGAGTAGGAGACCGTGAACGGTCGTATGTCGTGCCATGGGAGGCAGACTCTACGTTGGGAGCGCTGGAGCCGCCAGTGGAGTAGGAGACCGTGAACGGTCGTATGTCGTGCCATGGGAGGCAGACTCTACGTTGGGAGCCGCCGTGAAGCTCCGCTGAGCACTGCTGCCGTCAACGTGAGCGAGGTGTGTCCTGGATACTCGCATGAGCTGAAGGATCACAGCGACGAATGACTGCAACATCGGCACTGCCTTGTGAAAGTACAGGGCGTCGTACAATCACGGCAGAAAGGGGCGGCCCCGACCAGATTTGTTCCCGCGGCAACAAGTGCAGCGAGGCAGAAAATCTGGAATTTAAGCAAAACATAACTATGTGGCAAAGCCACAAAGTGCGGGAAGCATAATGTGTGGCCAATCACAAAGTATGGGAAGCATAAAGTAACTCAAAAACAGTATATTTTATTAAAGTTTATGAGATAAACAAGTACGCTAAAAGGGAGCGAAAAGGCAAAGCCTTAAGCAAACACGTAACCATGTGGCAAAACCACAGAGTACGGGAGACATAATGTAACTCATAAACTTCGTATTATATTGAAGTTTATGAGAAGAAACAATTACGCTGAGAGGTAGCGAAAAGGCAAGGCTTTAAGCACACCAAAACAACATACATAAATGTAATGTATTACCCAAGCCAAAGAGAGAATTCAAAACGCAGAACACGACATTACGTGGCCACGTGGTGAATGGCCAAAATGGCGGGAAAGAAAACAAAATGGCGGGAACAACATTGCGCCCGTAAATTACTGTGACGTGAGCCACAGACGAGCGATAAACGTTACAATTTACGAATGGGAAGACCCTAAGGTCACGGCCCATAACAGGTAACAATGTAGCAGCATATAATGAATGTAGAAACACGCAAAATATAAAAAACAAATAATAAGCTTTAATTTCCACAAGGGATACAAAGTACGTCCGTCCGTGGAGGTGACAAAGCAGTTATGTCTTTTGGTGTGACGTCATGACATCTGGGTCACGTGCCGACTGTGAGAGGGCGCTGCCTCCTGGGCTGGTTGGGACAACTTTCTTCAGCAGCTGGATCTCACACAGTTCGTCTCTCTGTCAAACATAGCAGTAAATGCAATACGGAGTAATGCAGGATAAGTTAAAAAATTTACACTGCCTGGTTATAAAAAATGTTCATTGTATAGATGGACTTATGTTTGCAACACATTTTGTCAATTTTTTTCAAAATTTCATTCAATATTGTTTCATTCATTAAGGTGAAATCGTATGTGAAGTGATTAGAAGATCGCACAACTCACCGTTATTTACAACAACCATGGTCAGATTACTGCTATTGACGCCTTGAAACATACTTTAGTGGATAGAGAATGGATATAAAGATCCTAAATGCCATACATTGACTCGTTGAAAGTCATATTTGTTGTAGTTTGACTGGTATATGTCAACATAAAATTTTCGCTCTCGCTAGCGCAGGAGCATTGACGATGATTGGTTAAATTGTTCCATATGAAAAAATATCTGGCAATAGCGATCAGCTGTACCAAAATGCTATGCTTATGGTTTTTAATTTATTTCACATATATATAGAAAAGCTGCAACTAAAATAACATGAAATTGGAAGAAATTATGCCTGATAAAATAATAGTTTCAAAAACAATTCTTCCAATCATTGTCTAAAAAATTCTTTAAAGTTATATTATTGGGTAATTTTTAACCGAATCACTGGTAGATTCCAAGAAACGTGTGCACAGCTGATCGCTACTTCCAGCCTAGTTTAGAGACAAATACAAACGATAATCTTAATCTCTGCATATAACACATTGCCCAACAAAACAGGAAATACAATTTAATCAGTAAATCGTCATGTCTAGTGATGTTTAATCTCACATATCCAATTTGTATTGACCAAGTTAAAACTTTATGATCGTTGGATTCGCTGAAGGGCTAGATCTACGATGCATTTTTTTCTGCGGAAGACAAAAACGTTCTTATTGCAAATGTTGGGATGGTGAATACGATGGTGACGTGCTTCATTCCGATTCGCTTTATAGACGGGGTATATAAATTATCATCGATTTTAAAGGCTTGTACAGGGGGACCGCCTTATACGTGGTGTCGCTTTATAGAGGCGATATACAGTATGTGTTTGTGTGGTGTGTGTGTGTGTGTGTGTGTGTGTGTGTGTGTGTGTGTGTGTGTGTGTGTGCGCGCGTGTGCGCATGGTGTGTGTATGCGTCAGGGTGTGCGTGTGGGTGTGTGTATGGGTGTGTGTATGGGTGTGGGTGTGCGTATGGGTGTGGGTGTGGCGAGTGTATGCGTCAGGGTGTGGTGTGTGTGTGGGTGTATGCGTGTGTGTATATACGTGCGTGTTGTACCCAGTATCAGCCTGCTAATCATCCGCTCACCTTGACTGCCATCTGCTGCCTCGTGACCTCTGTGGTGTCCTTGTTATTGGAGCTACTCATCTCGTCACAGATCCTGCCAACACAAGGTCACACAGTGGTCAACACAAGGTCACACAGTGGTCAACACAAGGTCACACAGTGGCCAACACAAGGTCACACAGTGGCCAACACAAGGTCACACAGTGGTCAACACAAGGTCACACAGTGGTCAACACAAGGTCACACAGTGGTCAACACAAAGTAACAAAATCAAGACCATCATAATAACAACGAAAAATTGCATTAAATTAGTAACTATTCAGAACAAGAATCACAAAGAATTAGTTCACGGATATTCAATCATCTTCCATTGCTGGACAAACACATACAAAAAAAGCCAGAATTGAATGTGAATGTAAATGTAAATTCTGTCATTTTGACTGATTTCTCCCCATCTTCCCGAGGCAAGGATGTTAACCGACTACAAAAGTCCAGTTTCCACCCTTGCCGAACTACGCTGGCATTTGAGGGCTCGATCATATTGCCACCAGTGGCTATTATGAGTCATGTCGCTTGTATGTCCCTCCTTTTGACAAATCAGAATCCACCTCACTTGCATTTGCATAGAAATCTGCACATTGAATTCCATGTTGTTTACAAACCGGATGTCTAGTTCCTTGCATGATTTTGATTGGACTATGCACAGACTAGTTAGTCTAGCCAAAATGTAACTCCAGAATTCCAGTCAAGTTCGCCAAGGTTGGAAACTGGACTTTAGAGTCAGTTAACTCCCTTGCCTCGAGAAGATGATTCTCCCAGGCAAAATAAACTTAACTTGTCTTCAACACCCATCCAGAAACAGAAACATGAACTGTAGAAACAAAATGGCGGTGTTGCCCACATATATTTGCCCTCATGAAGCACAACCTGGGATTGTAATACCTTCAGGCTTTCCCTCCACATACACCCGGCACAGCATGGTATGTTAACAAACTCACTTATTCAGACATGTTTATTAGTCAGGTTGCCCTTACTTGCTGTAATCTGTGGGGTCACACACGACGGTCACGCGTGCATGGTTCTTGGCAGCCGCCCTCAGCAAGGTGACGCCCCCTGGAAACATGATGCATACCATAAATACGCTTCTTGGAATAAATGAATGTTAGGATGAGTGAGTGAATGTCGCTAATGCTGCTCACAAGGCCTAACGTCAATGTATTCTTGACAGGTGAACAAGTGGTTGAAAGCAAAAACAACAATATTATACTCAGGGTACAATGACCTGATATCAAGCATGTAACAACACTATCTTACTCGGGGTACAATGACCTGATATCAAGCATGTAACAACACTATTACACTCAGGGTACATTGACCTGATATCAAGCATGTAACAACACTATCATACTCAGGGTACAATGACCTGATATCAAGCATGTAACAACACTATCATACTCAGGGTACAATGACCTGATATCAAGCATGTAACAACACTATCATACTCAGGGTACAATGACCTGATATCAAGCATGTAACAACACTATCATACTCAGGGTACATTGACCTGATATCAAGCATGTAACAACACTATCATACTCAGGGTACAATGACCTGATATCAAGCATGTAACAACACTATCATACTCAGGGTACAATGACCTGATATCAAGCATGTAACAACACTATCATACTCGGGGTACAATGACCTGATATCAAGCATATAACAACACTATCATACTCAGGGTACAATGACCTGATATCAAGCATGTAACAACACTATTACACTCAGGGTACAATGACCTGATATCAAGCATGTAACAACACTATCATACTCAGGGTACAATCACCTGATATCAACCATGTAACAACACTATCATACTCAGGGTACAATCACCTGATATCAACCATGTAACAAGCTTAACACGCTGGACCCGTGTGGGCAAGGGAGTTAACTGACTGAAAAAGTCCAGTTTCCACCCTTTCCAAACTAGGCTGAAATTTCTGGCTTCGATCGTAGCGCCACCAGTGGCTATTTTCGAGTTATGTCCCTTCTATGCCTTTCCTACTGACCAATCAGATTCCACCCCTCATATCACTTGCATTTGCTTCAAACATAATGTTGGCGCCCAGTGAAGACGATCTGATTGATAATCAAGATCAATTTGTAATAAAATGGGTCTTACTTTGAGAAGTGCGTCTAATCAGGTGAGAACCTTGATTAAAAACATGAAAAGATTTGAAAAATATCTGTTGATGCTAAGTTGACGGTATACATGCTTTGCAAATCCCGTAATCGACCGAAATCTGCACTGCAGTGTACTAACTGGATGTCGATTTCGTAACATAATTTTGATTGGACTATGCATAGACTCGTTATTCCAGCCAAAATGTAACTCTGGAATTCCAGCTTAGTTTGGCAAGGGTGGAAACTGGACTTTCATAGTCAGTTAACGGAAAGATGCTGTGTTGGAATCGGTCCTGGGTATCTACAGAAAGTGTTTACTATTGAATCTACAGAAAGCATGTGCAGCTACAGAAACTGTGTTCTGGTGCAATAAGACCCACCTATGTCGATCTGTTCCACGGCCTGGGCTACAGTGGTGTCGGGGTTGGCTACAGTCTTCACAAAGGGGTAGAGGTTACACGCCACAACTCTGGAATGACATACAGACATATTCAGTGTTCGCGTTAACGCAGAAACCTGCGTTTTTCACTCATTAAAATCATATAAACACAAAAAAAATATTTTGCATGCGTGTTTTGCTTGATATACTTAATTTTGTATTAATACCATAAAATAAAAAACTATTCAAAGCTGATAGCCTGCTTACGATGTTCAGACGAAAATAAATCAAAACCTGGAAATTCCCATTGCTAAAAATAGAATGTGGCCAGACGGCGCTTTCAATCACGTCCTTTATATTTCCATATATGGTCTTTGGGCAATGGAATAACTAATCTCATACACAGGACGTCATTCGTTACTATCGATGGAATTCCCCGGAAGTCGTTCGTTTCATCCAATCAGAGCCCAGCTTACAAGTCATAGTCAGTAATACGAACGATCATGAACAGAGGGATGGAAGAAAACTTCCACACATGGGCATGTGCTAACAACAGTCATATTTATTTTATTAATGTTTGAACGTTCATTATATCAAAACTGGACCTTAAGTTAAAGCTTGGTCATAATTATTAGCTGTACTAGTACTGATTTTATTGAAATAAAAACTTCACACGCGAAATATTTGAATTGAAAATTTATTATTTCATTTCTGCACGCACTGTACAAAAACCTACCGCGAACACTGATATTGTGTACAAGGACCCATACACAGTCTACTCCTAATGATGTCAGTCAGAGCTCAGGTTGTTTTGCTTAAATCAGAACTAACCAACAAGGGCAGTTCATACGAACGAGACAAAGACTCATCATTGCTCCGATAATTCTTTCAACAATTTTCACAGGCAAAGGCTTAAATATAGAACAGGTTTCCCAGCATTCCTTGAGTGCTGTTAATGACAAAGCCTGGCTGGGGGTCATCTATGAAATGTTCATTTCTTTATATGGGCAGTTAAGTTTTGAGGTGAGGTGAGGTGAAATGGGGTTTAACGATGCGTCCAAAATTATTGAACTTATATAGCAACGTGCATGCACATGTGGGTGCCTGTTTGTACTTGTCCGGACTGATGCCGATTGATAGTGCAAGCCCACTGAGATACCATGGCACAGTTTAACATGAATACTCCATTTAGACAGAGTATACAAACTCTGAGCCGACCAGTCCTTGTTTAAGCCACTTAATGACCATCACCAGGCAGGGTAACAACAAGTACCATTTTTTAAACGGCTTTGGAATGATGCAGCCGCTCTCCAGGCGGATGGTTTGTCACTAAACAACAGAGGCAGTCAGTTAAGATTTGAGATTTCAACATTCAAGACCTTGTGCAGGGTTCTTTCTTTGACACAGCTTCTGTTGAAAATATGCAATTTTCCGATTGCATCCAAATGCTAGACTAACATAATTGTTATATAATCTACATAGTATTGACATTTAGTTTGTCATTAAAAAAATCATAATATTGTTGGGGTATTATTTTATTGAAATGTGCGGTACGCAAACAGTGTAGGTAGTAATAACATGCAAGGCAGAATGCCATCTGTAGCACATGATGATTGTCAGTGTTCAGTGTGTACGGTTCCAGAATCACTTTAACATGGTTGAACGTACAGGTACCTGATCTCTGCATTGAAAACACAGTAGCGTTATCTCCTAATTAGACCCGTGAAGATTCCGGGGTAGAATAGGTCTTCAGCAACCCATGCTTGCTGTAAAAGGTGACAATGCTTGTCGTAAAAGGCGACTAACGGGATCGGCCGGTCAGGCTAGCTGACTTGGTTGATGCATGTCATCGATCCCAACTGCGTGGATCGATGCTCATGATATCAATCACTGGATTGTCTGGTCCAGACTCGATTATTTACTGACCACCATCATATAGCTGGAATATTGCTGAGTGCGGCGTTAAACAACAAACCAACCAACCTAATTAGCCAATGGTATGAGTGAGTTTGAGCACTTCCAGCCATATCATGGCACTAGACACCAAGATTAGGTTTCACACACTAGAAACTTGTATCAAAAGCAGCCCCGGTACTTCAGCCCCTCGTTTAGACCACTTGTGCACCAGTAAGTAATATTTGCAACAATTATGGAACTTGATCTTGAACAAAACATTGTCGATACTGAGCTCAGGTTGTTATTGCTAAATCAGAACTAACCAACATGGACAGTTCATACGAACGAGACAAAGACTCATCACTGCTCAGATACTTCTCAGAAAATCATAAACAGTTAAAGTTTTTCATGTTGTCAAAATGCGTCAATTACAAAAATATTTAAAGTATAGAAATCTCATAAGAGTCCTTGAGTCAAGTTTATAGTGGTGGGTCATGCACAGGCAAGTTTCTATTGGGGCCTGAAATAACTTGTCAACACTGTATAAACTATGCATGTATAGGTGCAAGAAGTGACTCTACCAGACAACCACAAAACATGACAGCAAAATACAAGCCTGCCAACCACACTGGCATTTGTTGTGTGCATGTTGATTATTCCTGTTATTGAAATGTGAGTCTTAGTTCTGTATTATTACCATCAAAGCACTAACTACCATGAGTTGCCACCACACCTGCGTTTAACCTGTCGGACACTTTAACCACAAGGTCAACACACTGTCACACTCTCCCATTGTTAGTTTGTTGTTTAAGCTCAGATTTATCCAGCTATATGACAGTGGTCTCTAAATAAATGAGAAGACCAGACAATATTAATAGGCCATTTATATTGTGCATATTTCCACACAACAGAGGGGCATGCTCAAAGCACTATTATTACCCTGGTCACTGGATCAATGTGCACTCAAAAATCATTCTCAGCTCCATGGGGAGTATACAGCCTATGCTGCCTGTTAGGCACTAGAATGTTAACAACCACATCGCCATCTCATCCTACCAGGTACCCATTTACTGCCATCCAGTGACTGACATCATGAGCATCATATTTGGGATATGATAACATGCATCAACCACGTCCGCAATTATGACCACCCGATCCTGTTAGTCGCCTCATACGACAAGCATAGTCATTGAACCAATTCTAACCCAGAAGTTCACAGGTTGTTTCCCTTTTGAAGAAAGACAACTACCACACACAGATGTTGAGCGTACAACTACAAGTACTTTGGAAACAATGGAAATGTAGTGTTAGATATTCAGGATCATGTCATGTTTAAATTAGGTCATAGAAGGCTTGGTTGATCCTGCTTGTGCATCAAGCTCAATGTCTGCAACATCAGGTACCAACTCTTCGATCCAAACTAAAAACACTAGAGGTATTGCTTGTCACAATATATCTGTAAAATTCAGTGGACATTGGCAACAAGTCTAAAGGGAACTTGATATTGATGAAACAATCTCATCAACACTGGGCTCAGGATGTTGTACTCAAATCAGAACAAACCATCAAGGGCAGTTCATACGAACGAGACAGAAACTCATCATTGCTCAGAAAAGATCTATACCCAAATAAAATACAAAGCAAGAGCAGGGGGTGATACGGTGATGTGAGGCGGTGACAAGATGGGATGGAGAGAAGAGCAAGGGGTGATACGGTGATGTGAGGTGGTGGCAAGATGGGATGGAGGGAAGAGCAAGGGGTGATACAGTGATGTGAGGTGGTGACAAGATGGGATGGAGGGAAGAGCAAGGAGTGATACGGTGATGTGAGGTGGTGGCAAGATGGGATGGAGGGAAGAGCAAGGGGTGATACGGTGATGTGAGGCGGTGACAGAAGGGATGGAGAGAAGAGCAAGGGGTGATAAGGTGATGTGAGGCGGTGACAAGATGGGATGGAGGGAAGAGCAAGGGGTGATACGGTGATGTGAGGCGGTGACAAGATGGGATGGAGGGAAGAGCAAGGGGTGATACGGTGATGTGAGGTTGTGACAAGATGGGATGGAGGGAAGAGCAAGGGGTGATACGGTGATGTGAGGCGGTGGCAAGATGGGATGGAGGGAAGAGCAAGGGGTGATACGGTGATGTGAGGCGGTGGCAAGATGGGATGGAGGGAAGAGCAAGGGGTGATACTGTGATGTGAGGCGGTGGCAAGATGGGATGGAGGGAAGAGCAAGGGGTGATACGGTGATGTGAGGCGGTGACAAGATGGGATGGAAGGAAGAGCAAGGGGTGATACGGTGATGTGAGGCGGTGACAAGATGGGATGGAGAGAAGAGCAAGGGTGATACGGTGATGTGAGGCGGTGGCAAGATGGGATGGAGGGAAGAGCAAGGGGTGATACGGTGATGTGAGGCGGTGGCAAGATGGGATGGAGAGAAGAGCAAGGGGTGATACGGTGATGTGAGATGGTGGCAAGATGGGATGGAGGGAAGAGCAAGGGGTGATACGGTGATGTGAGATGGTGGCAAGATGGGATGGAGAGAAGAGCAAGGGGTGATACGGTGATGTGAGGTTGTGACAAGATGGGATGGAGGGAAGAGCAAGGGGTGATACGGTGATGTGAGGCGGTGGCAAGATGGGATGGAGGGAAGAGCAAGGGGAAGGTGACAAGAAAGAAGAAAGGACAGAGGGAATGGTGAGTGAATAGAGGGGTTGACAAGATAGGAAGGAGGGGAGGGGGGAGGTTACAATATAAGATTGGAGGCGGGGGGATGATGATGAAGGAGCAAAGATTGACATAGGATTCCAAACTATTTGTTTGTTTGGTTTTTTTTGTTGTTGTTTAATGCCTCACTCAGCAATATTCCAGCTACCGGTATATGATGGTGGTCTGTAAATAATCCAAATTTTGACATCATGAGCATCAACCCACTCAATTGGTATACGATGACATGCATCAACCAAGTCACTGAGTCAGACCACCTGTTCCCGTTAGTCGCCTCTTACAGCAAGCACGCACGGGGGTGCCTGATGGTGGACAGCGGGTGGACGGGGGTGCCTAATGGTGGATAGGGGGTGGACGGTGGGCGTCTGATGGTGGACAGCAAGTGGACGGGGGTGCCTGATGGTGGACGGGGGTGCATGATGGTGGACAGCGGGTGGACGGGGGTGCCTGATGGTGGACAGCGGGTGGAAGGGGGTGCCTGATGGTGGACAGCGGGTGCCGGATGGTGGACAGCAGGTGGACAGGGGTGCCTGATGGTGGACAGCGGGTGGACGGGGGTGCCTGATGGTGGACGGGGGTGCCTGATGGTGGACAGCGGGTGGACGGGGGTGCCTGATGGTGGACGGGGGTGCCTGATGGTGGACAGCGGGTGGACGGGGGTGCCTGATGGTGGACAGCGGGTGGACGGGGGTGCCTGATGGTGGACGGGGGTGGACGGGGGTGCCTGATGGTGGACGGGGGTGCCTGATGGTAGACAGCGGGTGGACGGGGGTGCCTGATGGTGGACGGGGGTGCCTGATGGTGGACGGGGGTGCCTGATGGTGGACAGCGGGTGGACGGGGGTGCCTGATGGTGGACGGGGGTGCCTGATGGTGGACAGCGGGTGGACGGGGGTGCCTGATGGTGGACAGCGGGTGGACAGGGGTGCCTGATGGTGGACGGGGGTGCCTGATGGTGGACGGGGGTGCCTGATGGTGGACAGCGGGTGGACAGGGGTGCCTGATGGTGGACGGGGGTGCCTGATGGTGGACGGGGGTGCCTGATGGTGGACAGCGGGTGGACAGGGGTGCCTGATGGTGGACGGGGGTGCCTGATGGTGGACAGCGGGTGGACAGGGGTGCCTGATGGTGGACAGCGGGTGGACGGGGGTGCCTGATGGTGGACGGGGGTGCCGGATGGTGGACAGGGGTGCCTGATGGTGGACAGCGGGTGGACAGGGGTGCCTGATGGTGGACAGCAGGTGGACGGGGGTGCCTGATGGTGGACAGCGGGTGCCGGATGGTGGACAGGGGTGCCTGATGGTGGACAGCGGGTGGACAGGGGTGCCTGATGGTGGACAGCGGGTGGACAGGGGTGCCTGATGGTGGACAGCAGGTGGACGGGGGTGCCTGATGGTGGATAGGGGGTGCCTGATGGTGGACAGCGGGTGGACGGGGGTGCCTGATGGTGGATAGGGGGTGCCTGATGGTGGACAGCGGGTGGACGGGGGTGCCTGATGGTGGATAGGGGGTGCCTGATGGTGGACAGCGGGTGGACGGGGGTGCCTGATGGTGGACAGCGGGTGGACGGGGGTGCCTGATGGTGGATAGGGGGTGGATAGGGATGGACGGTGGGCGTCTGATGGTGCACACAGTTGGCCTAGGTAGTAGGTACCTGATCATTTTGAAGCCCTGCTTGTCAAGGTCAGCCTGATCAGACTCAGTACACCGGGCCAGGATTCCTACAACATCAAACAACAATACTCACATTCGAAAAGAAGAAATAAATAGTCAATTTCAAATAAGTAGAAGCAAGGATGTCATGATGTAAGTTGTAACATTGCTTTGTGGAGCTTGAGCCTGAACAGATCTGCAATATCTTGGCAGCCTGGAAATAGCATTCACGACAAACATCAGGTACCAAGGCACAATGGTTAGGTGCTCCACAATCCCCAGGTGAAACAAACATGGGGTGCTCCACAATCCCCAGGTGAAACAAACATGGGGTGCTCCACAATCCCCAGGTGAAACAAACATGGGGTGCTCCACAATCCCCAGGTCAAGCTAACATGAGGTGCTCCACAATCGCAGGGGGAAACTAGCACAAATCACTGGGGACATATTCATGATATTGTCCCTTTACTTGTTTGTTTGTTGTTTAACGCCTCACTCTGCAATATTCCTGCTATATGACGGACCAGACAATCTCGTGATTGATATCATGAGCATCTATCTACGCAATTGGGACACGATGACGGGCATTAATCAAGTCAGCAACCCTGACCACCTGATACCGTCAGTCGCCTTTTAGGACAAGCATAGTCGCCTCGTACAGCAAGCATTCTATTCTAGCCCGGATCTTGTGGTCTCTTGTACCTACCTCCATGTACAGCTGGGTGGAGTGTCTTCACCCGGCCACCCAGCATCTCCGGGGCGCCGGTCACCTCAGACACATCCCTACAACAAGATTATATCACGACTTAAGTCACTGAAGCAGCGTAATGACTGTTGCAAACTTTGAAAGGCATACTATAGATCTTATTTAACCAACAGTTACATATTAACTTATTAAGGGACATAAGGCATCATCTTATATATTATATACTAGAAATTCTTTTGGATATTTGGTTAATATATTGCAGCCACCCTGTGACATTGGACACCCCTTATTTGTTGTATGTGGCTGGGTACAGTTGTTTTTTGTTGTTTGTTGTTGAATGCCACACTCAGGAATATTCCAGCTATATGATGGCAGTCTGTAAATAATGATAACACATAACAAAACCCTTAAAAATGGCACATTTCTACTAGTCCTTATGATACCTTAAATATCAGGCAATTTGACAAGGACTCTAGGACTAGTGCCAATTTCTAAAGCTGTTGACAGTTTTCAAAAAATAAAAAGTATGAAACAACTCGAACATTACAACACATTTTGGTATCATCAGTGGTTGGAACATGAGTACCATGTACAGGAGAGCTGTAGTAAGAGGAACAGACATTTTGAATGAATCCTACCTGACGCTAAGGCCAGAATCCCGGATTGCCTTGGCTGTTCCGCCGGATGCTACCAGCTCCAGACCAAGGGCAGACAACTTCTTAGCAAAGTCCACCAGTCCAGTCTTGTCAGAGACGCTCAGCAGGGCTGCTTGTGTAAAACAACTCCATTAGAAGAGGAGCAAGTAAAACATCATGAGTTTCTCTTCACAAAGGAAGCTTTCCACTAAAATCTAGTGTTGTGATGAACAGATTTTATCACCCTATTCCCATCTGATCCATACAGCAGAGCATGAGAACACTAAACAGTCCCAACTTATCTTACTTAATGAGATCCTGGTTTATAATTTATTTATTCTGTATGACATATAATCAGTGAGTGAGTTTGATTTTACACCGCTTTTAACAGTATTCCAGTTATAACACGGCGTTCAGCTAAATGTGGGCGGAACCAGAAGAGATGCAGGTCTCGGACATTTACTACTTTGGTAAAACCCATGACCATGGATATGGTGATGACGTATACTAGACGATCAGCACCCACGGAAATTCATACTCAACGAAAATGGCTAATACACAGTAACATGAGGATTGAGTTGACTGAATTGGCACTGGTGGCATGTTGTTGTTTTAGTATTTAAGATAATAAGTTCTTGTAAGTCAGCCAGTGTAACAAGAAGTTTACACAGTCGGTGATTAGACTACTCATGTGTAGTTATATGAAACCCAAAACAAAGAAAGTTTTAATTGAAAACATGTTTATTGTTTCAGATCATATATATTTTCATTGGGTACAGATTCCCTTCTTTAGGTATGAGTCATCCACTTGATTAGGTGCGAAAGAGTACAGGTTATCCAACAAAAGTTTGGGTACAGATGGGGACGGTTTGTCCAGTTCCCATGCCGACATACCTAGAAATATAATCGGGGTGACCCGGGATATGAACTATCTATGAGTAGTGAGTGAGTAAATGATTTAACGCACATCAATTAGCAAGGTAATCTGTTACACAATGTGTTAAAAATAAAGTCTGGACCAAAACAATTTACTAAAACAATGAAAGTTATTCAATCAGCAATCCTCTTATTTCGGTTTGTTCGATTGTTTCTTGTTTAACGATGCACTCAGCATTAATCCAGTTATATGAGGGCGATCTGTAAATAATCAAGCCTTGATCAAACAATCCTGTGATTTGATATCAGGAGCATCGATCCATGAAATTGGGACATAATGACATTCGTGAACCAAGTCAGCAAGGCTGATCACCTGACCCGGTTAGTCGCCTCTTACAAGCATGGGTTGCTGAAGACCTTTTCTGCCCCGGATCTATGCGGGTAGGTTCGGTCATGATGGCCTAGCGTGACCAACTACTGAACTACCTACTGCAGTCTGACCATCCACCCAATAACGCATATGTTGATTTCAAGAATTTGATTTACAACAAATATTAACTGTGACATCAATACATTACATAAATCTCAAAATAAAACGAGAGACAATACATAAGGGCATTGATGTGGGATTAAAAAATAGAAAACGTTAGCTTATGCATGTGTACTGCCTCCAGGGTTGATTATAGAACAAGAAAAGTAAATGATTTTATTTTATTTTGTTAAATTAAAGAGATACGGCATAGTTAAGGTGTAAGTATTTACGTTGCTATATAGCCTATATATGAGCTTTAACGAAAATAAACGCAGTGTTCAATTCCAAATGACAAGCATTGCTGCTTATAAAATTTGATAATATTCTCTTTCTTATGACGAATACATTACCAAGGTTAGCAGCCATAGTGAGAGGAATGTGAAAAAGCTCGTCGATTACCCCCTGCCACACACTGCGATCACACAGCCAACACGTGTGACCACGTGCTACCAACTTTCAGTGATTTAGAGTTACCCGCCTTTGTTCAATATCCACCAATCAAAACCATTCTCTGCGTTCAACCATCATGGGCATGCACTATAATAGAGTTATTCCCCTTTTACCATCGTATTAACACGGTGCGTTTTGTTTATCAGTGAGTGAGTATAGGTTTCGTCGCTTTTTGCGATATTCAAGCAATATCACGACAGGAGACACCAGAAATGGGCTTCACACATTGTACCCATGTGGGGAAATCGAACTCGGGCCTTCGACATGACGAACCGCGAGGCTACCCCAACGCCCCTGATAAGGTTTATTAATCAGAGCTGGGTGAAATGTAATATACAAGATTTACTGATTGAAATACATTACTTGTACGAGCAATTGATTTTAGTTAGTGTGTTATTTTGTGTGTGTAAGTTTCCGGGAAATCAATAGGATCGCATGTATTAAAGTCACTTGATACCGTTGTATTGGTACCAATTAACACATTGTCCAACAGAAACAATAAGACCATTCTTAATGAGGCCTCATGAATATTCATATCTAAACAAGAACGAGGCTAACGTAGGCAAAGTCGTAGTTTATATTGCTACTCTTAAAATCATGTATTTAGTGATGCTGTAGTTTTTTAGTCAAGAAAATGTTTATCAACGTTGCTCCATGTTGTGTTCATGCGTGGCTGTGTGTGTTGTTGTTATTGTAAGAGTCGCATATCATATCGGAAAAACACGTGTTTACATAAGGCCACTAAGCCATTACCCATGGGTTCTCTCGTCAACACCTTCGACGTCCTTGTTATTTTGACCCACTCATCAAAATAAACATGTCAGTTCTTGCGTAGGAGGACTGACGCAATTCTCCGATCAATCAAATCTCGCGGTAATTGACACATGATACCACAAGAGCCGCTGGAGAATTGGGAGCTTGTGGCGACAAAATGTTCAAAGTCAGTCGAAGTAATAAATCACGTACTTTATCTATACAGGATATTAAAGATCATTTCATAGTGGTATCATCAAAACATAAACACGAGTTTGGACGGAGTGACACACGTGTAACCCAAGGGTTTGAACTCTGTCCACATTGGTCAAGGTTGTCAACCCGTGTGTGTTTGTTTGTTTGTTTGTTTGTTGTTTAACGCCGCACGCAGTAATATTCCAGCTATATGACGTCGATCTGTAAATAATCGAGCCTGGACCAGACAATACAGTGATTGACATCATGAGCATCGATCTACGCAACTGGGATACGATGACATGCATCAACCAAGTCAGGAAGCCTGACCACCCGATCCCATGGGTTGCTGAAGAACTATTCTATCCCGGATTTTCACGGGTGCGACCCGTAAGTGACATTTGGACATTTGGACATCCCATGGTCAAATTCAAATTTCAAGATGAACTCTTTGACATGATATTTTCATGTATCTCGTAATCAACATTGTTTCAGATAGCAAGGGGCTACATCAATAAAAAACATTTCGTTCAGCTGAGGTTTTGGACGGTCTGGATACAACAGGAAAACGGCAGTATAACATTATTCCTAAATGAATTTCAGCAAAGACTAACAGATAATCTCTATCCCAACTGGCATTTTTGGAATTATCTTTCCAATGTAATGACTATGTTCAGTTCAAATCCATGATGAACACAGGACGTTATTAACAAGTGGCATTCCACATCAAGGCCGTAGTTAATTATATTTGACAAGGAAAAATGTTTTCTATAAAAAATCCACAGGCTCGCTGACTTGGTTGATGCATGTCAGCGTATCCCAATTGCGTAGATCATGATGTCAATCACTGGATTGTCTGGTCCAGACCCGATTATTTACAGACCGCCGTCATATATCTGGAATATTGCTGAGTGTGGCGTTAAACAACAAATAAATAAATAAACAAACCATGATACATATGTCGTCCTGCAGACACTGTACAACCATTCCGATTGATGTAAACATAGATTATGTAAGAACTCGATGCTGTTTGGAAGTAAAACAACATTCAGTGTTCATTTAATATTCAATACCATACATATTATATTGTAGTGTTTTATCTTTCATCCAGTTCTTCTTATGCATATTTGGATCGTTGGACTACCGAACTCCTAAAAGACTAAAACTCCCGACATCCGCCAAGGCGATAAACCACATCCTGTTATTTTTCTTAACCGATGTATGTTGTTTTCTGGGTCATGGTAGAATATTTTATCTACAGTTTCAAATTATACGCATAAATATTCTAATGGTATTAATATGTCACTGTTAATTTCTTATTTTGACGCGTGCATACTATGTCTCTATATAACAGGAAGACTCCTTGCTGTGGGTGTGATCTTGTTTCAATCCCGCTGAGCAGGTGTTAATGTTTTGACACTGGTTTCGGTGCACAAATGAATAATTCAAAACACGCGACTGACAAAACCGCATGCAACTGATGGCTATCACGCCGACTACAATGATATCATTGTCCAACTCTCCCCGTTTCTCGCCGAGATAGTGTACCACACGAGAAGCAAAGGAAACAGCCACTTTATCTGTACTTTAAACCATGGCACCTTGTCTTTGATTGTGCATTAACTGATAGTTAGTTAAACACCACTTGGCAAAGGCGAGACTTCTTTTCCCCCTTTAAGTTTACTTGATGATGGAACAATTTCCAAGCGTGTTTCGTCAGCGGATTCGAACCCGCAAAGTCCGCACCGAAGGCGAACGAATGTAGTCCTCTGCCACGGCGACATTGAAGAAATGATGTGGAATTAAAATGATATATTTACTATCAGTTAAGACTAATAGTTAAGCCGTTATTTAACGGGGACATTTGTGATATGTTTATGTTACTCTTTTCTTAATCAGAGCTATGTTTGCTACTAATAGGCCCATCGACATGGGCAAATACTACTTATGTGATTGATTAATGTGATCGAGTTGGCCCAATTAGGAGATAAATAAATTTGAGATAGCTTCACTGTAGATTCGAAACCTCTATTTTTGATTTGAAACTGAATATTTAAAATGAATATTAATAACTGAAATAGCTCATTTTAAATTTTTATCAATAATGACACTTAAACAAACACACAACTTTAATCATTCGCAAATGTTTATGCAAACACGATAAACCTACTGTATATACAGAGGTAACAGTAGTGAATATCGTCCAACGCCGTGAAGCTGTTCAGCTATAGCGCCTTGGGCATTCATATCGTATATACGATGCATAGCTACTTTTTACGCTAACATAATGGCTGTTTGTCGAGGAAAGATAACCTCTTATCAAAGTTGATATCTGTTGGTAATGAGTATGAAAGATAAAACCGAATATAAAATTAGCAGGTACTGCCGGGCGTCTACGCGCGATAGTGAGAATACCGTGTTGAAGGATGAGATTTTACGGCGCTTCACAAGGCTCACTCGCCGCCAACACAGCTTCACTCCCCGGGGAAATAAACAATAATCATTCGCACTACAGCTGATACTTAAATATTTACCAGTTAATATCAATTTAATTCAAATAGAACTGCAAGTAAATGAAGTTCATCGTCAATGAAAGCATTACCATCCAGTAGCATTTTGTCCAGTTTTTCTGTTTTTTTGTTTAACGCCGCACTCAGCAATATTCCAGCTATATGACGGTGGTCTGTAAATAATCGAGTCTGGACCAGATAATCCAGTGATTGACATTATGAGCACCGATCCACGCAATTGGGAGACGATGACATGCATCAACCCGATCCCGTCAGTCGCCTCTTTCAACAAGCATAATCGCCTTTTATGGCAAGCATGGGTTGCTGAAGACCTATTCTACACCGGATCTTCACGGGTCTGTTTTTCTGTACTAGAACTTCCATATTATGCTCATGTGCACATCAAATAATTATGAAGATTTAGAAAATGTCCTTTCACACTTTCCTTTCTACTCCCGTACTCATTTGCTAATTGTGTGAGCATGTAATCAAGTTTTTCGTGGTTGGAGAACGAATACCAAACCCGTGTTATTCATGGCGACATTTGAGTTACTGGTCTGTCATAATTGTAAGGGAATGTAGATCAATTCAAGGTCTGGGCCCACTTGCACAAAGCGATCTTAGCGCTAAGATGATCGTAACGCCCATACTTTAACATTGGCTTAAATAGTCTTAGCGCTAAGATCGCTTTGTGCAAGTGGGCCCTGGACATGTTCAGTGTCTACATACCACGTGTAGGGTATTGTCTGGTGTTCTGCCCTCAAACACAATTACATATATCCGGTCTACAAGTAATAAAATAACGACACCATTTTTTATTAATAAAGTTCTGTTAATAGCGTACGTATGGCAGTGCTGCCGTTCCACTTTTTATTTTTCCACTTCTTCAACGTTACACTGTCATACAAGGTCTGTCCACACTTTGCAATCAATCCGACTAAGTAGCTCGTATAGAAACTATCAAACGATTTAATGACATGATGACTGTAGGCACCGTTCTGTCAGACTTATTAAATGTGTGTTACCGTTGTGCGTGATTGCCTCCCCCGAGGCTGAAGTCGTGAGAAAGTCTAACCAACGACCCCCAGTGCACAGCTTCATTCAGCCCGCACCGAGAGTAATACATATTTTAACTAGCACAGCAAAACATATGTATATTTATAAGTATACGGGCGGGGGATCTCTGGGGTCAACGCTTTTCAAAAGGGAAAGGTGTCGACATTATCACGTGACGCCTTCAGCAATTTTTATGAATGGATTGTACATTTGCATTACGGGGCCAGCAGTCATGGGGAGTTGTAATAACAATAAATAAACACTGTCTTTTTTTCAAGGTAATTTCGTGGCCAGTAGAACGTGTGAAAGATGACAATACAACGGGGTCATCCCATACGTTTTATAGTCCTACCCTAAATGCGCTTTTGGTTAGATTGTAAAGACGTAATGTGTTCCTTTTCTGAGACATATTGACGTTACAATCTATAGTTGGTTTACGTAGGACTGTGATATTATTTACATAACACGGATAATGGACACCTCTCCCTTATTACACATCTTGTTTAATAAAGAACTATGAAGGTTTTGATACTGACCCCAACCGCGGCCCCACGAGTCAATGCTGTGTTGTGTAATGTGGGTCACTATCTTGTCTCCGTGTAACTTGACACCGCACAGAAAGTTGTGACACGGTGCCCCGGGAAATTTCCTCATTAAATTTCATACAATGAAGCACTGTCGATGTTTTTAAATAAATTCTAAGCTATGAAATTGCCTCGCACTGGCGAGGACACCACTCGGATCCACTCGGATGCCCTCGGCTTATTCCGCTACCCACACAATACTTCGGGCAATACCGGTGAAGTGACATTACATACTGTCACTGAAATCGTATTAACTCCTTGTTTCGGCGAAAATAGTTCATATTTAGTGTGGCCGAATTTCGAATAGGTGTTATGGTATGTTAGACAGAAATACCACCTGCGTGGTCTAGTTGGTAGAGCGTATGCATGGAGAGCGGAATGTCGGTGGTTCGATCCTCGGCCGCGTCATAACAAGAAGCAATACGATTGGAATTGTTGTTGCCCTGCCTGGCACCCGGAATTAAGGGGTTAATCAAGGACTCGGAGTCTGAATACTGTGTCTGTGTGGGGTATTTATGTTAAACTGCGGCATGGTATCTCAGTGGGCTAGCACTATACAACTTCATTTTCATATCCTTTAACAGAGAAAATTCGAAAGAATCGTTCCTAAAATGAAGCTTCTTTATCCAGTGAAAGAGCGAGACTCGTCAAACAGATCTTAAAGAGGTGCCCCACACCCTGATCTTTATCACGACGTTGTAATTATGCCCAGTGTGCATCTGAGACAGTATCTGTGTAATTAAGGTATTCGTTAACAGTTAGACTTATTGCAACTTAATATTTAGTAAGGATAAGATATATGGATGAACAACTTCTTTATTACAATTAGGAGCTCCTAATTGTAATAAAGAAATTGATCATCCATAAATCTTAACCTTACTTACTACTCCAACTTCTAAATGCCTCTCAAAGAAGTGGGGCGGTCGGGTAGCCTAGTTGTTAAAGCGTTCGCTCGTCACGCCGAAGACCCGGGTTCGATTCCCGACATGGGTACAATGTGTGAAGCCCATTTCTGGTGTCCCCTGGCGTGATATTGCTGGAATATTGCTAAAAGCGGCGTAAAACCATACTCACTCACTCTCAAAGAATTTATTCGTCGTCTTCATCGAGACGTGGCAATCGCAACCATCAACCGACTCAACAACCATGAGAACAAGTACAGTAAACTACGGTTATAACGAACACGCTTATAACGAACTGACGCATATAACGAACTTACTTTTTGGACCCGACTATTTGCTGTAGTTATGCTGTATATATGTTTATAACGAACTACGGTTATAACGAACTAAAATTAGTAGTCCCTTTGAGTTCGTAATAACCGTAGTTTACTGTACATCCACTCTTCCAACAAGGTTACGTTCCTGATGCGATGCAGAGACAACAAACCCCTCGTACCTACAGCTCCTAATTGTATAAGTTGTTCATCCTTATTTCTTATCCTTACTTAGTACTCCAACTTCTAAATGCCTCTCAAAGAAACTTAATATTTAAATGAGTAGATCAACATCGCCCACACGTGCTTGACTTGCCAATTTGCACAGGCCTGGTCCATCGTTAACTCTACAGCTTTAGGTGTACGTGGACCAATATCAGGTGACATCTAAGAAGGACGCAACACAGGTTGTTGCAATGAACTACTGATCTCTGGTCTGCGTGCATCTACTATATCCTGTGAGTGACTTAGTTGGGTATAGCGTCACTTTAAAGAGTGTTCCAGATATTTCACGGCGTGTCGGCTTAATGTGAGATGAAAGCCCGAAGTGGTATATAGGCCTTAGTATACAACATTGTGAAATCCATGCGCACTGATATGGTGCTAGCAACCCAAGGATCATAATCAGGGCGAAGTTGGGATTCTAAGCATGATCACAGGTTCCTGGTGCGCCTAATGGACGCAACTCTGCACAGCGAATAGTGGAGGCGATTGGGCCACCCCTGCTTGTACACAGATCTTATGTTCTGAAAATAAATCTGAAGATAATCATAGAAATTTATATGTGTTGTCGGACCTGGATTGGACGTGACTGTGAAATGTAAAATGGCAATGCCAATCTTAATCCTTGTACAGGTGTCTTTGGGGGCCATATGTTACAACGGGGAAATCGGGATTCCTTCTACCATATGCAACAAAGAAACATGTTTCGTTTGTTTGTTTGTTTGTTTGTTTGTTGTTTAACGCGGCACTCAACAATATTACAGCTATATGACGGCGGTCTGTAAATAATCAAGTCTGGACCAGACAATCTAGTGACTGACATCACGAGCATCGATCCACGCATTTGGGACAAAGAAACATGTACACTGCCGGGCAAAAGAAACTATACACTTGAAAATTGGATTTGACTAAAACAATTACAAACGATATCAAAACGTTACTTTGAGGCTGAAAACAGTCGCTGAAACACTCAGATACAGATATCAGATACATCACCACCGAATAACTGTATCTGTTTGCTTCATTTTCAGCCACCATCAAGTATGGGGGTATACTTTATTTTTCCCGGCAGTGTATTTTCAGTTTAACTATATGAGGGTTTGGAACGGAGAGGCCAAACATGACACAACAAATCTTAACATCTGTTTCAGAGGTTTTCTTTAGGTTTTTGCTTAATGTCGCACTCAGCAATATTACATCTATATGACGGCGTTCTGTAAGATAATCGAGTCTGGACCAGGCAATCCAGTTATTGACATCGCGAGCGACCATCCACGATTTTGGGTTGCGAGGACATGAAAGTCCCCGAGTCTGACCAACCGACTAATTTCGTCGCCTCTCACGACAAGCATGGGCTGTTGGAAATGTATGTACTGAACCAAGAACAAGTGAGTGGGTGAATTTAGTTTTATGCCGCTTTTATCAATATTCCAGCAATATTCCGGGGACACCGGAAATGGGCTTCACACATTGTAACTATGTAGGGAATGGAACCTGGACTTTCGGCGTGATGAGCGAACACTTTAACCACTACGTAGGCTACACCAACGCCCCGTTCTTACCCGGAATATCTACTACGGGTTCGAAAACTAAAATGTTACATGTTCTTGTCTAACACGAGTGAGTGAGTGAGTGAGTGAGTGAGTGAGTGAGTGAGTGGGTTGTGGGGTGGGAGGGTGGGTGGGTGAGTGAGTGAGTGAGTGAGTGGCAATTCTCCAACAATATCACGCGTTACCATTGACCACGTGATCTATATACAGCATTGTGGGTCACATTCTTCAGGTCAGTGAGCCTAACGTGAAGAAGGTATACTGGCCCTTAAACGTGGACAAAGTCGCCATGCTAGTATCCCGCATCCCCCGTGACACAGTATGTGGAGTATATGGGCCATATCCCCTCGTGTGACCCTCGTCAAATGTTACTGCCACGCTCTTCTGGCCTAGAGACACTCATAAGGACAACAACTTTTTCCTACCTTACATTTCTCTCAGTGCTACAGTTTCTAGGACAAAGGATTTGCCTGACCCCCTCAAAGATGTCCCCTACCCCACGGAGACTGTGATCGTCCCACACGGTGCCCAGTACAGGGGGCGAGTTAATCAACCGCTATGTTCAATGGCTGAAGCATGTGACTTGTACAATACACGTTTACAGCACTCTCGATAAACAGCTTTCAATTAACACTGAATCTGTTGCGAGATCAATTGGTAGAGCAGCCAGGGCTTTCATCAAAAGACAATGTTCAAGTGGCGTCTCCTACCAACATAATAAGACATTGTGTAGAGTAGTATTATGTTCATAGACAAAGTTCAGTGGAATACACATCTAGTTTATGGATATAACGTATCTCTCATTTGGGATGGGTAGGTCTATTATCTGATAGCAATAGACCTTATAATCTATCGACACAAGTCTTGCGTTCATCAATAGAAAATCATATCAGCGGATGTTATGAAATGATCATAAACGTTTGCTGTAAATATGCGTTGTATACTGCCGAGGGAGCTGAGAATGAAATCGCGCGCACACTGATCTATTGACCGGGGTTATGATAATGTAATTTTAGCAGGCATCACTGTTTTGGTTAGGCGCATTGCATTTGTTTATTATGTTCGTGGGTGAAATTATACATTCAAATCAGAAAAAAATAACATATTTATTAGTAAATATTATGTTGTGATTATCTGATCATGAATTTCGAGATTCTAGAATGAGCTATAACAAATTTACCAAGAAGTGTGAACTATTGTGTTCGTTGTTTTTTGGTGCCATTTTCTGGAATATTGCTGAAAGCGGCGTAAAACTATACTCACTCACTTCACCCATGGGTCTAGACATAACCACCAACGCTCTACTTTATTATTTATTAATTATAAAAATAAATGTTTGCAATTAATTTTCACAGCAGTTACGTCCACAAAGATTGAGTGAGTAAGTGAGATGGGTTTTTCGTCGCTTTTAGAAATATTTCAACCACACAACGGAAGGGTACACCGTCCCCATTGAGCGACACATACCATTTTAACAAGTCTGGTGTTGTTTAAAAGAACCACTTTACACATCTTTCTAAAGTGTAACATGTCATTTTTACAGGCCTATAACTGTTTTCGAGGTTGTGGGCTTACAACAGTGATCGGGCGGCTTAGAAAGATAAGAGTAATGATTTAATGCTCGAGACTGAAGTTCCTGGGTGGTTTAACCTTTCATTATTTATCATGAACCTGTGTGCAACACATTACATTCAAACAGAGGCACGTCAAACCTGACAATGTGAAGACACGGTATTACTCCGTGACCATATATACGACTTACAGAGACGTAGAGACTCGGTGTACTCGTCAAAGCCTTTTAATCACTGGGGCACCAGCACATGTAACTTTATCTAAAGACTTCTTGGTACACAATCTTGGAAGAGCTTTTAAACTATATTTCTTTCTGTTTATACGCCTTATATGCACACACAGATACCATCGTGTTAATCCCCTTGTAGGAGAGCAAGTTTACGTGTCACCGTGTACCCTTTAAATTCTGATATTGCGATGTGATTAGTGCCAGAACAGAACATTAGGCTCCCCCGGATGATTTATAGTCTGTGATAGAGAGTTGGATGATGTGGTGCGTCTTGGTTAGGTTCAGTTTTGTAAATA